AAAAAAGCGCCTGCAAGTTTTTGAGCGACCGGCTTCGCTGCGCGGCATCATGGCAGAGAGCGACAGACTCTCATGGCTGGGGGGGAGGGAGGGGAGGGAGGGGAGGGAGAGGGAGGGAGGGGAGGGAGGGGATTCTGGAGGGGAGGGAGGGGAGGGGGAGGGAGCCCAAATAAGCCCTAAATAAGGCCTGAATACGGGGACCCTCCCACCCCCCCAGCCATGAGACTTGGGCTGTGAAGCTGCACAGCCTCGATTCCCAGACTCCGAGACCAGCGGGTGTGTGTGTTGATGTTTGGCTCACTTGCGACCAAAGCGACTTGACCTTGACTCCATTTCTTGATTGCTATTGGGCAACGGATCTTTGGACTTGAGCTTTTTGGGGTTTCAAGGGGTTTTCCATTAAACCCACAAAACGTTATTCACTTTTTGCAGAGGGGTCAACAGCATCCAAGTTTTTGGCAACCATTTTAAGTCATGGCCCCAAAAGCTGATCACCTTTTAATTCTGGCTTCTTTGGGCAACTGAGTTGGGGAGCGGGCTTCACTTATACCACACCAAATTTCTCCGCTGCGGGTCTGGGACCCATTCCTTGATGGATAGGTTCATCCTCCCCAGTTGCCAGCCCGCGCCGCGTATTCTTTCTTGGTTTGAGATCCACTCAAAATGGCCCTGACAAAGAACTCCCCGACCCACCCCGTGTCACGGTTCCTTCCCACCAGGGCTCTAAGAAACACCCTCTGCAACGCGAAACCTGAAATGAGCTTTTGGCTTTCCAATGTTCCGGGAAGCTTTGCCCGGTGGGCCGGTTTAAAAAACCCGGTTTCTCTCCCTCTTTCTACCCGTTCAGTGGGGTTCGACTCCGGCAAGTGGTTGGGTGCGGGAAGCGCTAACACTGGTTGCCCAACCGCGAAAAGACGTGGGACCCTGTCCTACTAACATCGCCTCCGGACCCGAGGAAAAGCCCGGACCAATTCTTCAGGGGCCCAAGACAACCCATTTTGAGGAATCGAATCGGAAGCCTTAGGCAGCTAGGGTTGTTTCCCCCCAATCTATCACCCCAAATTGAGATGCAGGCCACCAAGTGGGGTCGTCTAAAAAACAGCAGCTCTACACACGGTCTTTGGGGGTTGTTCATCTGCAGGGGAGATAGCTCACTTCCCCAGAATTAGTTCCCCCTTTTATTTTTACATGTTTTTGTTTTTTTGGGTTCCCCTTTGTTTCCACTCACCAGGCAAAACATATATATATATATTGCTGGGGTCCGATGTTTTCAGCCTAGACTTGGGGTGAGCTTTTGACACTCTTTGCGCAAGTCCTGAAGAACTGGGCGTGCCGATGTTTCTCGACGCGAGGGCAGGCGCTGTAGGCAGCAGTGGCATGCTGAAAGCGTTTTTCTGGTTTTTCCCGAAGCGCTCAGATGCCCAGCCGAAAAGCATACCGGAAACACACTGGCCCGTGCTCAAGTTGTCAAGTGGCTGATGGGATGGATGGACCAAATCCAGAAATCGTACCACTTGGAAACCATGGTTGAAACCATTGTTTGTTGGTATGTACGGGGGAATCATCATTCCCAGGGTTTCTGAGGTGGTGCGAAATGGATTTCGTCCATCCACAGGGTGTCCCATTTTCCAAGGGAGTCCTTCACTCTTGCGGCCAACACCCCACCCACCCACCAAGTTCCTTTTTTCCGGGAGGTGTATTATCTGGGGCCCACATTAAACTCAAAGATCAGAAGCCGACACTTTTGAACTTTTGGAACTCTAAGCTACTTCTCCTGCTTCCTGTACCCTGTCTTTCTATACGAAACCCACACCATCAGAGAGTCGGTTTCTGCAAGTTGGACTTCAGCAATCTTTCGAGCAACGCGCACATCCCGGCTCGTGGACTTGTCCTGTTGGGCGGAGATTTGAGCAAGCAACAAGGGTCTTGACTCTTGCTGGCCAGTCAGTTCGGTGGATGCCCCGTTTTCCTTTTGTTTTTTAGGGGGCTTGCACTGAACAAGGACAGATCTAAAAGGAGGGCAGGCCCGTCTTTGTCCCACCGCTGAGCAAGTAGTGTGGTGAGTCGATTCGGAGATCGAGCCTCGCAGGTTGCAGAGGTTTCCTGGTCCTTAACAGTGTCAGTTTGCGGTTGACCCTTAACATGGGTGGAAACCCAGGTTTCCCAACAATTACCCAGAAAGAAGCGGGTGTTGGGAGTAGGGGGAAATGGCTTCCGGTGCGCGAAATGGCCGAACACTTTTCATGTCTTTGCGATGGGCACGCTCAAGTTGCACAACTCAGAGAGTGTGCGCCCAACCCGGCTTCGAGGGAGGCATCACGAGCACGAGACGGTCATGTGCTCAATGATGTTTGCCCCGAAGTTCCAGAGACGCATGTGAGGAAGAGAATGTGTCTGTCACACACGGACAGGCCAAGGGCTGCAAAGAAATCCCCGATGTTCAGCTCATGTTAAATGATAGCTTTGGCTTGGAAATCAGCAGCCCTCCAGCGATTGGCCATGCTTTTCACCGTGAAGGCTTTTGCAACCCAGCAGTGAATTCTGAGATTCCTGCGCTTTTAATGTGGACCAACCTTCGCCTGCTTGAGCCAAATTGACGAACGCTTCGTGCCTCGCATGACCCAGCAAAAGGAGCCCAACAGGACAGGAGGCAACCTTGAATATGGCTGAAGCAGGCAGCGCAGGCTTGCGCGGCGTGAAATAGCGTCACCCGGTCCACAGATGGGGTTGCCCGAGCTGGGTTGTATGCAAAATTATACTTCAATCATTCTGATGGCAGTGGGTTCTCTTATTGTGGCATCTCACTACGGAGGGGTATCCCACCTCCATTGCCCACAATCCGGCCAATATGCCAATAGGTTCGAATCCGCCTGTGAAGAGCTTTATGCTTCGGTCCAACCGTTCGTTTGCAGATTCAAAGTACCTATAAATACCTGGAGTCTCCATGACCCTTTAAAAATGGGATCGTTACCCAAAATAATGGGGTCATCGACCCATTTTTAAAGGGTCATGGAGACTCCAGGTATGAGGTTATTGCACCACATTTATGGGGTGATGTCCAAATTTTATGGGTATGGAGGGTCCAGGCACGGCAGTTGACCAACAGAGACCGTTAGAGGCTCTAGCTCTACACCAGCTGCGATCGACTTCGGGGTTGCTGTTTTTGGCGCTGGCCATTTTCTGCTCTTGCAGTACTCACTTCGCAAAGAAGCAACACTTCGAGACACAGAGGCCCCGACCAGACGCTCAGAAAAAGACGCTGACATGTGTATTTATACATAGTAGATAGATATATATATATATATATATATAGATATATTACGTACCTTGCCGTAACTGGTAAACAATTCCATGCATACCTGGACACTATACTAATACCCATAGAAACGGGACATCACCCCAGAAATTGGGGACAATGAGCCCATTTTGATGGGTACTTCGAGGGTTCAGGTAGACGCACACTTTGCGGGCAACAAGTAGTTTCTATAGGCCCTCGAACTGGTTTTTCACTTTCTTCATATTTTTGTTCAGCTTCTTAAGCAGAACAAGTCGCAAAGCCATAAACCAATGGGGATGTTGCCCCAAAGTGACCCTTCCTCCAAAAGAGAATTGCGAGGCAGCTGGGTGGTTTCTTGGAAGGGACCTTTTGCCACGGCCACGCGGGCTTTGGAGTGTCCTGGGGCCGTGTCGTGTATATACTTTTGTCTTATCTCGAAAGGTTGATTCCAACCAGTATTTTCAACCATTGTTCTTTTCAAAAACCAGCTAATTTCCCTGGGTTTCTGGAGGTTTTCTAGAAAGAAGGATCCCTGGAAAGAATGGGGAAGGTACCCCTAGATTATTTACAGGCACGGAACGAAGGTTGTTTACTTAAAGGGGCGATCAGGCCCGCATTTTTGTTAAGCGGGTAACAACCATGGTGAGAGAACCCGCAAAAGCCATGGTTATAAGTCTCTGTTCAGTGGCTTGGTTCACTTACCTCGTACCGAATCGATCGGCGCCAAGAAGAAGGAAGAAGAAAAGACTCGGGGGCCCCCAAAAGGAGACTTTGTTCTCTCATTCCATGGTGGATTTTGGATGGCGCGCAAAATCAGGCAGGGGAGTAAATCAGGCAGTCAATTCCATGGACATATCGCGCTTCAGGGGGCGAAAGGAGAATTTTCGCAACATCTTTTGTGTTTTCCCAAGTGGTTGATATTTGAGGAACTTTGGGGCAGTCTAGACGGCATGTTTTAGGTTTTTGTGTTTTTGGTTTTTTCATTTTTTTTTCGCGGGCTGCTAAAAGTACAAAATGACACCATACCAAGGGTTGGAAAGGGACGCCTAGTCAAAAGGGCAGCCCCTGAGGAACTTTCTGGTTACTTGGACACGTTGTCCCCCGAGGTGCTGAACTTCATACTGTTTGGGTTGGACCAGCTTAGTGGTAAACAACAAGCTTGGTTGCAGTTTGTGGCCAGTTGACGCGATCGGACGTGAGTTGGCCATGGGTCAAATTCCCGTACCCCCAGTGAACATCCCAATCCCCACTAAAATGGACTAAATCGGTGGTGCACCTACCCCAGAATGGTGCCATTGGTTTTGACCCACAGCCAGTTTTGGGTTCGGGCTCAACCAAACATTGGCTGGAAATCTAGACTGATCCACCTCCGCGACCCAGCAGCTCACTCCCTGGGATCGTGTGCTTTTGCACACTTCTGGGAAGACAATTTTAGAGGTGAAGACCATTTGAGATGTGAACTCAAAGTTCAGACTTTTTGGCCATTCCACTCAGGAAGTGAGATTACAGAGGTGAGAAGGCTACTAAATCTAGATATCCCATGCAGAACCATGGCGAGCACCCTCACTTCCCTAGACTTAGCTCCCCTTTTCGATTTGTTGCTTTTTTGGGGCCTCCTTTGTTTTCCACTCACCCGGCAAAACACTAGGTCGTCTTTCTTTTCTCCCCAGCTAAGTGAGACACACCGCTGTCGGCGCCCGGCGCCTCGAAATGTCCGCCCGAGGCACCGCCTTCCTGGCGCACTCCGAGCGCAGCGGCCGGGGCATCCGGGACTTCCGCCGGCCCTTGGTGCAGAGGGCGCCTTGGCCCCCGGCTCCGCGGAAAAATCCGCCCGCGGTTCGGCGGAGTTTTTCGGAGGGTTCCTTACACTCCCTCAGGCGAATATGGAAGCTCCCAGAACGCCTCTGAAAGTGGAACCAAGTCTTTCAAAGGGGTCTGGGAGCTTCCATGTTAGCCTGGAGGGTGGGCGATAGACGGGGTGAATCAGGTCGGCAGGTGAGTGGAGACGAATTCCATGGTTGTAAACCAGCTCTGGTGGACGGCTTGCCGATGGTGCGGCAGAGAGAGAGGGAGAAAGAGAACCCACGTACTTGTGGTTACAAGTTTTTGTTGGGTGGGTGGGTTATGACCTCCTAGCATCTCGCTGCTTAAAGCGATCAATTTGGTGGGTCAGGTAAGCGTTTACTGAGCCTGGTGAAAAAAACACGCTGAAAGGAGACTTATGTGGTTTATGGCCGTGGTTATTGCTTACTTGCCTGACGTAGCCTGCCTTTAGCTCTCTGATTTGTCCCCTTTTCATTCATTTGCTCAAAATATGTGTTGTCTTTAACGGGAAATTCTATCACTTCTGAAAAGAGTTGGTTTTTCCAGCAGACATCAAGTTGCGTAACTTTAGGGGAACTCCAGCTGCCTGGACCAAATCCTGTACCCCATGGGCATGGGTGTCCTTTTTAGCTGTTTTGGCCAACAAAAATAGATGGCACTGGTTTACCTGGTGGTTTAATCATCCAGGGCCATCTATTTCCCCTTATGCCCCTTGGGTCTTCGTTTCCGAGAAAAATGGGAAAACACATCGCTTGGGTTTCTGCAAGCGTTAGTCCCACACGGGGGACTTGGGGCTTAGGTTAGCAACAGCTTCCTGGAGCTTCTCTAAAATGTACCTGGAATTTCTGCCTCCGTCATTTGCCGAGGTTTTTTGGATTTCATACCTTCACGTACCTTCCTTTTCTGGGCGTGTCAACTCATTTTTGGACCTCGAGCAGTTTTTGGAAGCATGGGGCTGTCAGGTCCTAATATGACCTACTCCAGCAGCGCAAACGGGCGCAAATTTGAAAGGTGCTCATTTGAAGATAGACATCATGCATTTTTTCTGGGGCAGAAAGGAAGACTCGGGCACAACCTGTGTGTTCGAGCCAGTACCCTCTGCTCCCATACCTGCCTTTTGTCAAAACCATGGTAAACATTACTCTCTTTTTAGTAAGGATCATACCAACTCACAAAAGTGGGGCATGAGACCTTCTGCCAAGCTAGTAACCTGGACAATTTTTCTTGGCTCGCTTTGTTCAGCCCATAAGTAGGTTATAACCAGCTTTTTTACCGGGGTTCGCAGGTTAAAAACGGGGGTGGGTGATTGTTCCCGGGAAAAAGATGCTGGCCCTTTAGAGAAAAAGGAGCCCCGACAAGGGTACCAAGTCGGCAAAAAGACAAAAGAACAACGTGGATTTTGCAGAAAAAAAACTGAAATACTGTGGATGGACGAAATTCTGCACCACTTGGCAACCATGGAAAACCATTGTGCATTGGTATTTACACGGGAATCATCATTCCAGGGTTTCTTAGGTGGTGCGAAATGGATTTTAAAGGGACCCCCCAAGATGGATTCCGGTGAAAAACTTTTGGCTCCGCATGAAAACCACCACGAAAGGAGGGACGGAGCCTCCAAAAAAGATGAGCCACCTTGCAACAACTTCAGAGTGTTTGAAGCGGATTTTGAGGGCCCTGGCCCCATGAGAGTAAACCCTCCAAAAAGCCTTAACAGGGTTCTACCCCTAAGCCCGGTTTTCCAAAAGGTGCCCCAAAAACCGGCGGGTGTTTGGAGCAGGAGAAAGCCAGACGCTCATGGGCCCTGTCTACCGCTTCTCTTGCCCCTCATAAAACCATTGGCCTGGTGGCCTTGGCCTGGCCTTGCTCCAGCTTTGCATTTTGCGGGAGGTTAGGAAACTTGGTTGCTCTGCTAAGAGTGAATAACTTTTAGTGGTTTAATACGGAACACCCATGAGTTGGCAAAGGTCAAAGTCCTAATGTTGACCCCGGACTAATTTACCCCCGTCCCACGATTAGGGGGGTGGCACCCCTCCAAAAGTGGTCTGAATCCAAGCACTAAGGAATCGGACCCCCCCTATTAATCAACCAGGGGTTTATTAATCCGGGGTTAACAGTAGGACTTTAACTTTTGCCAACTAATGGATTTTCCGTATTAAACCACTAACAGTTATTCACTTTTAGCAGGGGAGCAACCAAGTTTTAAGAGTGTCACTGGCTGGCAAGAAAAGGGCATTTCGAAAACCAACACATCTACCATGTGTCAGCCAACCCTGCACTCCAAAAGCAAAAGGCAATTTAACATGGAAACCTAGAGTCTTCTGGGCATTTGGACCTGAAGAAACTACCCTCCAAACATGGGGAATCTTGAATCGCCCTTCATGTTGGTTGGCAACCCTTTCTTGGCAGTTCTTTCAGGTCCCGGGAGGTATCTACGATGGAAAGCCCGGTGTGCGACATATACCAACTTAGAACTGGGTATTTGGCTTAAAGGCTGAATGTTATGCGAACCGCTGGTATGATCCCCTAGTTTTTTTGTTTTTAAACCAGTTGGTATGGCGCAATTCTGGGAAGTCAGCACCAATTCAGCACATTTGAAGGGTCCAAAATGGCCATGGGTTGTATTGACCTATACATGGTTGTCGTTGGGACACATTCTTATGGTGGTTTAGTGATTGAAATCCAAATCCACTCAACTGCTAACATTTGAAAACAAATTTGCTCCCCTAACCCAACGTCAACCAAGTAATCAGCCGGTGGTGGAGCCCATTTTTCCATGTCTTTTTCTGCCTGAAAGACTGTTTTGTTTCCCCATGTTTTTCTCCCACGTTTCCATGTTTTTTGTTTTCCCCATGTCTTTTTTCTCCCATGTTTCCATGTTGTTTTTCCCATGCTTCCATGTTTTCGTTTTTTCCCATGTTTTTTTCCCATGAGCCTTTCCATTCCCATGGGCCCACGTTCGCCCAGGCGATCGCAAGTTGCGGCCTCAAAGACTGGGACGCGCAGTGGAATGAGGTGGAAGACCTCATCAAGAGACTCGGCGGAGAGCTGGGGGCCAAAGGAGAAGCTGTCTGAGAAAAAAATGGGTCGAATTTCACCAAGGAAAAATTTGGGTTAAGAGAAGTCCCGACATTTTGATGTTCCTAATTTCACCAACCATGAAAAAAATGGGGTGCGAGAACCCTTTCTGTCAAAAGGTTCAAATTTCACCAACCATGAAAAAAAATGGGGTGCCAGAACCCGACTCTTTTCTTTCTGGGTAATTAGCCCATTTTTTTCGTGGGTAGTTACTTTGAGGGTTCAGGTAGAACTAAGCCTCAGAGGTACGTGGAACCTCTTCCCCGCCCCCAATCGAAACGGGGGGAGTTGGCTGCATGGGGAGAACTCGCTCGATCCGAAGCTTTTGGTTTTCCATTTGCTCGGAAAAAAACAGATTCCCAGGTGCTTGCGTTGATTGTATTTTTTCCTCCGTCCAAAACCAATGACCTTTTGGCGTTCCATTGCAGAAATAGTCCCCCGCACGAAAAGGACATAAAAAGCATGTCCTGAACGACCAGCCAGTTTTTGGCACTGCCAATAAGTCGAGGGTTTTTCGAGGCTGAAGGTGAAGCTTTAAGTTCCCGGTCCACTGGGCAAACTAAGGCGAACTCTCAGACAGGGTTGCTTAACACATACATTTGGCTCACTTTAAACATCACCCAAATCCCGGTTATTTTGGAGGATTCCTTTGTAAAGCAGCTGGATTTTGGATGTATCCGTTTGGGCTAGGCGACGCGTTCCCTGTATATAAGCGGAGTGGGTCTTAGGGAGCCAGTCCTGAGCTTGACCATTGGACACAAAGGCCAAATCCAAGGTCAATCCACTGATCCACTGATCCATGATCCACTGATCCACTGTTCAAGCGCAATCCACTAATCTTTGGGTATGCTCACCTCACCACTCAGCCAAATACCATGGACTCCGCTGGTCAAAACATGGCAAACCAAAACAAGGTTCCATGCTTGGGGTCGCAACATGGCTTTGCCGCTCTCAGTTGTTCCCCTTTTAGTTTTCCCCGTTTGGTCAAGGTCCCAAAAGGTGAACCTTTTATGTCCCCCCTTGGTGCAAGTCTGTGTGAGAATTGGATGAAGTCGCACAAAACAAACCAGAGATGTTACTTTCAGGTTCAACCGACTTGCGAAACCAGCCAACCATTGGAAAATGCATTTTTATTTTTTTTGTGAGATGTAGAGCAAGCAACAGAGCAAGAAAATAGTGATCCCAAGTTTCGGGTGGGAAAAAAAGCAAAAAAAAAGTGATTTTAGAGCAAACAGTGGGCACTAAAAAAGCAAGAATGAAGCAAACAAGAGACCAGAAATAGCAAGAAAATAACAAGAAAATTGTGAAACAAAAAGCAAGAAAATTGTGATAAACCCTCGAAACCAGGAAATCTGCAAATCACAGCGGGAGATCACTATTTTCTTGCTTTTTTTCCAGAACCCGGAAATCTGCAAATCACAACGGGAGATCACTATTTTCTTGCTTTTTTGGAGTGGAAACTCATTATTTTCTTGATTTTTTTGGAGGCGACGACCCTCGAAACCCGGAAACCTGCAAATCACAACAGGAGATCACTATTTTCTTGCTTTTTTGGAGTGGAAAATCACTATTTTCTTGCTTTTTTTGGCAGGCAACGACCCTCGAAACCCGGAAATCTGCAAATCACAACGGGAGATCACTATTTTCTTGCTTTTTTTGAATGGGAGATCACTATTTTCTTGCTTTTTTTTCGCAGGCGACCGTCGCCTCCAAAAAAAGCAAGAAAATAGTGATCTCCCGTTGTGATTTGCACTCCAAAAAAGCAAGAAAATAGTGATCTCCCGTTGTGATTTGCAGATTTCCGGGTTTCGAGGGTCGTCGCCTCCAAAAAAAGCAAGAACATAATGATTTTCCACTCCAAAAAAGCAAGAAAATAGTGATCTCCCGTTGTGATTTGCAGATTTCCGGGTTTCGAGGGTTGTCGCCTGCCAAAAAAAGCAAGAAAATAGTGATCTCCCATATAATCACTATTTGGATCCTCGCTATTTTGAGGTGCCCAAATCACTATTTGATGAGCATCTGATCACTATGTTCTTGTTTTGTTTGGTCAACTGTTGCAAGTGGATCACTTTTTTCTTGCTTCTCAGTTTGCTCTTAATTTTCAGATTGCTATTTTCTTGCTCCAACCCTCACTCCCAAATACTAAAAAAAATATTTTAGCCTCCCTCAACGGTTGGCTGGACGAAAACTCTTAAGCTTGCCACTGGAGCCTCTTTGTTTTATTTCTTGTATGTGATTTGGTGGGGAACGCTTAGTTGGTGGTTTGGATTGGTGGTTTGGGATTTGAACCCAGGGTGCATGCAAAACCCCTCCTTAACCACCAAACCACCAATCCGAACCACCAACTGGAGGGAAGCTGGTAATTTGCTAGGGTCTTTAGTTTTTAGATTTCTTGGAAATGCTGGGCTTTCCCGCAACCCTGCAAGAAGTACTGGGGGCAGTGTCCATCAAGACGTTAGAACTCAAGGTTTACCAGCAGCAGTTGCAATCAAGGACAGACCACACCAGCTCCAGCATCCACTGCGTAAGAAGGTTTCCTTGATTGCTATTGGCTTGGATCTTTGGACTTCAACTTTTTGGGAAATCAAGTTGGGTTTTAAGCCGCAAAAAGTGAGTGTTTCAACTCATTTTTTTCAGAGGGGTCGGTCAACAGCAACCAAGTTTCCATCGCGGGCAAGCCGATTTTTCCCCCCCGTCCCCCCAGTTCGGCACCTAAGGAAAGGAAGGCTTCCGCTGCTGACTTGGCCATGGGCTCAGTTCGCAGGGGTTTCCTTGTTTACGGAGGTTCTACTAGATTTTAGTCCACAGGGTGATTCTTCAATTTCCCAACTACAAGTTGAATAGAGTTAAACATGGGAAGAGCTCATCCTCTTGAACCCCCGCTCCTATCCTCCAAGGGTAGGGACCCGTAGAGTGTTGTTCAAACATTTAGTCTGGAAGTGCACAGGCACACACTTTCCGAAATGGAACGGCCAGTGCGGAATCCAGAAGGGTTCCGGGGCTGTTGTGTATACCGTGCTGATTGTTGTGTCCTGTTTGCTTTCCGTTTTGTGGCGGCTGGGTTCACAGCAGTTTCAGTCAACTCAAGGCTCATTGCCATTTGTAAGGGACTTGGAGGAAACCGTGTTGGCCTTGGCTTCAAGTACGAGCTGCTACTGTGGATGGACGGAATCCTGCACCAGATTGAACCCATGGCAAACCTGTGCTTGTTGGCATTTACAGGAGAATCATCATTACCTTTTGGCTTCCCCATTTTTGGCCATGTTTCTAGTCCTTGCCCTAGGAGGTGAATCTTTAGTCTCCCTGTTTGGTTCATTTCAAGTCATCAGCCCAAAAGATGATCACCTTCGCCCCACGCGGAAAAAAATGCCCCGCCGGAGGTGGATCAACTTTTGAGACCGTGGATCTTCGGGTCCTTCGGCTCGATTCTCGCCCGAAGCGAATCGACTTCTGAATCGACCTTTTGGGGGTTTTCTGACTTGGCCCAGAAGTCTCTTGGTTTCAATAGGTATTTTTCTGCATTGTGCATTATAAAGGTAAGGTTTCAATAGGTTTTTCTGTATTGTGCCTTATAAAGGTAAGGTTTCAATAGGCTTTTTTGTATTGTGCCTTATAAAGGTAAGGTTTCAATAGGTTTTTTTTGCATTGTGCCTTATAAAGGTAAGGTTTCAATAGGTTTTTCTGTATTGTGCCTTATAAAGTCAAGGTTTCAACAGGTTCTTTTCTGTATTGTGCTTTTTTTTGGGACCCTCACAAACCACCTCCGCCCCTTTCGCTGAGGTTCTCTGAAGAGGGCGAAGACACCTTTCGCTTCGCCCACCTCACCTTTCAGGACGTTTGGATTCGAACATTCGAAGTCCCCACTTGCTGAGAAACCATATGCACAGGTGGTACCCCCAAGCCTCGGAAACGTTTGGTGGGTCATGGAGACTCCAGGTACCCGCGAAAAAATGGCTTGTTTTTTGCCCCAAACTTCTGGAGGGTATCCTGAAGAGCCCGAGATCTGGGACTCCCGAAATCTGCACACCGGAGCGTTCGGGTAATGACCCCATTTTTGGAGGGCCATGGAGACTCCAGGTAGTGTGAGGGTTCAGGTATTTTTCTCAGTCCAAAAGAAGCTCAGCAGGGAATGAGAAATAGAATACGCCCCCACAAACACTCCCTTGTGAATTCCAATGTAAGGGAATCCTTCGGGCAAACGAAGGTGCGGGCAACGAAGATTCCTCCGGTAGGGCGTCGAACGACTCAGGAATCAGGCTTCAAGATGGTAAGGCAACTTTTGCCAGGGAAAGATACAGGCTGGCGAATCATTTGATGCTTTTGATTCGATCCTCTGCAGCTATTTGACCCATTGTGAAAAATTGGTGCGATTGCCACAGACCACGTTCGGAAAGGCCGTTTTCTGCAATGCTTGTCAGGAGTTCCTTTGCGCGGAGTACTGCCTGAACGAATGTCAGAAGAGCTGCTTGGACTATGTCCCTTTGGGGCTGCAGTTTGAATTGTTTGGAACCTGTTTCCCCTACGCAGGCGGCATTGCCACGCTCCAAAACAGGGATGCTGGATTAACTCGCATTCAAGTGAGGTAGTTGCGGGACTTGCAGGGGGAGAACCCAATTGTCCCACGCGGGGCCAAAACCAACTGCTACGCTTGGATCTTTAGCCTTCAACTTGTTTTTGGAGTGTGCGTCTTTTGACTAGGCCAAAAGTGAAGATACGGTTGCGAACCATCATGCGGGATCAACAAGCTGAACTTGTTGCACAGGGGGGGCAATAGCCACGCCTCATGTTTCAGGAACACCATTCTGAGTTGTTCAATCCTCAATCCTTACCTTGGGGTACGCAAGGAATCGGTCCCTTTAAAGTGGCTTCCCTATAGGGATTATGGATGAGGATTCCCTCTATTTTGAACAGCCCAGCCATTTTCAACAGCCAGGCAGGACCTTTACAGCCAATCCACGCAAGCGATTTGATCCCATGCCAATTCAGTGGCACCCTGTCGTCCCTTCTGGTTTGGTAGGCCCCCACTCGTAGTTGCAACCCCTTTCGCTTCTACAGGGGTCGCTTGTCTCACTTTCTGAGAGGAACTTTTGTCACTTTTTGGGGTTTGGATCATTTTAGTGGCAAAAAGGGTGGTTACTTCCAGGTCCCCCAGTAGTAGTGCCCCTTTTACCCTTTTTTGGGAGATTCGGTTCCCCTACTAAAATAGACTACAGAGAAAAGTTGGTACCAACTTATTCTAACCTCTCTACCGGAGCACCTAGACTTGTTTTGGCCACCCCACTTCCGCTTGCGATGGTTGCAGAGGTGAGGACTTCCTGCTGGAGCTTCGGGAGTTGATCTGCCCAGAGAAGCCGCAGCAGATCGTGGAACGAGGCACCTCCGCAGGTCCTACCGGCCCGTGGCGTCCATGGGGGGCTCTTTACGTAAGCGCCTGTCTCCTGCCCCGCTTTGGAAGCGATCTTTCCATAAAGTCTTCGTTGTGCGAGCTTGTGTTTCAGTTTAGTTTGCGGGCATCCCGGTTGCTTCCCTTCGTCTCAGCGGAATGCACATGGGGGAATTCTTCATGCAACACCTTGACTGCGCCTTCATGCACCTGGACCCTCAAACTACCCATGAACATTGGAAATCACTCCATACATTTGGGCGCAATGGCCCATTTTTTATGGGTAGTTTTTTTGGAGATCACCCCATAAATGTGGTTGCAATCACCCATTTTCCCCGTTTGTCAGGATTGTTTTTACATCTTTGGGGAGAAAAAACATCACTCATTCTCCCAGCCCGGCATCCGCTTGTGGCCTGGGGGCTCTTTAACCTTGACTGCTATTGGGCAACAGATCTTTGGACTTTAACTTTTTGGTTGAAATCAGGTTGGGTTTCCCACTCAAGCCCCAAAAAGTGATTTGCTCACTCACTCACTCTTTGCCGGGAGGACGGTCGTTGCAACCAAGAAACGATCTCCAGGCTTCCCCAGAATTAGTTGCCCCTTTTACTTGTTTTTTTTTGGCTTTTTTGGGGTCCCCTTTGTTTTCCACTCACCAGGCAAGAAAAAAACAACATGCTGGGGTCCGATTTTTCCAGACTAGCAGCATGGTCAGGCAGGGTGGGGCAAAATATGGTTTAAACACCACCTTCACAAGAAATCGTCGTGATAACCAGTGGCTTAAGCAAGTTTAAACCAATGGGTACCCCCAGCCTACGATTGTGGGCTTGCCATCTTTTCCAGCGATCTCCAGGATGACTTTTTGGTTGAAATCAAGTTGGGTTTTCCACTCAACCCCAAAAAAGTGATTCACTCTCCGGGACGTCGGTCGTTGCAACCAAGAAGCGATCTCCAGGATGGTGGCAGCAGAGCATCCAGATGTTCTGCGACTTAGCGGCGGCCACCGAAGCTCCCGAGTCTCGCCACTCCTCCGGCAAGCGCCTTGGATTTTTTCCCACAACGGATGGAACAAACAGGCACCGAAAGGCTGCCGGCTGCCCTGTCAGTAAGGAAAATCGTGCGAAAGCCATTCGTGCTGGGGAACGTGCCCTGATTTTTCTCAAAGGTCTCCCAGTACTGCCCCTGTTACCCCTTTTTTGGTTGGGAGATTCGGTTCCCCTACTAAAATAGGCTACAGCAAAAAAGTTGGTACCAACTTATTCTAACCTCTCTACTGGATGACCTAGAGAACTGTTTGTTTGAATGTACCTTTCAAGCAGGGATGTGGCTAGTTATCCATAGTTTGTGGGGGTATTTATCACTTTTGGACGGGAACACCCCCATAAAAATAGACAGGGGTTGAAAAAATATGGGGTCGACATTACCGGACTTGCAGTGCGCAACTTGTTTGAAGGTACCTTTCAAACCACCCCTGAAAGGGATATTGCCCCACTTCATGATTGGTGAACTCACCTCACTTCCTGAGTTCCGGGACTTTGGCTGGTTACAGCCCGATCTCGACCCCTGGAATTCAGTTTTTGATTCGTGTTTCATACTCGCCTTGGTGGGTAACCAAACGGAAGCAGGGGGACCTCCCTTCGATTTCTGCACCCAGGAACATCAGAAAGGACGGGTTTTGCTCCCTTTTGATACGCCAAATCATGTTCCTGGGCCCAACTACCCGCAAAGAAGCGCAAGCACCCCATAACTTTGGCTGACAAGAACTCAAGAAAGGTAGTTTGAGGGTCCAAGTTGATGAAGGAAAAGTCGTTGGCGCCGCGGAGGCAGGAGAACCCTGGCCCGAATCCTCATGAAAAGCCTTTGGGGGCAAAGGCTGTCGTCCCAGACACCCAGTGATGTCAGTGTTCTTTTGTTCCCCTTGTTTTGGAGGCGGGTTCCCTTTTCAAATCGACCACACAAAAAGTAAAAAGGGCTGTGCTTTTTCACGTTGCGACTTAGGCCGAAGGCCGTACTGATTGCCAGCTTACGCTTTTACATGTGTCACTTGCTTTGTGTTTTCTCAATTTGCCCAGACAAAAAGACATATTATTTTTGGGAAATAAAGGTGTTTTCTACTAAACCCCGAAAAAGTTCAGCTTTTTGCAGCGGGGTCAACAGCAACCAAGTACTTTGGCCGATGGGATCAAGTATTGCCGGGTAATTCGGGTTGGATCAAGTCTGGGATCTTCCAGACTTGTTGACCGCCAACCAAGTTGTGTTCTCGGGCTGTTTTCAAGCCAAAAGCTAAATTGGAGGTCCAAAAGGTCCCCAACCGTGATGTTGGCCCAGTACTCCAATTTCCAGACTTTTCTACCAGGACACTCAATCTACCCTTAGACATAGGGTAGGGCCCAAAGAGTATGGTGTGTTTTGTTCTCTTCAATGGGTAGTTCTTTCGGGTCCATGCCTTGTTCATTCCACCCGCCCTTTTTGGTTCTCCATCATCTTCCCTTTTAAGCAACAAGTGAGCACGTGGCCTTAGGTTCCAGGGGTTCGAGTTTGCTCTGAGGGTTTTTGTATTACACCCTGGGATTACACCTTGGAAATGACACAGAATATGGTTCAAACATTGCCACGGTTTTATCCGGAAATGTGCCTAAACGAAATCAATACCCAGTGTATTCCCAGGGCGTAATACAAAAACACTTAGAATACTGTGGATGGACGGAATCCATTTCGCACCAAGCGGATGTGGGGTGGACGGGATGCACCCAGGGTGCGGAGGTCCCAGGGCGTAATACAAAAAGCCCTTAGATTTGCCGGAAAAGTCTCGAGGTGTTGGGGCAGCGTTCTCGGGGAGTGCCTTCTGCAGCTGAGGCCGGGGCTCCCTCACTCGAGTCCCGTTTGCTTAAGTTGTGTTTTTTTGCTTGTTGGTTTTCAAGGGAATCTATCACTGCTAGAAATATGTTTTTTTTCAGGGGTCTTAACCAAATGGAAGCTCGAGTTCCTCTTGCACAGTTGGTTGCTTCCTTTTCATTTTTTTCGGGTAAGGGTTCCGATTCCACGAAAAGCTCAAGCAAAAAAAAGGCGCCCCTTTCTTTCCCATGGCTGGGCATCTGAGGTTCCTGAACTTGATAACTTGAATTTGGACTTTTCTTGTTCCTGGACCTGATGGTTATACCTGGAGTCTCAAACCACCCCAAATTTTGGGGGCAAAATGTAAAGAATGGCATTCTTTGTCGAAACACCTTTTCTTGAACAAAACACCTTTTTTGGGTTCTGTGCCAAGTAAAGCCCTGAAAGTCCATCAGCGGATTTGTTTAACGGTGTTGTCACGATAAGCGGTGTTCTTTGGGGCTTTGCTGTTCACTGTGCAGGGCTTGCTTGAAAGATGCAAGTGCCAATTCAAGCAGCGGTGCGGACCTTGCTATCACCCAATGTAAAACCTCCTGGTTCAGCTCAGCTGCTCAATGCCTTTGATATTGGAATGAAATAAATCATCAAACATAATTTGACCTTGGCCCAAACGGCTTGAATGCCAACGCAACACAAGGGAAAACAAAAGCCGCGTTATTAGCCTTGCATTTATGTGTGAGACAAACATTTGTGAGTTGCACAAGTTGAGAAGGCTGGCTGCCCCGTTGCGTGTTGCTTAGCATTGGAGCCGATCACTGAGTCGCAACGCATCCAAGTCAGGTGTTTCCTTTGGAAGCGAGCAGGTGGCTTGGTGCACCACAACTCAAACTGATGTTTAGGAGGGCGCTGCGACAATGCAAAGAACCAACATCCCTTAAAACAGGAGTTAGACATTTCGAGTTGTTTCTTCTAGTGTGTGCGGTGTGCTTTGCGCGGCACACATCACAAATGGTTTTTCATGGCAAAACCCGGTCTTCTAGTGGCTTGAAACAGTGTGTCATGCGCAGTTCACCGCATGTTCATGTAATGTCACTCTACTTTCACGACTGTAGAGTCCAAGAAGGTACAATTTCAATGAACAAATATTGTCGCACCAAATTCAGAAGGATACCTTTCGCATGTTTTGTAGCAGCGCGATGGGAGTGATTCCGTACTTGTCCACAGCTCTGTGCCTTTGGGCCATGTGCCCGATATTGCTTCAATCTACAAACAACACAATAAACATTTTACTTAAGCATGATATACAATACTTTGCAAATTCGGGTATGTTCAGTTTCACCATGCCTCCTAGATGATCAAGTTCACATGTTGCTTCAACTCTTCAACTGTGGTTCTCTGGCTAATGCGACTTAGCGCAACATGTACCAGTTGCCCTTAAAGTTGATGCCGTGAAGCAAGCATATTGCTTTTAAGCTTTGCTCACAGCGCTAAACTGCCCCAAGACCCTCACTGTTACAGCCAAAGGGTCCAGTATTTATATGATAACAGGCAAGCTTGCAAGGCATGCTACAGTATTCTGCGAACAATAGCTGTCACTAGCAATTGAATGGTCGTTCAGTAACGTCCACCTAGGATTAAGCATTGCACCTGGAATAAAGACAAATGGGTGGCTCACCAAAAGATGCACCTGGAATAAAGACAAGCACCCGCCACCCCTGCCCAAATTTTCTGAACGAAAAGTATAAGGAACATGACAAAATGGAACAAACAGAGAAAGAAGAGGAGAGGTAGCCAAGCCAACACCTGGTCCTTAGATCTTTGGTACCTTGTTCTTCAGCTCCCCAAAAATCAAACTGTCCAGCTGCCCAAGAAGTCATGGTTTCTTACATGTCTCTTGTTTAAAAAGGCCCCCAAACTTGAGCCCAAGACTTTATTTCAGGGGACCCTACAATAAAGTCTTGTTGTCTGGCCCCCTGCAAATATACAACTAGCCCAGCGTAACTACCTATGAAGCTTCGGGCTTTGTTGTTAGATTTGGGCCTGCTTCCCAAAATCAAACATGTCCAGCTTCCCCAAGCTCTTGTTTTCTTGCATGTCTCTTGTATAAAAACTGCCTACAACCAAACCCACAAACAACCTAGTACTTCAGAAACTTCACCCCCAATTTGACATTATTTCAGCGGCCTCTGAAATAAAGTCTTGTTGCCTGCCCGCGGCTGCCCGTGTCCAAACAAGTATCAAACGGAAGCTCCAGCAATACAAAATCAAATGGAAACTAAGTTCCAGATCTCAAAAGGAAGCTCCAGCAATGCAAAATCAAATAGCAACTCAATTCCAAATCTCAAAAGGAAGCTCCAGCAAGGCTAAATCAAATGGAAACTCAATTCCAAATCTCAAAAGGAAGCTCCAGGAATGCTAAATCAAATGGAAACTCATTTCCAAATCTCAAAAGGAAGCTCCAGCAATACTAAGTCAAATGGAAACTCAATTCCAAATCTCTAAATCAAATGGAAACTCAATTCCAAATCTCAAAAGGAAGCTCCAGGAATGCTAAATCAAATGGAACCTCACTTCCAAATTTCAACAGGAAGCTCCAGCAATACTAAGTCAAATGGAAACTCAATTCCAAATCTCTAAATCAATCAGAAACTCAAATACAAATCTCAAAATGAAGCTCCAGCAATACTAAATCAAATGGAAATTCAAGTCTAATTGCCAATACTAAAGCAAGTGGAAGCAACATTGAACGGGATCTCGAGAGATTATTCTAGGCACCCCCTTTGTTGGGGTGGGGGAGGCCCCCCCCTTTACTAATCCCAGGTGGACATTACTCCGAACAAAGACCATTTACAGGACATTGCTCCGAACATAGTTCGGATAGGTGGACAGGGTCCGGGCGGGCGGACGCGTCCGGACGCGTCCGGACGAGAAAACATACAAAAAACCTTTTTCTATCCAAAACACCTTTTTTTGTTTTGGGCGTCCAGCGGGGCGTCCGAAAAGGCGTATTTAGGCGTCCAAAAGGCGTATTTAAGCGTCCGTCCCGGACTAGTCCGAACCAAAACTCCTTTTTTTGAAACAATCACCTTTCTTTTGATAGTCTGGGCCCGTCCGGACCTATCCAGACCCGTCCGGACCCGTCCGGGCCGTCCAACCGGTCCGGCGGACCCTGTCCACCTATCCGGACTATGTTCGGAGTAATGTCCGCCTGGGAGTAGTAAAGGGGGGGCCCTCTCCCCCCCAACAAAGGGGGTGCCTAGAATAATCTCTTGAGATCCAGTTCAATGTTGCTTCCATTTGCTTTAGTATTGGTAGGCTTAAGTTTCCATTTAATTTAGTATTGCTGGAGCTTCCTTTTGAGATTTGTATTTGAGTTTCTGATTGATTTACAAATTTGGAATTGAGTTTCCATTTGTTAGTATTGCTGGAGCTTCCTTTTGAGATTTGGAAAGGAGTTTCCATATGATTTAGAGATTTGGAATTGAGTTTCCATTTGACTTAGTATTGCTGGAGCTTCCTTTTGAGATTTGGAAATGAGTTTCCATTTGATTTAGCATTCCTGGAGCTTCCTTTTGAGATTTGGAATTGAGTTTCCATTTGATTTAGCCTTGCTGGAGCTTCCTTTTGAGATTTGGAATTGAGTTGCTATTTGATTTTGCATTGCTGGAGCTTCCTTTTGAGATCTGGAACTTAGTTTCCATTTGATTTTGTATTGCTGGAGCTTCCGTTTGATACTTGTTTGGACGCGGGCAGCCGCGGGCAGGCAACAAGACTTTATTTCAGAGGCCGCTGAAATAATGTCAAATTGGGGGTGAAGTTTCTGAAGTACTAGGTTGTTTGTGGGTTTGGTTGTAGGCAGTTTTTATACAAGAGACATGCAAGAAAACAAGAGCTTGGGGAAGCTGGACATGTTTGATTTTGGGAAGCAGGCCCAAATCTAACAACAAAGCCCGAAGCTTCATAGGTAGTTACGCTGGGCTAGTTGTATATTTGCAGGGGGCCAGACAACAAGACTTTATTGTAGGGTCCCCTGAAATAAAGTCTTGGGCTCAAGTTTGGGGGCCTTTTTAAACAAGAGACATGTAAGAAACCATGACTTCTTGGGCAGCTGGACAGTTTGATTTTTGGGGAGCTGAAGAACAAGGTACCAAAGATCTAAGGACCAGGTGTTGGCTTGGCTACCTCTCCTCTTCTTTCTCTGTTTGTTCCATTTTGTCATGTTCCTTATACTTTTCGTTCAGAACATTTGGGCGGGGGTGGCGGGTGCTTGTCTTTATTCCAGGTGCATTTTTTGGGGGGCCACCTGTTTGTCTTTATTCCAGGTGCAATGTTTAATCCTAGGTGGACGTTACGGAACGACCATTCAATTGCCAGTGGCAGCTATTGTTCGCAGAATACTGAGCTTACGGAACGACCATTCAATTGCTAGTGACAGCTACTGTTCGCAGAATAGCAGGTGTTGCAAGCTTGCCTGCTATCATATAAAGACTGGACCCTTTGGCTGTATGCTTGCTTCAGGACATCAACTTTAAGGGCAACTGGTACATGTTGCGCTGAGTCTCATTAGCCAGAGAACCACCGTTGAAGCAACATGTGAACTTGATCATCTAGGAGGCATGGTGAAATAGAACATACCCGGATGTGCAAAGTATTGTACATCATGCTTAATTAAGATGTTTCTTTTGTTGTTTGTAGATTGAAACAACTTTGGGCACATGGCCCAAGGGCACAGAGCTGTGGACAAATGCGGAATCACTCCCATCGCGCTGCTACAAAATCTGCGAAAGCTATCCTTCTCAACTTGTTGCGACAATATTTGTTCATTGAACTTATACCTTCTTGGACTCTACTGTCGTGAAAGTAGAGTGACATTACATGAACATGCGGTGAACTGCGCATGGCAGACTGTTTCAAGCCATTAGAAGACCGGGTTTTGCCATGAAACACCGTTTGTGATGTGTGCCGCGCAAAGACCGCACACACTAGAAGAAACAACTCGAAATGTCTAACTCCTGTTTTAAGGGATGTTGGTTCTTTGCATTGTCGCAGCGCCCTCCTAAACATCAGTTTGAGTTGTGGTGCACCAAGCCACCTGCTCGCTTCCAAAGGAAACACCTGACTTGGATGCTTTGCGACTCAGTGATCGGCTCCAACACTAGGCAGCACGCAACGGAGCAGCCTTCTTAACTTGTGCAACTCACAAATGCTTTTCTCACACAAAAATGAAAGGCTAATAACGCGGCTTTTGTTTTCCCTTGTGTTGTGTTGGTTTGGGCCAATGTCAAATTATGTTTGATGATTGATTTCATTCCAATATCAAAGGCATTGAGCAGCTGAGCTGAACCTGGAGGTTTTACATTGGGTGATAGCAAGGTCCGCACCGCTGCTTGAATTGGCACTTGCATCTTTCAAGCAAGCCCTGCGCAGTGAACAACAACGTTGTTAATTCAAACAAGTAAAACACACCGCTAGCGAAATTGCACAACGCAGCGCATGGAAAAACGAAAACACCCAAACATGGAACTAACACCCCTAAAAATGACAAAACACCCCAAACATGAATGCAACACAGCACCACCCCAAAAACGAAGGGTGATTGAGGGTCCAGGTATACTTAATACTTGACGGTAATTTGGGCTCCATACTGGTATCCTTGGTGGTAATTTGGGCTCCAGTCTGAGGTTCCTGTCCATCCTAGTGGTAAATCGAAAGTTCCTGGACTTTTCTTCCAGTCCACTCGATCAGAAGTGAGCTCCTTGTCTGCTAGGGAATCAACAACTTCATCTAGCTTCATTTTGTCACAGAAACGAGTCACCCCTTCATGGCCCCCCCCATTGCCTGGGCCATCAGTTCCCAAAATAACCATACCTTGCTTAGTTGTTCAGGGCTCCTTAAAAGATACATTTTGCCCATTTGAAACATGGCTTTTTCCACCAAAATAAAGGGAAACCACCATTTACAAGGCAATGTTCAGGTGTATAATGCATCCGGATCCCTGCTGTTCATTGGCTTTTCGCCACTCAAAAACGGGATACCTGACCTTGCTTTTTGCGGGACAGCTGCAACCTACCCGCATTCAAGACATGTTCTGTGGACTGTCCTGCAGCTGGGTTCTGGGAGCCGATGGTTGCCTCGTGTATGCGGACATAGCCCAGATTCCACCATTGCGGGTTCAAGGGGTAAAAATATAGTGGATCCTTTAAAGCTGAAGAAACCTGGCATCCAAAGGGGCAAAGGGTCGTGGACCTTTCGACCCAAGCACTACCCTAAACAATTGCGTACTCACTTCCGATCGAGTGGATTGGCCAAAAAAGGTCTGAACTGTTCATTTGCCACCAACATGGTCTTCCCAAAAAGTTTGAAGTCCAGGCACTTAAGAAGTGAGATTGATAAACTCATCCTATTGTCTCAGTGATGGACCTCAACTAAAAACGGACAACACCTATTCGTCAACCAGGAGCTTCAACTGGGGCTCCATTTCTTGGATGTTCGGCCAAGCGGTTCGTCACCCACGCTATTCCCAGGATTCAGGAAAAAGGAAGCTGGTAATTCGTTGCCCTGGGATTGGCAAAAACGGTCATCCAAGCTGGTCTTTTGCCACAAATGCCACACAACCTTTGAAAATATAGCGGGGATCACCCCACAAGTTTGAATCGGGGCTTTGCTTAGCCCCTACACCCAACACCCACTGTTTGCAGGGTATGATAGGATAGGTCAACCCTTGACTAAACGAAGGAGATGTCTTCGATGGAAAACCAGGTTCCCAAAAATGCCCCGAGAAACAAAGGCGGGTATGTGCTTTACTGTTCTTGGCATGCTATTTTTTTTGATTTTAGTTTTTTGGTTCTGTTCATTTTTACTGGGGGTCTGCAAAAAGCAAAGTTTTTCGCCACCATTACCAAGAGCAGAGATGTTTGGTGTGGAGAGACGCCTGCCGCGCGAGGCCCGCGGACGCCCTCCCCGCAACTTCTGCCTCCCGCCAAGCGCCTCGCAGCGCCGGACGCGGCCGCACGCGGCGGCGGGGCCAGGCCTTGCCGTCGGACTCGGAGTCGGAGCGCCGGGGCCTCAGGCGGCAGAGGTGGCAGGGGTCAACATCCATGCCTAGTCCTCATTTCCCCGTTTGTGGTGTCCCACTGGATTGTCGGGCCCACTTTCTTCACTAGTTAGGGCAACGTTGAGAGACCATGTGGGCCTTAGAAGGCGTCAAAATGGGGGAATTGGACCTCCAAAATGGTTATCCGGCCCTTTAATTGTTCGGTGGCACCTGGTTTTCCCTATAACAGGGTCTCCTTTCCATTCAATTTGATATTATGATGACTCGAAGCAGATATTTGAACATATGTCTTTCTGCGTACCGGGACCCGCAAACTAATCATCATAAGGGCATTCACTTGAAAGTTGTGGGGCAATAACCTATGTTTAAGGGTAGTTTGAGGGTCCAGGCATGGCTTTTTTCTGCGGGTTCCCCTCCCCATTCTTTGGTGCAGTTTGCTTGGATGTTAGGACTTCAACTTTTTGCCAACGTTATTGGGTTTTCCGTATTAAACCACTAAAAGTTATTTACCCCCTACTCCGTATACTCACTTTTTTCAGGGCATTTTTGGGAAACCCGATCGGTTTTTCATGGTAAATACCAAACCTTTTTGAAAAACGGCCGGGTAGGAGCTTTCGGGGGTACCTTGAGCATCGCAGATTTCGGCACCCAATGTTTTGGCCAAACGGGTCGTGTCTGAGGCGACGAGGACATGGCCAGCGCGAGCGCTCCCAGCACCGTGGACTTCCAGTGCCACGGCTGGAGCCGAAGAGCCAACTTCCATATGGTGATTTTTGTTTTTTCTTGTGCCCCCGAAAGCTCCAAATACCCTCTATTTTTCTTTTTTCGGGGTATCATGTCGACCCTCAAAAAAAGGTTTTGTATTTTTGCTTCTATTTCCCCAAAGCTTCAACTACCTGGCCTTTTTTCAGCGTATCATGTCGATTTGTTTGGTACCCTTGAAATGGGTGTGGCTCAAAATCATACAGGAGGGGCAAACCGCAGGTTTTGGTCCATGTTTCCACTTACCAGGTTTGATTTTGGTACCGGTTTTTTGAGCCACAGCCAAATGTTTTTGTTGTACCCCCGAAAGCTCCATTTTTTTCGGGGTATCATGTCGACCCTCAATTTCTAGTTCCCTACTCCAACTACCTGGCCTTTGTTCAGGGTACCATGTCGATTTTTGTTGGTACCCCCGAAAGCTCCAAATACCAGTTTTTTTTCTTTTTTATATCGGGGTATCATGTCGACCCTCAAAAACAGGAGGTATTTACTATGGAGAATGTGGCTAGGTCCCGCAGCTAGGTGCCCTTTGTGACCACTTTTTTGGCTGGGGTTTTAGCTTTCCCTAAAATAGATTACGGAAAAAGTTGGCACCAAAACCTTATTCTAACCCCTCTACTGGAGAACCTAGGAAATGTGTTTGCTTTGTGTAATTATTTCCCCCTGTTGGTTTTAGAAGGAATCGATTTCACTCTTGGAAGAATGTGTTTCATCTTGTCCAGGGGACTTAAGCAAGTGGAGGACAAGTATGGAATCCCATTGTGTCCTAGTTGCAAACTGTGAACAGGACCTTGTGGAAATAGATTGGGCTTGTCCACGGTTTGTTCTCCTACGAAGGACCCTGTTTACTCCAAAACCTTAGACTAGAGTGACCCAGCAGCAAGAGTGCCTATGTTAAGGTTGGTTTAAAGGGACACGAAAAGGAGAACAAATCCACAATTTGACGCATTCCGGAATAGGTAGGAAGTCCGAAATCGGTGATTTCCCGTTGGTGTCTTCAGGTTGAAGCATGCTCAAAGGAACATTTGCCTCAAGGACATCGGTGTTGTGTTCGCAGGTGGTCGCCTTTGCCATGTGTGCAGCTCGTTCCTGCTTTTGAGTGTCGGTGAGCCTTTCCCCAAACCCCCTGCCTCAACCCCCCACCTTTAGCGGAGAGACCGGCAAACTCTCCCAAGCCCCAAAAGGAGATGCACCACGCACAACTTTAGGGTCAATGACAAATGCCCCACTCACAGAGTTCCTGGACTTACGTTTTGGGCTCGGGCAGTTTTAGTGGTACCCCCTACACCCAACACCTACTGTTTTCAGGGTATGATGCCGGGCCTCTACTAAAAAAAGGTTTGGTATTTACCATGGAAAATAAAAGGTGTTCCAACAATACCCTGAAAAAAGGCGGGCATTTGGAGTAGGGGCCCGGTACACAAACCATTTCTCGACTTTCCGCCCGCTCGATCCCAAGTGAGAGACCCAGGGGCCCAGGAACTTCAGAGAAGCGCCCAGACCCGGGCGCCCATTTCTCCCGAAAAGGGTCCCTCGCGTGTTTTTTTTTTTTTGTGGTTGTTTTTTGTTTTTTTTCGGCCTCCGGGAAGGCCTTTTGCCGTTTCCTGGATCGCCAGTTGCGATCGCTTTTTTCCATGAACTTTACCCCAAAAACCAGCAACAGTGAGTGAAAAAGACAGCAACTGGGCTATCTAGGTTGTTTGTTTTTGTCTTTCTCCGGAGAAGCGGGTGCTGATTTGTACCGTTGGCCTTGGAATCGGGACCCAAGGCCATTTTGGCAGTAGCAATCCCTTAGGCCACACGTACGTAATTGGTTTGGCTTGGCTTGGGGGGAAAGGCACCCCTTGGTTACCACCAGCCCATCGGGCTTCAAGCCACCATTTAGGAAGCTGAAATTTTCGGCGTGCGGGAAAACCAATCCGAAGCCTCCAATCCACCAACGATCCCCACTGAAAATCCCAAGAAGGTCCCTCCACAGGGGTGTTTAGAGCCTTCCAAGGGATTCTTACAAGGGTGTGAAGGGCTAAGATCATAACCCGCAAATCAAGTCTCGCGTGCATATGGGATTGACCCTGATATTGGGGGGGGGGTTATACTCCAAGTGGTGTTTTCCACCTACTATCTTGGCAAACGATCATCCCAGTAGGGTTGCGCGAGCCATTCTGGGGCTGGTGAGCTTCATTCATGCCCTTTTGCCTACGAATCCGAGGCACCTGGTGAACGACACCAACATTCTCACGGTGCTGTCCATGCTGAGGTCCAGTGATTTGGTCACTGGGCAACAAGAATCGCATTCATACCAAACCCGAATGCTCCAAATACCTGCTTTTCCATGGTAAAGCTAGCTCCTTTGGATTCTTTGCTCGAAACAAGCTGTTGAGCGGTCCGGAGCTTGTTTGAAGTAAGGTTGCAGAAGGTTGCGGGGGTTGCCGTGGGGTTTGTGGGGGAGCGAACGGGGAACTACCCATGTTGAGACAGACCCATATGAGGGATGGGAGCGTTCTCATGACAAATGAGCCAAGTCATGGTGATGCCAGACTTGCTCAGCTGAGCCGGAAACAAGACTTGCATAGGTGAAGGGCAGCGGATACTGAATGGGATTGTTGATTAAAATGTCCGTGCTACGTGGCCCTGAAAGGCCCTCTTATCCGAACCTCTAACAGACAATATAGCCCCTTTTAAAGGCACGCCCAAAACTAAGGTATGGTTTGGTGGTTTCGGGATTGAAACGGTTCTTGTACAGGGTAAATTGGAAACCACCAAAGCTTTGCTACTCTTGAAGACCACTTTCTCACTTCCACTTCCTGGGGTTTATGCTTTTTGGGTTGAGAACATGTCAGTGGTCAATCAAAAGTTCTGACTTCCAATCCACGTCTAGGAGCCCAAGGCCCTTCCGGAGGCCTTGGACCCCCAAAGACCCCAAAGCATAAGGTGGATAGTAGAGGAGAATCGGGGTGTGCCTGGTTTTAGTGGATGTTCTTGCTGCCTTTTTCGGAGGGTTTCCCAGCCCTGCGAGGCGCCAATGTTGAAGGCTTTCCCAGGCTGGCACATTTTTTATCCCACATCCCCCCAGTGGATGTATCTTCGCCCTGGTTTCTTTGCAGTGGGGGGCCTTTCTTTGTTCAAGATTGGAGCTCAAGTAGCCCCATAAAGATTCGTTTTCGAAGAGCCTCTGGCGTGGATGGATCCTCTTAGCCGTGTGGAAGAAGAAGGTTTGGCTGATAATCATGACTACGCATCTCCTGCATCTCTGGGAACCCTAGGCGTGCCCGCACAAAGTGCTGTTGAAATCAAGTTGGGTTTTCCGTGCTAAACCCCCAAAAAGTGATTCACTCACTCACTTTTTGCAGGGGGTCGGTCAACAGCCACCAAGACATGGGTTTCCGTTTCTTTGCTCCAACTGCCCAAGTTTCGCGTTCACCTGGGGGTCGGTCAACAGCAGCCAAGTTGAAAGCGCTTGGTTTTATATATTTTTTCTGGCCCATCCCCAAAATCCCACGGTCTCAGGTCACCACGCTGAAGCTCGGGGGCGGCCTCTCCTCCAGCGGCATCGCCACCATCCGCACCTTGCGCCTTGGATGTCGAGGCTTCGGGTCGACGCTCGAAACTTGGCGCGCCCTGGTCGGCCCTGGTCCCCCCGTCCCTTCAGCAACTGGTGCCCTTCGACCAACTTTTTGGGTTGGGAGATTCTGTTCCCCTAAGGTAGACTAGAGAAAGAAAGTTGGTACCAACTTATTCTAACCTCTTTACTGAAGGACTTAGTTGGCGCGAAAGGTGAGCTGGCACTTCTCGCAAGGGCCCGGTTTAGCCGGCGCTTTTTTGAAAGAGGCTGGCGTTCGACGCCGTGAAAGGTGCGTGAGCAACCCGTGAAAACTTCGTGAAAACAGCGTGCACCCTTGTTTGAGGGCAATCTCCCCATGTTTGTGGGTAGTTTGAGGTTTCAGGTGGCCATCAAAACGATGAGTTGCAAACCCACAAACCGTGAAACGGGGCAATGTCTCTAGGCGGAACCTGGAGCCTCAAACCGGGAAATGACCCACCGTGTTGGAATCCATTCTGAGGGTCTGGGAACCTACTTTGAGCTTTTTCCCTCAAGAGCCTGGGTAGATGAGCTCAAAATCGTCGCACCGTTGCTTTGTGTCCTCTTTCACCCAGCGGATCCATGTACGTTATGCCCTTACCGGGGAACAGTAAATATAATCGGGGGGGGGGGGGGGGGGGGGGGGGTGGCGTGTTACACCGACCAAACCATCGTAGAACATCATCGGGAAGCTAGACACACACAGGGCTTTGGGAAAACCTGGTGCTTCAAGGTGAATACCAAGCCTTTTTTTAGTAGAGGGTCGACATGATACCCTGAAACAAGAGGGTATTGGGTGTGGGGTAATCGGGGGGGGGGCCTCATGACTTTCAGCTGCATCGTTCCGTAGGCAGGTGAGCAATCTGCGCTTCCTGTGCCTGAATCAGAACTACATCGGCCCCGAGGGATGCTCGTCGGAGCCTGAGACAAAACGGAGCCAACGACAAGCGCGAATGCAAGAAACAGATTGCAAGTGAAGGAACCAGCAAACCCTCACCAAGAATTACCCTGAGTGGTTGAATTTGGTTGTGCCGTATTGTGCGGCCTCCACTGTAGCCCCTGTTTGTATGTTAAAACATTGTTTGTTACCGCAAGTTCAACCCATAATCCCTGGCCCTAAGTCACAACCTAGGTGAGCCGAGATATCCTGCGAGGTAGTTCATTTTTTGGAACCTGGATTTGCATGGTAAATACATTTGGAGTGAAGGGTGACATGATACCCTGAAAAAGTGGGTATTCGGAGTGGGAATGTTTCAGTGAAGCTATGGAGACGCCCATTCGGAACCGCGCCGTGCGGCTTGCATGTGCCTGCAAAGGACCCCATTTTTCTGCCTTTCTACCCCTATTTTTTGTCAAAGGCAGAACAAGGGGTCCTTTGGGGGTCCCTGTAATTACTGGTTTCCTCTTCTCGGGTACGACGGGGAACTCCCAAGTTTCTCGAATTGAACATGATGCGTGGCCTTTTTGCATGGGGTCCCCATCAAATCCCCAGTTCCTTTAGGTTTTCCTGGGGTTCACCGGTGGTGTACTTTAGCCACTTCGCTTTGCAATCCCCTATAATGTTAGGCAAAGCCAAAAGGATACCAAGGCACCCTACTTCTTAAAGCATTTTAAGGGCGATTGTTTTGGTTACCTACCAGCAGGGAAATGGATTAATCTGATGTTTACTGCTGAAAAATGAGTTCAGTGGTGGTTCTCTGGGATAGCTGCAGAAACCCCCTACTCAAAATACCCGCTTTTTTCATGGTATTTTTGGGAAAACCGATCATTTTTCCATGGTAAATACCAAACCTTTTTTAGTAGAGGGTCGGCGTGATACCAACTGGAAACAGGCTGGGTATTTGGAGGTTACGGGGGAATATGGAATCCTGCACCACCTGAAAAAACATGGGAAGCCAGTGTGTGTTGGTGGTATGTACCTGGGAATCATCATTCCTAGGTTTCTTAGGTGGTGCGAAATGGATTTCGTCCATCCACAGTATAGAACCGCTGGATGAGCCGGCAGCTTTTTATACACACGTCACCCGCTTTTTACGGCGAATCGTCTCGAGGGCCATTGCGGCTTTCCTGCGGCGCACTGAGTGCTTGGAGACGCTGGAGCTGGCGCGGTCGAATCGGTTGACGTTTTGGTTTGGATCTCGTTTCGTCTTTTCTTGGAGGGCGCCATCTAGGTCCCCCAGCACCCTTTTACTCTTTCTTGGGGGAGGGTTCCCCTACTAAAATAGACTATACAGAAAAAGCGCACCCTTATTCTAACCTCTCTACTGGAGGACCTGGTTTGGATCTCGTTTCGTCTTTTGTTGGAGGGTACCGTCCAAAGGGAAAGCCACGATTTGTTGGGTCGCTCTATTTTGAGACAAGCAAATGATTATGTTTGCTAACCTGCTTGTTCAAAGAAATCCTGGGGTTCCAAAGAAAACGGAACGACTTCGTGAGCCCGTGAGCCCGCGAGCCTCCGCTTGGACCCAAGCGGTTCCCGAACGCTCAAGTTCTGGGCGCTGGATTGCAAGTACCTGAATTACTCTATGAAGGGTATCAAGGGACCAAAAGGGACTCAAGGGCACCTCAGGTTTAGCCCAAAGGATATCAAGGCACCCTCTGAATCTAGCGGGAGGCACCGTGACAGCCGCACGATTTTCATGCGCTTAGGGAAAGCTGTGGGCCCGCTTTCCTCTCACTGGACCCCCTACACCCAATACCCACTGATTTCAGTTGGTATCATTGTCGACCCCCTACTAAAAAAGGTTTGGTATTTACTATGGAAAACCGATCGGTTTTCCCAAAAATACCAACTGAAAAAAACGATGGCATTTTGAGTAGGGGGGACATTGAACTTGTTGCGGCCAAGCCAGACGAGGTGCAGGTTGAATTTCTGGGGCTCGGGCGCCCAGCTTCCCTTTAATGTTCACCCCGGAGTAAGCAGAACCCCGATCGGTTGATTTTGATTGGGGGGTGTCCAATTCCTTTTAGTGGTTGGATTGGATTCAGACCACTTTTGGAGGGAACACCCCCCTAATAGTGGGACGGGTTCTACTTAGATCCTGGGTCAACATTATGTTTTTTGGAGCGCTTCTTCCTTTAGAATCAGCTACGAAATGGGGGCGGCAGGGGGGAGGTGTTTGTAGCATGGAAAGAGGTCCGGGTTTCAGTGTCAAGTGCAACGAAATCGAGACTTCTCCGACGAATCCACGAACGATGGGGAGTGAGCTTTGCGAAATTTGGGCAGCTGGGCCAACGTCCAGTGGTACTTGGACAATTGAATTCGTGTTTCTGGACCTTCAAACTGCCCTCCAAAACGGGGTGGACCTATGTGGACCTCATAATTGTGGGGCAATTGCATATTTTATTTTTGAGGGTATTTTCTTTTGCAAGAACCTATGTTTTTTTTACTTGAGGGTCCAGGTTTAGTTGTTGTTGGTGGGCGGGCCTTGTGACACCTAACCTGGGTTGTTCAATTAACCCCGTCCTGCCAAGATGGTAGAGGTTCCCCTCGTCATCCTATGGCCCACTCGCCCAGGCAACAGAAGTGGGGAGAGTCTGAAATCGGACATCGCTGGGCCATGCGAAGGTTCCAAAATTACATTGAATCATTTCCATATTGAAGGAGAGGACGAACCATCTCCACATTACATTAATCCAGCTACATGCATTCCAGCTGAATCTTCATTTAAGGAGAGGAGAAATGAATGCTTCTCCGCATTGAAGCCATACAGTGGCTGGACGAAATTCATTTCGCACCACTTGGAAGCCGTGGTTGCCACCATGAGGTTTGGTATTTGCAGGGGGCTCACAGTCCCCGAGTTTTTCAGATGGTGCAACAAATCGTCCATACACAGTATCAAAGCCTCAAACCGATCAGAGTGGACCGAAGGTCTGCGTGGGGAGTCCAAACGGTTGCCTTGGAGTCGATCGCCAGGTGAGCAACATCCTTTGCCAAGGACAGCGGCGATTGGCAGTTGACTTTGGGCGTTCGGTGGATGCTCCATTGCAAGTAAACCAGCCATATGAACAAACACAAGACCAGGTCCCCTCCGAATACCGTTGGGAAGCCTGGTTGTCCCTGAGAAGTACCTCGATCCTTTCCTAGTCACGTGTAACAAATGCTGGGGTGGTTGTGAAGGGTCGTCTCGGACCACCTTCCACCGAACAGGGGGAAATCCAGTGACCCCTTTGTTAGACATCACCGTCATCACATATGTTGTTCGTGTCTGCAATGTTGACACGCTTTTCACCAAGCTTGCCTCTTAAAAACACCAAACTTTTCTCAACTCTTTGGGGGTAACATGGGCTATATGTCTGTAAAAGCTGAGAACTTCCCCAGGTTGCTTGGAGTTTTAAGGGGTAAGCAAGAGGAAGCCCGAAAGAGTGGGCACCAGCACACCGCAGCCCCAGGGAAATCCAGTGACTGCTAGAATTGGAGGTGTCCAAAGCCAAATCGAGGGGTCCTTTTCCATTCTTTCCAGAGATCCTTCGAGAAAACCTCCAGGTTTCCCAGGAAACACCGCTGGCTTCTGCAAAGGAGGGTTCAAAAACATGGACTAGGTCCACCAGTCGTGCCCTTTTACCGATTCTTTTTGGGGGAGGGCTCCCCTACTAAAATACACTACAGAAAAAAGATGGTACCCTTATTCTAAGCTCTCCTCTGGAGGACATAGTGGAGAATCAACCCCTGGAAGTTCCCGTCGTGAGTCACGGCCAAGAGGAGCTCCAAAGGAGGTGATGCCCCCGCGCTCCCGCCGGAACCCGCCCACCGGCTACTACGAGGCTTACGTCCAGGCGCAGTGCGGCTCCCAACCAGTGCGTTTTGGGCACTTGGGGTTTTGGATATGAGGAAAAGCAGTTGGAGAGTGCTGGTAGGTTCAGAATTTGGGGGTGTTCCCCTCCAAAAGTGGTCTGAATCCCCCACATGTCACCCAGGGACACTCACCCCTTTTAATCAACAAGCTGGGGTCAAGATTCGCTTCATGACCAAAGGAATTGGAACCCAGAAGCTGAACTCCCAGTGCGGAAGCCAGAAGTTAGCCACTTGGGTTATGGGTATGATGCCAGACCTGCACTAAAAGGGGGGGTAGTTGCTCAAAAAGCCACGTTTTTTTTCCCCCCAAGACGTACGTTTAAAGCACTGCGGGTATTTGGTGGGGGGGGTAGCCTGTGAATGAAGCCCTCAAAGCCTATCCATTAAAGATTCTTTTGACAAGACCTTGGATTTGACAAACGCGGGGAGTATGGCAGTCTATTTTTAAACCGCAAGGAGCCGGGACCTTCCCGGGAAAGAAAGAGTGAATTGGAACCTTATCGCGGGGCATGGACAGCTCATGCAGTATTTGTCGGCGTTGTCAAATGGAAGTGGCGTTGTGTTTGTTTCTGGCCTTACGCCGACCTTGAGTTTCTTGCTGTTGCAGAGGGTCAGCCTTGGAAGAGGTCCGTGTGTTGCTTTGGATGGTTTGGGCATCACCATTTTTCGATCTTTTTTTGGGGGGGAGGGGGCACGAAGTTTAGGCGACTTTCTTGCGGTGTGTATATTGCAGAGGGGCAAAAAACGACGTGATGAATCCAGCTGAACGAATGCGAAGGCGTGCAACATATATGTTGCCTCAAGCGAATCGTCCTTTTAACCTTTTGGTTTTCCTGATTTGGTCCACACTTTGCCCTCGCCCTACAGGGTCCTAAGGCCTTAGACTTTGGTGTCGTTTGGGGTCAAAGAATGGATTTGGGTGATCTGACTTCTCGGCTAGACGAGCGAAAAGCAAGGAGCTTGCGCAAGCCATGTCAGCCATTTACTCGCGGATGCAATGTCTAGGTCCCCCAGTGCCCTTTTACAAAAGCCTTTTACCTTTTTTTAGGGGAGGGTTCCCCTAGTAAAATAAACTACAGAAAAAGTTGGTACCCTTTATTCAACCCTCTCTACTGGAAAACCTAGAATGTGAATTTCAGCTTTTTGTGGTTGATTTTTTGCTGCCAGAGCTGCCATTGGTCTGAGACAGCCGCATGTTCGAGCCGAGCTTCCCGAGCTTCCCTTCCGGTGCAAAGCTTGTGCAGATGGGTGTGTGTGTGTGTGTGTGTGTGTGTGTGTTTTTGGGACCTCCCCTTTAAACGAAGACGGTATTGGTTTCCTGTTGGTTTCCTTTTATAACCATCCACACGGGGCATGGCATCCTCAAAACAAGACATCTCCAAGGTTTTCCGGACTCACCCTTGGGTTCTGGTTGCATGCTTTGACATGTTGCCTCGCCATGGCTGCATTGCCATGGCTGCATCGTGTCGCTTTCGCCATGTGGGAGGAAACATCTGTGTGTCGCTGTCCTCTGGACTCGAGCGTGCGCGAATTGAAGGCGGAGGCTCGAAGTGCCGCTGTCTGAAGCTTGTGTTCACAACCAAAGCACCCCCAAAGGACCGATTCCTGATTTCTGCCTTTGTGCCCCTTTTTTGGGGTCAAAGGCAGAAAAAAGATTGCGGTCCTTTGGGGGTCCAGGAAGTCAGCCGCTAGATGCATTCTCTACTCTGAAATTGGCGTGGATGGCGACACCATTGATCCCATTGTGCAAAAAGTCCAGCTAGCTTGCAGAGGTGCGGCGTTCACACTCTATGTTTCTGGAGGCGCGGCTGTGACTTGGGGCCATCCTCGCGCTGGTGGTGACAGCAGCCAGGTACGAGAGCTGTTGGTGTGGGTCCAGCAGATTCAAGCAACAAGGGGCGGCGTTTTTGCTGCCATCCTGACTGACGGCTCTGTGGTGACTTGGGGCGATCCTGACTTCGGCGGAAACAGCAGCGAAGTGCAAGAGGAGTTGGTGGGCGTCCAGCAGGTCCAAGGCACTCCGTATGCGTTTGTCGCCATGGTGGAAAACGGCTTTGCAGTGACTTGGGGCGATCTGAATAAGTGCTGTGGCATTGACAGCAGCCAGTTGCAAGAGCAATTGGTTGCGGTCAGGGCCTTGAGCATCGCCCCAAGTCACTGCAGAGCCGTCAGCCAGAAGGAGCATCGCCCCAGAATGGCACAGTTGGTGCAAGCCGCCATCCTGGGCGACGGCTCTGTGGTGACTTGCCCTCAGCGGAAACAGCAGCGAAGTGCAAGACGAGTTGGTGGGCGTCCAGCAGGTCCAAGCCACTCCGTATGCCTTTGTCGCCATGGTGGACAACGGCTTTGCAGTGACTTGGGGCGATCTGAATAAGTGCTGTGGCATTGACAGCAGCCAGTTGCAAGAGCAATTGGTTGCGGTCAGGGCCTTGAGCATCGCCCCAAGTCACTGCAGAGCCGTCAGCCAGAAGGAGCATCGCCCCAGAATGGCACAGTTGGTGCAAGCCGCCATCCTGGGCGACGGCTCTGTGGTGACTTGCCCTCAGCGGAAACAGCAGCGAAGTGCAAGACGAGTTGGTGGGCGTCCAGCAGGTCCAAGCCACTCCGTATGCCTTTGTCGCCATGGTGGACAACGGCTTTGCAGTGACTTGGGGCGATCTGAATAAGTGCTGTGGCATTGACAGCAGCCAGTTGCAAGAGCAATTGGTTGCGGTCAGGGCCTTGAGCATCGCCCCAAGTCACTGCAGAGCCGTCAGCCAGAAGGAGCATCGCCCCAGAATGGCACAGTTGGTGCAAGCCGCCATCCTGGGCGACGGCTCTGTGGTGACTTGCCCTCAGCGGAAACAGCAGCGAAGTGCAAGACGAGTTGGTGGGCGTCCAGCAGGTCCAAGCCACTCCGTATGCCTTTGTCGCCATGGTGGACAACGGCTTTGCAGTGACTTGGGGCGATCTGAATAAGTGCTGTGGCATTGACAGCAGCCAGTTGCAAGAGCAATTGGTTGCGGTCAGGGCCTTGAGCATCGCCCCAAGTCACTGCAGAGCCGTCAGCCAGAAGGAGCATCACCCCATTCTGCTGCAAAAGTCACAGGGGCGACGCTGGGTTGCAGGGGAATCAGGCTTCGCTTTTCGGGGCCTGTTCCAAAATTGAAAGCTCCCGTTCTGAAACTCACTGAGGTTCAGCTGTGAAAGTTGTTTGAGTGGCTTCCGATGAAAAAATCGGAGATCTGCAGATCTCTTGTAAGCTTGATTCTTTGACTGGTCCCGACCGCTGATCAAATCCTTTTTCCCCGAGATCTTGAGGCACCTGTTTGCTTCCATTTGCTTGTTAGCTGGTTTTAAAGGGAGTCGTTTTGACTACTGGACATATGTTACTCCTTTTTTTTTCAGGGGACGTTTCGGGCTTCGGGGGAGGAAGAAGCAGGATGTGTGAGACTGAATTCCGTCGATTCTTTGACCAATTGAGCCCTGCAATCAGGGTCCCTTGATATATTCCCCCAAATCTGGGCCCTCAAACTTCAAACGCGGAACTTGCCCTATTTTGGGTCGTAATAAAAGCAAAAGGTTGGGTAGTTTGAGGTCCAGGAAGCCCTTGATTCTGTGGATGGACTGAATCGGATCATGAGAACTGGTTGATAATTCACCCACCACTGGTACGAAGTGGATGCTGTTCATCCACAGTAGCGGTGACTGAAGGGAAAGATGGGTGTGTTTCTTAAGGGTGCCCTTGTTGGATGGTTGTAAAGGAACATGCATAGGACCCCCCCGAGCCCACCATTTCGCCCAGTTTGAGACAAGCCGTGCACTTGTTGCCAGGACTTGCAGGGCTTAAAGGAGTTGTTGGACACGATCAGGGACCACAGCACCATGCGACGCTTGACTGCTTCAGACGGAGTCCGACTTGGTGAGGGGGTCTGTGTGGGTCACTCGAGGTTAGCTTTGACCACCCTCAAATGATGCAGCTCAACACCATGCCAGCCCATTTAGAGGATGTTCTCGCATTTTCCAAAATACTTAGACATACTTAGACCCTTCTTGGTGCCTGTCAAATTTGATACCCCGCAAACGCTCGGTTTCGTTTTGGTTTCGCCAAGCTGAACGGAGAAGCCCAGATTGCTATCCTTCGTTCTGCGCTGGTAGCCACGGTAGTTTGCAAGTGTACGTCAACATGGGGAATCGGACCTCCAAAATGGCAGAGCCCTTGGACCCTAAGGACCCCCAAACCCCCAAACAATAACTAGGTCTTCTTGTACCCTTTTTGGGGTCAACAAGTTTAACTGTTTGGGAGCTTTGGGCGTTGGAAAACACCATGATTTCCCAAGAGCTTGAAGTCTAAAGATCCAACCCAATAGCAGTCAAGAAAAAAATACCAAAAAGGGAAGTCGCTTTAGACCAAACGGACTCCTGCCCCAACACCTCTGCTCCAAGGGCCCAAGCGAAGAGCGATCCTCCTTTAACACAGGCGGGCCTAAGCCCGAAGCAAAATTCCGTGGTGTGGCTGTTTTATGAACCCAAGACCCTATTATGGGCTAGGTCCTCCAGTAGAGGGGGTTAGAATAAGGGTACCCGATTTTTTTCTGTAGTCTATTTAGTAGGGAACCCTCGGGTCAACAGCAACCAAGTGTTTGGTGTTCCCGAGAGGTGATGTACGTCTATTGCATCCCTAATTGATGACATGGGGCAACTGAGGGGCAAACATGGCGTGCCCAAGAAACCAAGCAACGTGTTTGCTAGGGCAGCCCACACTTGTTGTTCCGACCGATGGCACCAGGGACGGACGAAGCAAGACAACCAGGACAAACCACCAAGCTTCTGCAGGATGTTCATCCAGATATAGACAGATATTAGCAAGAAAAGTTTCAGGGAAAAACCAAGTTTAAGGGAAAAACAATATTGTCTTAAAATGTCTTAGTACTAAATATATATATATATATTCTCAACTGGAATGAAGGCCATTTGCGGGAACACCGAACTGGGATTCGACTGGACGCGGGGTCGTGTTTTGCTTCCCGTTCTGATCGAGGTGTGTGTCATAGGTTTCCGAACTGGTTTCCGGCTGGTTGAATCTAGATGCATGGGAATACCCACTGCTGCTCAAGAACGCCGGCGCAATGCGCATCAAACGTAAACAAGAACTGTATCGCTGAGGTACTGGCCGTTTATTTTTATATATATATATATATATATACCCTCCTTCCGGGGAAGCGGTTGGGTTCCGGTCCCCGGGTCCGGCTGCAGGGATCCTGGATGTGCGCGGCAACTTCTTGCCCCTCGAGGCGCGCAACGGAGCGCAACGTAGGGGGCCCGCGTGCCAAACGGGCCCAGACCTTGAGATCTCAACGGAAACGTAGAGGGCTGGATTCACGCGCTTGTCCAGAAGCAACATGCCCCCGAGCATCACATGATTTATGTATTTATATAATGTTTAGAGATGTGTATATATATATATATATTGTCATTCTTCATTCTACAAGGAGACACTGTTGTATGTCAACCCATATCAGACAATCTTGATCAGATGCTTGCAGGCCACGATGCAAGGTTTGGCTAATTTCACATAGCCCGCTGAGGGTCGCTCCCAACTGACTTTGGCTTCAGCTTGGCTTTCCCCACTGGATAGGGTTGGCAGAAAGGCCGCAAGCCCACTCTCGTCACTTTTCTTCGGTGTCCGAACACTACGTAACTTGTCTGCGCAAACTGGGCAGCCTTGCCTGTGGGCTACAAGGGTGCACCGCTTGGGGGGGGGGGAATGTCATGAATACGAACCATGTCAGACGCAAACAGAAAATTGCTTTGTATGATGTGTCAAAAACAACAGTTTATGAATTGAAAAACACACGTGTTGTTGATTTAATTAGTTGACTCATTGCACAAGTTTGCTGGTTAGTCAAGAAATTGCTTTCCAAGCTAGTGGCTTTCATGCATCTAGAAACATTTATGTACATTATCATGTGTAGATGAAATATATATATATATATGCACATGGTACCCCCCTTAAATACGGAGCCTACACAAGCACAACCTGATTCCTCGAACTCCTCTTACACACGGGTTTCCTGCCCAGATTTTCCCAATCTTTAAGGGTAGTTTCTTCGGGTCCGGTGACTTGCAGTTTTGTGAACCCCTTCCATTGAAAAAGCCGCCCCATCCGAGAGGCTGGGCGGATGTTGGCGGACCTGGTCTTTGCCAACCCAAAGCTCAGCCAGGTCTGTGGCGCCACTTGGAGCGGATCTCCAGGTTTCTGGGGAATGGGGAGCTACGCCCTCTCTCCCACACCCGTCACATGAAAGGAATCCTGCCATCAGGTTTTCCGGGGGCAGGTTCGGGCAGAATGTGTCATTCTCATTTTTTCTTGGGGGCAGGGCTGGGGAGAATGTGTCATTAGACTCATTCGACGTTCCTGATGCAGTTGGGTGAAAGCTGGTGAGGTCCTTCACTTGTACCCCCCTTCACATGAAAGGAATCCTGCCATCTACCTTCGCGCTCCGTGGGCTGTTGTTGGGGTAATTAGACAAGCTTCTAAGCTGGTTTCCACTAGCCACTAGCTGTATATACCATCAATGCCATGGGGCAGTGGAAGCCATCCTGCTTGATTTGGATTTCAGGCCCTGGTTCTGGAGGGTACATGGAAAGCTGCTTGTTTTTTGAAGGGGTTTGCTTAGAGAGCCAACCACCAAGAAAGGTCGCCTTGTTTTTCTCTTTTCGCGTGGGAATCTTAAAAGGGTACTGGGTGTTTGGATGGCCCACAGTTGTTGATTTTCCCACCAGGGAACCAATAGGCAAAGTGTGTGTTTTTTGATTTACTTTCTTTCCAGGCCCTCCTATGTGACAGCCAGTGTCCGGGAAAGGGGCTCCCTACATCTGAACCCCGAGTCTTCACGTGATCCCTTTGAACCACCGGTTCGTGACGGTAGTTTTAAGGAAGGTCCACTTGAACGGTACCAGAAGATGGCGCCTTGAAATCTCGTTCCAAAGGGGCACCCTGTTTGGGCACGCAGGATTGGTGAGCAAAAAAAACGCGCCAGCCAAGCATGAGCTGAGCGCCGAAACCAGCAAACAACTTACCATATCACTTGACTGCTATTGGGTTGGATCTTTAGACTTTAACTTTTTGGGAAATCAAGAGGTTTTCAACTCAACCCCCCCAAAAAATAAACTTTTTTCAGGGGGGTCAACAGCAACCAAGATCACATCAAGCAAGTTGCACCATCATGGACACCAGATATGGAAGACTTGACCACCCAAAAGATCAGCATCCAAAAACCGCACCCCACCTCCGGTCAACACCAGCACCCTGACCAGCACTCTGACCACCCGAACACCCTGTCTCAGCGCCGAACAAGCCGATTTCCCTGGACAAACCCCATGCACCTCTTTAGAAGAACCCTCGTGGCTTTCAGCCATTTGGGGAGTTCTATGGAACCCTGGCAGACAAGTGTGGAAACGTGAGCGGCCAGCACAGCAAAACAGCGGCGGCACACCCGAATCTTTTCCTATGCTGAATCTGAGCAGCTCAACTGCTGCTAAAAGAAATACATTCTAGTTCTAGGAAGCCCAATACTGACTCGGGGATGAGTATTTGTTTTGGTTTTTCCATCAGTTTTTGCTGCGTTGTGTTCTTTGGTTCTTTGGGTCCACAGTGAATCTGGTGAGTTGGAGGGGGTGGGGGGGGGGCGTGTGGGTGGTTTCCCTTACCAAGCTCTTTTCAAGCCATACGGGCGCTACACACACCACACTCGCTTGGGTATGATGTCAACCCTTCAGTAAAAAAGGAGGCACACTCCCTACCAGGTTCTCAAGAAAAAGTATCACAAAGCAACAGCAAGTATTTGGAGAATGGGGGCCCTTAGAAACTAATGTTGACCCAAGATTAATGAACCCGTCCCATTATAGGGGGTGTTCCCTCCAAAAGTGATGAATCCCCACTAAAAGAAGACACCCCCCTACTAATCAACCAGGGGTTATTAATCCGGGGTTAACATTAGCTCCCACTAGTGCAGTGGCGCCCTTCCAATCACCGCTTAAGTTCTTTTGTGAAACATGGTCAAGCCCATAACGACTGCTTTCTCACTGGTGCTTGCCCCGTGGGCCGCAATAAATCCTACAGGAAAATAGGCAAGAATCACTAAAGCAGGGGTTGTGCCTAAGTTCCTGTCGACTTTTAGGTAGCTGCCCCCCCCCCGATCTTTTAGGGGACTCGCAAAATGGTTGATGGTACCTATCTATCTATGCACTCCTTTCTGCATACACGCGTTTTTGCCAACAGAACACTTGGCTCACTCACATGTTGCTGATTGGCATGGAGGTGGAGGCAACCGAAGAAGGTTGTTTCAACAACTTACTTCAGGGTGGACTATCGGAGTGGCAAAAATAAATAGTTTAGTCTTGTTTGGGCCCCCACTCAGGGAGTGAGACATTTGTGGTTGAACATACCTGGACCCTCAAACCACCCTTGAAAGAGGTGTTGGTTGGTGAAAGTCCTTTTTCATGGGCAGTTTGAGGGAGGTACTGTGGATCGACGAAATCCCGCACCATGCTGGGAGATGATTCCCTGTAAATGCTCATGAAAATTGGTTTCCACCATCGTTTCCAAGTGGTGCGATTTCTGGATTTCGCACCCATCCACAGGTTCAAACAACGCACCACTTGAATTCCCATTGCTCATTAGTATTTGGGGTGGTTCCGTGGTTGCCTTGCTTAAGGTATCTCCATGTAGGGAAAAAACCCACGTGGCTGGCCTCCACCCTTGTTTCGGCCACCCTGGTTTAGTGGGAAACCCCGACTTATCTGCTAAAAAACATAGTTTTCGCTCCCCTTCCAACGTCAAGCAAGTCAGTAGGTTGAAACCACGTGGCTGGCTCAACCCACCCCTTTTTTTTGCCGCCTCGAGGTGGACTTGGAGGCGATCCGAGGCATGGGGATGAGAGAGCTGGACATCAGCAACCACGAGAACTTCTTCAACTCGGAGCGAGTGAGTCGAGTGCAGGATTCGGAGCGCCGCACTTGGACCTTGCGATTGGGGTAACGGATCTTCCCTTAGACCTTGGAGGGGCAAAGGGCAGGGTTTTCAGCTTCCTCTTACCTCTTAAAAACACAACTTTTCAACTTTTTGGGGGTAACATGGGCTATATGTCTGTAAAAGATCAACTTCCCCAGGAAGTTGGGAGTTTTAAGGGGTAAGTCCTGGATTTTCAGGGCAGGGCGCAGTACTTTGCTATTGGGTAACGGATCGGATTTTTTGAGCCAGGAGTACCACGCCCGCCGAGACGAGCCTTTCTTGTCCACGGGCGGAGCCTCTTGGCTTTGCAGATGCCCATGGACCATCTCAGGTACCGGTTTCATTCATCTAGGGCTTGATTCCTCTTCCATTGTTTTCAACCATCGTTCTTTTCAAAAACCGATCGCTGTTTCCTTCTGTTCTTTTTTGATGGCTTTCAGAAAAGATCCGGATCCCTGGAAGGAATGGACATGGAAGGTAGCCCTAGAATTAAGGGCGGAGTTTTGCCAGGGCAGCCAGTGCATGTTGATTCAGAGCCACAAGTTCGTTGGGCAAACCACGCAGGAAATCACAACACAGCCCAAGAGCCAACTCTTTCAGTAGACCCTGCCGCCACAGAAACAGGCGCTCCGCAACAACACATAAAAGCCACAGGGCAGTTGCCAAGCGCCGCCATCCTTTGTGCTGCTCAACCTTCCTATGGTGAGCTGAGTAAGATTCGCACTGGCGCCTTGCTGCACTGTTCCTGGTGCCAAAGCTCTTAAAACCACAACTTCTCTCAACTTGTTGGGGGTAACATGGGCTATATGTCTGTAACATATTTTCACTTCCCCAGGAAGTTGGGAGTTTTAAGGGGTAAGCCTCCAAAGACCCGCTTTTCTCAGGCTCCATGGGCCCAAAGCAAATCCACCGGATCTAACCAAAGTAGGACTTCGTGTCGGGAAAGAAAAACCGGGGGACCTTTCAACACGGTGGGGTTTTCAACTTGGCCCTAGAGGAGCCGAAGAAGGCCTTTCACCGCCAAAGGCCGCCCCCCAAAGATGCTTAGGAGTTGGGACTTTCGAGGGTGGGCGTTCCTTAAGGCTCGCTTCCTGAGTTGGTGGACTTGAAGCTTTCTGGGGTTGGATTTTTTTTTTGGCGGTGAATCTAAAGTTTGGACTTTTTGTTAGGCCATCCACTCAGCCAGTGAGTATTAAAACCACCCGCAAGGGTACCTTTCGTTCCCCAACCGGCCCCCAGACACAGCTGGAGCTGGGTTTTGAAACGAACACTCGGGTCTTGCGCGAAGTCCTTCGCGCCCGAACAATCCGATCAGGTGATTTCTTTGCAGTTTGTTTGTAGCACCTGGCCTCAGGACGGTAGCCCGCTGCCTCTGCTTATTTGTTTGGGGGTTTGGACCAAAATTATAGTGGTCTTCAACAGGTTTCCGGATTTGTTGCTGACCAATCCACTCGATTGCATGTGAGGTAATGCCAAGCCTCAACCATGTCATGGAAGAAATTGATGGGTTGAGCGGAAGGAAACAAGCTCCCTTTGAAGTCGAGCATTATCCCTAGGTTTGATGTGGGTGGCTCGCCTTCTTTCGAGGATACCCCTTTGGGTTCTCCCTTTAAAGGAAACTGCCCATTCTTTGGGTTCTCCCTTTAAAGGGGCGATCGGGTACGTCAGGTATGTGGGTAAAGTTGCCACGGTTTTATCCGGAAATGTGCCTAAATGGGGTCAATACCCGGGGGGGTGTACTCCCAGGGTGTAATACAAAACCCCTTAGACGAGTAATACCCACGGTTAACATCCAGTTAGACCATATTTTTATGTCTCCGTTCAGTGGGTTCTAACCAGGCTTGCTAACCACTCACCTGACGAACTAAATCGAATCGCTTCGAGCTACCCCCTACTCAAAGTTCCCGCTTTTTGCAGGGTAGTTTTGGGAAAACCGATCGGTTTTCCATGGTAAATACCAAAACCTTGTCTTACCTCTTAAACAAACACAACTTTTCAACTTTGTGGGGGGTAACATGGGCTATATGTCTGTAAAAGATTAACTTCCCCAGGGCTTGGAGTTTTAAGGGGTAAGTTTTAGTAGAGGGTCGACATGAGACCAACTGACAAACCCATGGTCTCCCCTACCCCTTGGCCAAGAGGGCCAAGGTTTCCGGACCATCGGCTGGTTGAGCTAAGATTCGCAGGTGCACGTTTCCCGGCGCAAAGAAGCTTAAGGTTTGCACAGGCCAAGCCTAGATAGCCAAAGTGCGATTGCCTTCTTTTTTTTCAGTCACTGTTGCGATCGGTTTTTGGGGTAAAGTTCATGGACAAAAAGCAGCCACTGGCGATCCAGGATCCCCTTTTTTTGGAGGGGGGGCACCCAGCTTTTGGGCGGTTTAAAGGAGAACTCATTTGCGGGTGCCCGTTTTTAACAGACACACCCACATGCCTCAAATCGCGCTTATGGCATTGCTCGGCCGAATTGGTCAGAGCTGGGCTGCGACTTTTCCTCCGAACAGGGTTCCTCAACTGACCAGAATCTTCTTCCCCTTTTTCGTGCTTGCAAATTGCCGCGCAGGAGCGCCTGATGTCTCCACATCATATCTTCCAGCTACTAGCTACTAGCACGTTGCCTCCGGTTAGCCTATTGCCTCGTTTGACCAAAGTGTTTGCGATGAGCCTGGTGTTGCGTCCACACCCGGGTAACCCGAAACTCTTGAGCGAGAACCTCATAATCCTCCGTTGTTGCCCTCGTGGTCGCCCAATCTCCTCAGTTCAATGACATTTTTGCAAAAACATGCCTGGGTGGTAAGCAGCCTGCGTTCCGCAAAGGACAGGGGGATCGGGCTTTCCTGCCCCTATTTGGCAACTGGCACGATGCGCGCGCGCTTGCTCACCTCGAGCACAACGCAGCTTCCCAGTAAGATTGGCTTCGCAGGCCCCCAGCCAACAAAGCCCTGTTCCGCCGGTCCAATCTTTTCTTTGCGCAGGACGACACGCAAATTCTTGAGTTTGCGTCGGGCATGCCTTTGAGCCCCAGCTTGTCAGCACCAAGTTTTTGAAAGTCCCCGGCGCGTGACTTTTCGCTTCCAATGCCCACGCGCATGGCGCGCGGTGCCTTTACCTGCTGGCACGCCGGTATTCGGCTGGTTTTTTTTTTGGGTGGGGCTTGGCACCCCCCAACCCACATGCTCATGAGCCAAAGCTGGGCTGCGTTTGTTTGAGGCCTACTTTGTGGTCCAGTTGCTGCTTAAGCACCGCCCCAAGCAGCTAAAGAAGCTCCGCTTGGCCAATCAGGCGGGGTCTTTTGACGCCCGCCCGTGCAAAACGTGGTGCAGGATGGCCCACGAAATGAGCGACCGGCCAAGATATGCTAATGCTAGGCGATGTCGGACCATGGCAGGCGCCTTTCCATATCTACCCCGCTTCCAAGGGGTTCGGACGAGAAACTAAGGCCAGGCGAACGTATTCTTGGGAAACTGCTTTTTCAATCAAACTCAGCAGTTGGTTTCAAGGGGGCTACTCACTTGTCCAGATCCCACCCTTTGACCTTGTGGTTTCCCCATGGGTCCATGTTTAGTCGCCCCCAAAAGTTGATCACCTTTTATTTAATCTTAGCAAGTGGGTAGTTAGTAAGCCTGGTCATAACCTACTTGAGAAACTTATAACCACTCATAACCAGGCTTACGGACGCTTACGGACGACAAGTACCGATCGTTCCTTTAAGTAGTGGCTGGCCTAGCACTGACACGCAGGGTTGTGGGCAACTCGGGGCTTTTCCCCCACTGCGATATCTTCGGGGATCCCTGTTTGAAAAACAACGGGGAGGGATCTTTGTGGGTTAGGCCCTTTTTGTTGCATCACAGATTCGATTCCGTTTAGTACACCTAGGGTACTTCACCTACACAGGCGGCAGGCTGGTGTATCATGAAAACTGTCGCGAATTTCACAATCCGCGTGACAGAGAGCTTTTATGTTGGAAACCTCCCCCCCCCCAACCCTGACATCATGAATCCCCACTGAACTGCTAAACTTAACATTGTGCCCCCCTTCCAATGCCAACCCCGACTTGTCTTGGCCACATCCCATGCGGCAGGCCTTGGCATCGGACACCGCCGGGGTAGTGGAGCGCCTCGGCCCGCTGTTGCGCGCAAGCGCGCAAGCAAGCGATGGGAAGTGGGGAACAAGAGCTTCCATTTGCTTATGAGGTCCAAGGCTTCAAAAGGTTAAGTCCTGGCAAGCGAGTTATGTTGCATAGTTGGCCTTCGTTTAACATTTGCTGAAGAATACTTTGTATTTTCCATTGTTGGTATTAACAGGAACTTCTTCACTACAGGAAATATTGTTCCAGGGGTCTGAACCAAATGAAAAGGAGGAGGCACGAGTTGGTAGTTAACCATAGTTTGACCCTCCCTAAGGCTCCCGATTGTTTTTGGGCCCTCTCTACTCTGAGGTTGTTTTCTTGGGCTCAGCCTGCGCCCAACGTAAATAGTAGAATTTTGTCCATCCACAGTAGGCTCACTCCCTGAGTTCCGTTTCGGACGTTTTAAACACTTTTTGGGTTTGGACTATTTTAGTGGAACATCAGAAGTTCAGACTTGTTTGGCTCATCCACAGGAAGTGAGCAGGTGCATCCATCCCCAATGGTGCGAAGCGAATTTCTTCCACAGTTGCATCAGAATATAGCTTGTTATTGTCCCCTGTTTTGAAGCCACCGGAAATTTGCTTTTTCCCAGGGGACAGATCCGCAAATGTTTTATTCCTCATGGGCTGCACCAAAAGAGGGGTTGTTCTTACATGTTGGTTTCCACCAGCTAGCTCCGCAATGTCAACTTCGGATTAAAGCGGAAATAGTGGGGGGGTTGCTCTGCTTTTTCACGCGTTTAGTTTTCTGGGTGGTCCCTGGAAAAAGGTAGGATGGGCTCATTGACTTAGGATTCCCATTAGGCTGCATGAATCGGAGTTGCCGGGGCAAGGGGCAAATCAATACGCCAACCCACCAGCAGAATTGTTCTCAGAACCATTCGGTCGGAATCCGGCAAAGCGGTGGTTTCGATTCCCTTGAAATAACCCCAACAGGGGTTCCCTCACAAAAAGGGACCGCATGATGGAAAGCTCGTGTGTTTGTTTCTTGCACTTGGGATGCTTCCCAGCCGCCGTTCGTCAACTCAGGTACCCCTTAGTTGGAAACCTCCAAACAACCCCAAACCCGTCAACAATTAGAGAGGAGCTCATCAACCATGGGACAGGTTTTCCCTTGTGAAGAAGGTTGGCCTTTGGCACGTGGTGATATTGGAACTAGAGAAGGGGTCGTGGATTGGATGGCTTGAATTCGTGACGCTTAGCGTTGAAAAACTGCTTGGATTGGTTTGGGGCGTTCCATGCTTTCAGGTCCATGGGGGGCAGTTTATGAAACGGTTTGCGATGGCCCGGACACGAAAGGAGCTAGGCTGATCTTGCCGGCGCCACAATATGATGGTTCTCTTTTGATGGGTGCTTTGAGGTCCAGATGGGGGAGAAAGTGCGTTTGGTGGTGAATTCGCTGGCTTGGCTACATACACACACATATATATATATATATATATATATCAGTGATCTTCGCGATGGTCTCTGGGGATTGGAAACGACTTGACATCATCTCAGCAGTTCAAAACCGACATTTTAATGCATGTGTGTGTGTGTGTTCTCTTTGTGGTCCAAGGCTTCAAAAGGTCCTGGCAAGTGAGTCATATTGTGAGTTGGCCATAGTTGGCCTTTGTTTTGCATTTGCAGAATACTTTGTATGTTTCCTTGTTGGTTTTAAAGGGAAGCTATCACTACTGGAAACAAAGTTATAATTTCCAGGGGGTCATTCTTCTTTCCCAGCCCTAGGTGGCTTTTCCTCCAGATATGAAGATCATATGGAAGCTTGCGTATTTTGCTCAGTAACCAATTCCATGTGTATGGGCCGGAAACTACGCAAAAACAGGGGCAACCCAATTTTAAGATGGTTGTTTCAGGCCTGGCTTTAAAAGGACATCGACAGTGCTCGTTTGTTTCTTTCCTCAGGGGACCAAAAGCAGACATGGATGGCCACACATACCAGCTTCCAGGGGTTTGGGCAACTTACAACTCTTGATGCTTGAGTTGCCTGGTGACGAACACCCTCACTGGCATCACTGAATCACGGGTGCCTGGCTTTTCAAACTACCAACATTTGGTATTGCCAAGGGAATAAGGACATGAAGGACCTCACTTGGGATCTGGTCCCTCATCAACATCTGTTCGCGGGTATGGTCGTGTTCCCTTCCTACAACAAAATGTTTGAGTTCCTCCAGATAGTAGTTCAACGCCTCATGGTCCACAACGTTTGTGGCAGCCAGGCTACCAGTTTTAGGTTGGAAGGCCACCCGTTTTCTCAGCATCCCAGCCAAACCTTTGCCGGGTTCCACTAAATGAGCACCATCTTAGATTCCATGGAAAAGGTATGGAACGAGGCCGTTCGATGACACGCAAAGGGTGGCTGACTTGCAACTTGGAGGCTTGAGACCTGGGCCTTCAATAGCTCGGAGCCAAAAAACGCCCAATGCGGTTGACCACCCTGGAGGAAGACCTCCATTTTGGAGGTCCCCTCCAAAAAGGAATGGTGGACACCATCCCAACCAAACCTTCCCAGAATTACTTCCCCTTTTTAGTTTCTTGCTTTTCTGGGGTTCCCTTTTTCCACTAACCAGGCCAAAAAATACATATATATATATATTTTTGCTGGGGTCCGAATTCCAAGTAAGACGCTCTTCCGCTCCTGCGAGGCTTTACGACCAGTTGGGCCTTGCGCTGGCGGGCAGCCCCCTGGAAACTCTGGACCTGAGCGGCTTCTGGGCGCCGCGGGTTTCGTTTCAGCGCGCCCACGGCCTTTGCTGAAAGGGGCGGAGGCTTTTTTTTTGTCAGCCCTTTCTGAGAGGAACTTTTGTCACTTTTTAGGGGTTTGGATCATTTTAGTGGCAAAAAGGGTGGTTGCTTCTAGGCCCCCCAGCGATCGGTGCCCTTTTTTTGTTCACCCGTTTTTGGTTGGGAGATTCGGTGGCCCAGCTGAAATAGAGTACAGACAAAAGGGCACCCCTATTCTAACCTCTCTGCTGGAGGACCTAGTTGTGAGTGGTCAGGCCTAGCTATATCAGAACGGAGACTCATAACATGGCTTTTGTGGCTTAGGACTATGGGTAAGACCCACTTACAAAGTACCCTGCTCTTAAAAGATTGTGCATTGCCCCTCACTCTAACTGGGTGAGGTGGACCTCCCTATGGTTTTTGGGATTCTTTTGATCTATTTGAACATTTTAGCCACAATGAAAACCCGGGTAGATGAAGGTTAGTCAGGGGCAGTCGCCAGAAAGAGTTTCGGCCGCCTTCTTAATTCTTCACATGGTTCTGGGTAGACCATTTTCTCACTTCCTGAGTTGGTGGACTATAAACTTTTTGGGAAGACCATTCTGGTGGTAAATCTAAAGTTTGGACTTCTTTTGGGCCATCCACTCAGCAAGTGAGTTTTAATACCGGGTTTTGGTTACTCATTTCGGGTGTTGCGTGGGTCTTTGCCAAAGCCAACCTGACGAGCCCAAAGAAGGCTCCGTCAATGGCACTTTGGTTTTCAACCGCGGCCTAAGGAACACCAGAAGGGCGGTTGGTGGGTGAAACCACCGCAAAACAGTTTTTGCAACCAACCCTCCCTCCCCATTTTTTCCATATATATATATATTGTTGGAGGGGGGGATCCAGCTTTGAATGGTTTGGGAATTTGAGACCCTGGCTGGCGCAGAGGTTTCACCATCACACCCACCAATCCAAGCATTGGAGCCGGCTGGGCTCCCTGCTTGAGTGTTTGGCGAGTAAGTTGTTGGTACAGGCGAGATAATTCACTTCTAAGTCCCCGTGATTGTGGGGTTCATTCTGGTATTACTGGGTTATAACCCAAGTGGCGTTTTTGACTCCGAACATCCAAGTACAAAGTGCCTGGACCCTCAAAGAGCCCTTTAAAGAAATGGGTTATTGCCATAGGGTGAATTCCATGTTTTGCCTGCAGTTTGAGGATCCAGGTTCTTTTTGTCCAGATAGGCGGCTTGAGGCTTTGAAGCTCTGGTTCCTGTAGAAGCCATCCCCCCTCAACCACCAAGCCGGACGGCTGCGGCACAACGCGGAGGTCTTTTCTCTTCGCTTTTCGCTGAGGACTCGGGCGCGGAGGCGGGCATTGCGCTGGGCCGGCGCTTGAAGGAGTCTCCGGTGAAGAAGCTTCTTGGCCGAGCTTGGCACGACTCAAGGGCCCCGAGCCCAGGGCCCCAAGACCTTGGAGGTCTTTGGGGGAAGCTTTCCTCTTAGAAACACAAAGCTTTTCTCAACTTTTTTGGGGGGTAGCATGGGGTCTATATGTCTGTGAAAGATGAAAACTTCCCCAGGAAGTTGGGAGTTTTAAGGGGTAAGGGGAATAGGCCTTCATATTTGGGGGTCTCCTAGATTTGGGAAGCCAGAAGGACACCAACCCTGGAGGTCCAAATCCCCCGTCAAGAATATATCCACAGGCGCTCTTTTTCAGGCGGTGGTTGGTAGGGCGTTCCGCAGCTACGTAGGGGTAGCCAAATTTGCCGCTTGAATCTCGGTTTCGCAGAAGTGCCCTTCTCTGCCCGTTTTTTGGGGAGGGTTCCCCTACTAAAATAGACTACAGAAAAAAAAGTTACCCTTATTCTAACCTCTCTACTGAAGGACCTAGACATAGTTGCTTTGGGTTTGGACCATTGTGTCGGTAAAGAAGCTTAGACTTCGATGCCAAAGGAGCCTCGTTTAAAGGGACAAAGTAGTCAGAGGATGGTCCACGAGGTATCATAGGATTTTCTACTGCCAATGGTTTTGGGGTGCAGGCCCTACTTGTTAATTCTGTGGATGGACAAAATCCTGCACCACCGTTCAGAAACACTGGAATGATGATGCCCCTGCACATACAAACAAACCTTATGCATGTTTTTCAGGTGGTGCGATTTCTGGATTTCGTCCATCCACAGTTTGAATCTATGTTGACCCCTCAATAATCTGAGCCGCTCCGTTGCTTGTTTTAGCGGATAGGAATCCCATCAAGCAGGCCCTGATTTTTAAACGCGGGGTTTATGCATCAGGGGTCGACATTACTTGGTGGCTCCCAGCCATCCGGTTCCTTAGCCTTTTAGTTTTTTAGTGTTTAGTGGTAGTTTCCATTCAATCCACTAAAAGTTGAGGGCAGCCCCGATTAGTGAGTGGCTGGGACAATTTGCCAAGTTAGTAAGTGGCTGAAAACCAAGTGGGGATGCCTTTTGGACATCTTATCCCGTGAGAAAACTCAAAGCTTTTTGGGTGCTTCGTGGATTTGGTTTGAAAAGGACGCACCGAGTTTCAAAAAAGACCGATCATGACTGACTTTGGGGTGTCAACAGCAAATGCGTCCTTGGCAACCGTGGTTTGCTTCAGTTTCCAAATAGGGGAAACCAGGGATGAGTACCTCAACCCTCAAACTGCCCATAAACATGTTGGCTCTTGCCCAAAATGATGGGGTGATGTCTAGTTGGAGGGTCCAGGTGCCCCACTCGTTCAGGCTATGTTGTCAATCTTGTTCTAAAACAGGAGGTATCTATCTACCCTGGCAAAAGTTCGCTCAAAGCATACCCTAAATAAAGAAGGTGCGTATTTTGTGCGCAGGTTGTTTCTCCTAATTTTGCAAGACACCTGTTTAACACGCAATTATCCTTCAGGTTCGCACAGGGTCGACGTTTGCGAACGGCTGGTGCCTTGGATCTTTGACCTTGACCTCTGTGGGTCTTCATGTTGCTTTATGTGTTTGCTAAGCCGCAAAAGCATTAAGCTTCTTGGGCAGAGGGTCATAGCCACCAAGGCTTGTATTAAATGAAGTAATGGCTAAAATTGACCAACTTGCTGGCGCTCAGCAGGGAATGAGGGAATGACCCTTATAAACCATCCCTTGCGGTTTCCTTGAACATTCCCTACTGGGCACCAGCAAGCCGAGTGGAGCTGGTTGAATGCTGGCCCAGTGGAGTTGCATTTTTCCATCAACCAGCGGCTTGCCGATTGAATCGCCCAGGTCGTATCCCCAACAGCCGGAAAAACCTGCTATCCGCAACCCTCCTTGAGAGCTGCTCCGAACCCCAGCAAAAGGCAGACACATAAGCACACATTTTCCGTTCACCAGCACAAGCAACCAACACTTGCTGGTGCGATAGGGAATGAGGGAATGAACCTGGGGATTCCCTTAAAGGAAACCACAAGGAATTTTTCGCACCAGCAAGACAACGAAAAAACTTTTCCGGAAGATGTGCATTCTTCCCAGCAACCCGAAACGAAGGCTTCAACGAACCAGACCATTCCCCCGCTCCTGCGGGCAAGGCTCTCAGTGGGCACCGGGGTGCTGGACATGACGAAGCTCCGGCAAGGCGGGGGAAAGCCACGAGTTTTTCCGACGCGGGAAAGCCACGGGTTTTTCCGACGTGGGCCGTGTTTTTTTTTGTGAAAATCATCCCCTATAGCCTATAAACCATTTCTTGTGGTTTCCTTTAAGGGGACCCCTGTGTTTATTGGGTTTATTCCCTCATTCCCTACCTATCGCACCAGCAAGCTTTGAATGGGAAGCGGGCGCTACAGAACTCCTTGCCTTGGACGAATGAGTTTCACATATCCCTAGGAGCCCAAGGCCATAGATCCCCCAAATTGAGCCCCAACAAGATTCAGGCCTTGGGATTTTAGGCCTTGTGCTTTTCGCAGAATATGCTTCTGCTTCGGCTTTCTGCTTTCTGCTCTGCTGGATTCAAAAGGGAATCTATTGCTGTTCTTTTTGCCAAACGTATCGATGGCAAGGGACTGAGGTGTGTGGTATCTGTTTGCTTTCCGAAGCCGGAAACTGTGAGTTCAGCTCCACGGCTGCCCTGCAAGATTTGCAAAGCTGAGCTTCGCTCTTGATTGAAGCCGAATCGGTTTGGAGGTTTGGAGCTTGGTTGGTTTGCTTCCAATTGCTGAAGAGTATTTTTCCCTTTGTGGTTTTAAAGGGATCCAATCACTACTGGATATCCATTGGTATTTTTACAGGAACATCAGCAACTGGAAGGTTGGGTGGTTTAAATCCAAATCCAAAATCACCAACTGAACCCACCAACTAATGCTTGCCTGGTAAGCAAAGCTTTCTAGTGTCATGGGGGCTGGGGGGGAGGAGGGGGAGGGGCAAAAAAAACCACGAGAGCCGCGTCCTAGTCCAGAGGAATTCACCCCTTTGCTCCCCGTGGCCCCTGGGCAAGGTTTACTGAGAACGGAGGCAGTACAAGAACATCCAGACTACCAAAAGCAACACACAAATGGCGGTGGGTCAAACCCTTTTACAGGGGCAGGTGCACCACCCATTTTAGTCGGAATTTTGTGGGGATTGGGATGTTCACTGGGTGTACGATTTGGATTTTGACCCATGGCCATATAACAACACAAGGAGAAGGTATGACCTCTACGTTCTGGAAGCATGAAACGCATGAAAAGCTCTACATGGAAATGAAAAACATGAAAACACATTTCGGGAAACATGATTCCTTATGACCTCCACAAGGCACACGTCACACTTTTCTCGCTGCACACTTCACAAAAAGCACAGCACATCACCACAGCACATCACTGTTTTCAGATCTAGGTTGCACCAGAATGTGTGTGTGTGTGTGTGTTGAGGGTACCCTTCTGAGGGGGAATCTTAGCTGCTGTTATAGCTCCATATCCCCGGTTCTTGTGAGAGTAAATGAGTCGAAAAAGAAAACCTGTTGCATGTGCCAATGTAAGGCATGATCCCAGTTGTTTTGAACCTATCAATTTAGCTGCACCGCCGCTTGTAATTTGAAGGGCAGGAGTGTGTTGCAGGAGCGGCCGCGCAAGTCAAACATGGGGCTGCGCAAGTACAGCGCAAGTGAAGCGCAAGTGACAGAGTGATTCATCATCATCATCATCGTCATCGTCATCGTCATCGTCATGATGACCCAAAGATCAGCAAGTTTCGCGCAAGTCCCGCACAAGTCGGGCGCAGCCCGCAGATACCCCCAAACTGCTTGGAGCAGGAGTGGCCCATTTCTGCATTTTGCATTTTCTTCTTTCTGCAGATCCCAGCAGTTTTGCCGAGTGAGTTTGTTAGCAGACAATTTGCAGCGGTGTCTACACATGAGACCTCATACACTTAAAGGGGCACCTCATGCTTGTGAAGACCGCCGCTTGGATTTGCAATGAAAACAACTTGGGATAAGAGTTTTAATACGGGTGTTTTGTTCCAGCTCCAATGGGCATGTAATGTTGATTAGGGACCCTTTGGTTTTGGCATCAAGATGGGCATTCAGGTCCAACGACTTTTTGCCGGTTCCCTGGTAAAACTTATCTAGGTCCCCAGTAGTGCCCTTTTACCGATTCTTTTTTCGGGGAGATTCGGTTCCCCTACTAAAATAGACGCAACTGAAAAAATCGTTGGTACCAACTTCTTACCTCTCAAATCTGGAGGACCTAGGTTTCCTTCCCATCCTAGGAGTTCAAATCCAAAATCAAAAGCCCAAGTAAGGCTCCAAAAAGTCTGGAGGGCCTAGCTGTTGCCAGCCCTCTAAAGCCCAAAAGGAGAATGGCGAAGGGTCACCTGGGAGTACCGAACCGGGCGACGACGTCAGGCGAAGAAGGCAGCACCTTGCAGCTGGGATCCTCGAGGCCGTGACAAAGAAAGGGTCCATGACTTCCATTTGTTTTAAATGTGTTTTGCGATTTGGCGATTTTCTGTGTTGTTAGTTTTTTTTAGTTTTGTTAGTTGGCGATGTTCTGTTTTGTTAGTCTTGCTATTTGGCTGTTTGTGTTTGTATTTGGTTAGTTTAGCTTTAGTTGTGTTATTGAGTTATTTTGTTACTTTAGTTTTAGTTGTTATTGTGGTGTTTTTGTTTTGTTTGTTTTTATTATTATTATTATTATTATTATTATTATTATTATTATTATTATTATGATTATTTTTTTTATTTTATTATTGTGTTGTGGTTTTATGTGTTTTGTTTATTTCGCGTGCTTGTCATTTTTGTTATTGTGCTGTTTAAAGTGTTTGTTACTTATTGATATTACATTAATATGTTGTGTTCTTTCCCCTTGTTGTGTTTACAGGGGATCTATCACTATTCCATCACTACTGGATCTTTGTTTGCTTATTTTTGTCCAGGTAGCTTAAGCAAATGGAAGATGATAGTCTCTTTGGGACTGTGCTGAAGAGAAACAGTGAACCATCCATTTCCGAGGGAGTGGCGGTTATTTTGATAGTACCCAACATGTTTAGAGCCAAGTTCCCACTGCGCCGACCACGCCTGATCCCTTCGCAGCCCGGTCGGACAGGATGCGCGACTGCGGCGCGGGCATCGTCAGCCAATGTTTGCCGAAGCTCACTTGCAGGTGATTATTCGGATGGTTTCTGGGGGTTATCAAAGTCAGTAAATGCAATCGGTTGTTTCGAATTCTCAACCCACCACTTAGGGACCCACTGCTGTTGCTGCTTTTGGGGCCTGACCCCCTCTAACAAGAAAACGCCGCGCATTTAGTTGCACTGATCGAGTCGCAAAGAAAGACTTAGGGGGTGACTCTGATGGTAAAATAATGAGGCCAGTGACTTGCCAAAGCGAATCAATCTTTTATTTCAGGGTGTGGGGCCTTGACTTTTGTAGGGCGTGTGTGTTTTTTTAGTCCCGCCGCAATGCCTTCGGCCCCCTTTTGATTTCCCTTTACATGGTCGTTGTTGGGAAGCATTCTACATTTTTGCTTATTGTGGTTTAGTGGGAAATCCCCACTTAACTGCTAACATTTAAATTTTGCTCCCTTTCCAACGTACGATGATTCCCCCAGTAAATACCATCGATACCATGGTTTCAACCATGTTTTCCGAGTGGTGCGGCTTCTGGATTTCGCGGCCATCCACAGCAGTTATACAACTGCAAATTCCTTGGTTTTAAAGGAACCGATTTCACTACTGGGCATGCATGTTTTCCCCAGGCGAAAAAGCACATGGAAGGTGAAGGCTGCAAAAGGTGAAGGCTGCTTCCGGGTCCACAGCTCTCAGGAAGGGGGTTGTCCTGGACCTGAAGGGCGCCGGACTGGGCGCGCACGGCTACAAGGCCCGGGAGTTTTAGCGGATGGGACTTAGGAAGTCCCAGCGGATTTGCCGTGTCTTCACTGTTGGCAGGCAGGTTCTTAGGATTTTTAGGTGTTGTTTTTTTCTTTCTCGGAACTTGCTGGTTTTTAGTGGCTGCAAGCAACAAAGTGCTTGACTACCATGCCAAGGGTTGGAAAGGTGTTTTACCAGGGTGTTGGGTTGGCCATATGGACCTGAAGCAACTGTCCATGAATACATGGCCTCTGCCCCGAAAATTATGGGATGAATTCCCCCCTTTTTGTGCCTTGACGATGAGTTCGTCTATTCAGAAGGCCCACGAAAAAGGTGTTCATCTTGGAATTCAACTACCAAAAGCCTGCCTGGACCTTCAAACTACCCTGAACCATCTGATGCTGCATCAAACGTGTAGGGGTCACCTCTCCTTGCTGGGACTTTGAGGGTCTTTATCAGGGGTGCGCGAATCGGTACGTCAGGTAAATGGTGAGAGTAAGCCTGGTTATGACTCACTTAGACTTATAGCTCGGCTTTTTGTGGTTTATCTCACCCTGGATAATAAATATCCTCCACTTAAGTACCCGATCGCTCCTTTAAGTAGCTGCACTTTTTAGTGGGACACAGGAACAATGGCTTTTTTTTTTTTTTTTTTTTTTTTTTTTTTATTAAGGCACACTTTTTATGGTACACTTTTCATGGCTTTTTCTTTCTCCCCATGGGAACAAACGCCTCCACTTCTCCCCCTCGTTGCTTCGAGCGGGCGCATTCGCGCCTGCGCCACTGGGCAGGTGCTCTCTCAGTGTGAGGCAGTGGTGAAGATCGACGGCCCCTCGGCGAAAATCGGCGCTGGGAGACGTTTTCTATCTAGGGCTACCTTCCACAAATTCTAGGGTTGCCTTTTTTTTCCAACAAATGGGCAATGGTTGTCTAGGTCCCCCAGTTCTGCCACCAATGGATGGACAATGGTTGTCTAGGTCCCCCTGTTCTGCCACCAATGGATGGACAATGGTTGTCTAGGTCAGCCAGTTCTGCCACGAATGGATGGACAATGGTTGTCTAGGTCCCCCAGTTCTGCCACGAATGGATGGACAATGATTGTCTAGGTCCCCCAGTTCTGCCACGAATGGATGGACAATGGTTGTCTAGGTCCCCCAGTTCTGCCACCAATGGATGGACAATAGTTGTCTAGGTCCCCCAGCTAAGTGCCCTTTCTCACCCAACTTTTTTGGTTGGGAGGGTTGGGAACCCTCTACTTTTTGACCTCTCTACTGGAGGACCTAGAGCTACCTTCCATGTCCAAACCAAAGTACCAGTACACCGTGAGGATTGGAGTGTAGAACTTTCTAGGGCCAACTTCTACCTTTTTGAATCAGCCTCTTTCCAACAATCATGGAAGTGGACAGGGGGCTTCCCCAAAAGGAAACTAGTCTTCCCAAACCCTTCTGTCAGCTTCTATGATTGTTGGAGGGAGGGAGTTGGCTTGGATTGGCGTTTTGGGGGGGGGTTGAAGCCAATTGGAGAAATCACATGGGGAAGAAACCCGAAGGTCCAAACCAAACCACCAGAAAACCGTGAGGATTGGAGTGTAGAGTTGGCTTTTGTTCTTGGGCGAGTTGTGGGGTTGGAAATCCGGTAATTCTAGGGGACACTTCCATGTCCATTCTTTCCAGGGATCCGAATCTTTCTAAAAAGCCACCAAACACCCTGGGGAAACAGCTACCGGTTTTTGAGAAGAACGGTGGTTGAAAAAAATGGTTGGAATCAACCCCTAGAACGAAGTTTGTCGGTTCTTGGCATGGCGTTTTATAGGCTGTGCCTCTGTCACCAAGATGGCACTGTGGTATGTGGAAACTGTGTTTTTAATGATTTTTAGATTCCTCCGTTGGTCGAAGTGCACATTTTTCGTATTCTCCCTTGCTGGTTGTAAAGGGAACCTATGTCTTACCCTCCCACCTCTGCTTTTCGGGCCTGGAGTTCGAAAGGATGGGGAAGCTGGCCCCTGTGTTTGGGGCTGGCGAATTCTGCCTCCCACTCCTTTTTGTTTTGTTTGCACATAGGTCACTGCGCAGCTTGTTTTGTGAACTACCCATGAATACAGGGAGCTCAGTCCACAATTCTGGTTATTTGTTGTTTCTCTTTTGTTTATGGGCCTACTTCGACCCCCTGCTCCAAGTACTCTCTTTTTTGCAGGGTATCATGTCGACCCTCTACCAAAAAAGGACGTATTTACCATGGAAACCAGTCTTTTTTGTAATACCGTGAACAAAAAGCGTTGGTATTTTACGTAGGGGGTGTGGGCCCAGTTGGGGGCTGCCAGTTGGGTCCAGGTGCATCTGGAATGGACTCATGGCTTGTTTTCCGTGAGGTGTGGACCTCTCTGACTTCCAGGCCTCGGATTGATTTCGCAAGCTCGAGCGAGCCATCGCCAGGAAACCGACTTTGTTTGCGTGCAACAAATACTGTGGATGGACGGAATCATGCACCACTTGGAAACCATGGGAAATCATAACGTTTGTTGGCATTTACAGGGGTATCATCATTCCAGGGTTTCTGAGGTGGTGCAGGATTTCGTTCATCCACAGTAGGTCCCCCAGCGATCGGTGCCCTTCTCTCCCCTTTTTTGGTTGGGAGGGGTTCCCCCGCCTAAAATGGACTGCAGGAAAGAAGTTGGTACCCTTATTCTAAGCTCTCTACCGGAGGACCTATACAAGGGCCGACCCGGAAAACACCCGAAAGACAAAGTTGGGGGGATGATTGCCAACCAAAATTGATGAAGTTAGTGAGTTTTCCGGGTTTTACTTATGGTTGGTGAATTTTCCTCCCCGTTTTTACGGATAGTTTCTTCGGGTCGCTCTCCAGTACCCGGGGCCCAGGACTCTGCTTGGTCTCTGTCTAAAACCCTTTTGGTATAAGCAACCAAGGCAGTGGTTGGGACCCGGGTGCTGGTTGGTATAGATTTGTTTTTCCCCGGTGAACCTGGTTTTCCATCCCTAGATTCCCAAGACCATAAAGATCAAGGCCTTTGATCCCCAAAGACCTCAAATAAGGGGTGGTCTTTGCGGATGGCTTTTTCCATTAGGCCCCCCCCTTGTGAAACCAGTCAACCAAACCCTGAAACTCCAATCGATTTGTTTTTGCGAGGGACCCCCAGTTGGTTGGGTTTTAAACGGAAGCCGACAGGACAACCACCTTTTGTTTTGGGCAGGGGGTCCTTAAAACATGACAGACCCAGTTGGCAATATATGGCTGCGGGTCAAAACCAATGGGATCATTTTGGGGTAGGTGCACCGCTCATTTTAGTCCATTTTGGTGGGGATTGGGATGTTTATTGGGGGTAAGGGATTTTGACCCGCGGCCATATGTTATGACAAGCTCAGTTCTCCATAGAGAAACACTTTCACCACGGGAGACATACGCATCAAAGGCTGATTATATGGGGCCATATATGAACCAATGGTCATGTTGGACCGGCTCCTTGACACACAACCTGGGTGTTCATGCCAGGGGCTCAAAGATGGGCATGCCCCTCCAACCCCACATGCCAAGTAGTTTCAAGGGTATCGTTCCAACCCCTGACTAAAAGTAGATATTCCCCGGCCTTTTCACTTGAAAGACCCGGCCTTCCAAAAAAAGCTACTATAAAGGAATATGCCCTTCCACGTTGCCATGGCACCAGACAGGGGGCAGCAAGTGGCAAGAGGACAATTCTCTTCGAGGTCCCCGACAAGTGCCACGTTCGTGGGAGGGAGGGCATTTTTTTCCTTGGAAGACCAGGTCTTTCAAAAAAAACGAACAAGTCAGTGTAGCCAATGTTTGCCAATGTTTGCTTCCAAAAACTGATAAACTGGCCTTCCAAGAAAAGCAAACAAACAAGTCAGTGTGTAGCCAGGGTATTTGTCCTCCAAGACCTAAGTCAGCCCAGCCCCTTCCAGGTACCCGAGCGCCATGGTGGGACTTCGGAAGTCCCCCAGTCTCAAACAGTTTCCGAGTCTCAACAAACGAACAAGTCACCGCGCGGAGTGCCAGGAGGACGCTGAGACCTTGGACTTCTCCCAGGACCCTCAGAACTCCACGGGCTCCGTGGCCGCCATCATCGCGCGCACCGCGCCTCGATCGGAATCCCCGGGGAAAACATCCGGATCGATCCGCCGCCCAAAGGCGGCTGGGGGGGGGGGGGAAGGAAAATGCGTGTGGGACCGCGTGATAGCACGTGCTTTTGGCGGGAAGCAAGTTGTTAGTTTCCTGGACCCTCAAACTACCTATTAAATAGGGGTCGTTGCCCAAAAAAGTATGGTTTCTAGGAGCAGTTTGAGGGTGCATATTCTTGGCTCGGTTGCAGTCTGTTGCTTCCAAACCGTTTGGTTTGGGAAGCAACGGTTTGGTTTGAAGGAGCAGTTCTTGGGACGTTTTCTCACTTTGCAGTCACCCAAAAGAAGGAGGTCGCAAAATAGACCCCTTCAGTGTCCACCATACCCCCCCCCCCCCACCCCGTCCCGTCCCCGTCGCCTTGTCCCCTTCCTGGCGGTCAAATATTGCCTGGAAAAAGCCAAGGCTTGGCAAAGGCAACTCAGCAGAAGGGCCCTCGATCTTAGTGGGGATACAGCCATGGCCGCTAACCACTGTCCCATTCACAACGCATTTTGTAAGCGGTGACTTTGGGCGCTAAGTCGCCCAACATCCTCCATACTTCATGTGTGAGGTGGTTTGGTTTAACGGCAGTTCCTATTTAGCCACTTATTGTCTACTTGTTGAATTCGACCAAGTTAGCGAGTTCTTGGTAACTAGGCTACCCACTTATATACATCCCCTCAAGTGGGGTTAGCCCTAGGGAGTGGTTAATAATTCAAGTGGCCAACGACTTGATTTTTGCAAGAACCCCAGGGTCGAATCGAGAAAGGTTGGACCCGATTTGGATGACAATCCTTATATGGACAATAGTTGTTAAATGAACCCAACCATTGTTTTACTGGCCTCATTATTTTACCATGATCAAAGTCACCCTCCCAAGCAATTGGTTAAAGGGGAACGACCCATTCCACGTTCTGACTTTTAACCTCCAGAAACCATCACAAACATGACCTCAGTAGTGCCCTTTTCCCCATTTTTTGCCGATTTTTTGGGGGAGGGTTCCCCTACTAAAATAGACAACAGAGGAAAACAGTTGGTACCAACTTATTCTACCTGGTCTCAGTTCCAGGGAGGCTCAACCATCGTGCCGAGATCCAGCTCCCAGCCCCCAGCTCCCAGCTCCCCCGCCTCAAGCGTCGCGCTTCAGGTCTTGACGCCGAAGCTTCGGTCGCTGAACCTCTCAGGCAGCCGGGGCCCCCAGGTCCTTGGAATCGACCCAGAGTCATCTTTGCCGCTTTTCCTCAGTTCAGTGGGTCCCTTTTTGCATTTTTTGGTGGCTGCCCAAAAAAGGGTTCCCTTTTTTCATCCTGAAACCTTTGCCGTTTTTCTGCCTGATTCTTTTCACAACCTGTTCTATGGCCGAAAGTCCTGAAAGCCAAACTTGCCAAACTCATCCACCCACCTATCGTTGTCCGGCAAAAAAAAGGCGCAGGTGGCAGTATGTTTTTGTTTGAGGGTAGTCAAAGGTGGACAGATCCCAGGCTTAGGGCTGAGTGTTATAAGGTTCGCCAAGGATGAGGACATTCACGAATGCTTGGGAGGTTTTCCCAAAGTCTGCAACTCCCGGATCAAAATGGGTGGGCATCTCCCCTTGAGACGCAAGCCCAAATCAACCAGGGTGAATTTCCGTTGTCATGCACCTTTGCCCCGTTGGAGGACACCTGCCCGTTGGACACCTGACAATTAAGGCTTAATTCAGAGGCCCAAGTGTTTAACAGCCCACGGGGCGCGGCCCTTATTTTCGCTTTCTCTCAAGACTGTCAACAGGCAAAGCGGTGCAGCTCCTTCCGCTTTTTGGGAAAATGGGCAGAAATACGGCAGTGTCCTTGTAGGACACTTGCGTGATTGCCAAGAAAGAAACTTGAGGAAGCCGAAGCTTCCATTTGCTCAATGCGTTTTGTATTTTCCCCTGCTGGTTTTAAAGGGAGTCGAGCACTGCTGGCAATGTGTGATTTTTTGCAGGGGACTTAGGCAAATTGAGAAATTGAGGATGGATGATGTTGGGAAAAGGAAGATTTCAAAGTCACTCATGGTCCTCTGCGGCCGGGTTGGTGGCCGAACCTGGGACCCCAATCAGGATTTGTTACATACTCTACCAACTTGTTCTACGGTATGCTGTCGGATGATATCAACCCTGACCAAAAAAGAACGTATTTGCTGTGGAAAACCATAGTTTTCGAGTATTTGGAGTACGGGGCTGTACCCGGGTTGGGTAGTTTTTGTTACTTGCTATGCTTCCCCTACTAAAGTAGACTGAACCGAAAACAAATCGGGTACCAACTTATTCTAACCTCTCAAATCTGGAGGACCTACAAGTAGACTTGGTCCATCCGTCCCCGTCTTGTCCCTACTTGGGGTGAAATAGACTCCCTAACTGACTGAGGTTTTTTGAGTTTTTCCCAGGCTCGCCATTTGAATACCTGGTTTTAAGAGGCATTTGGTCCATCCCTTTCGCTTCTGAGGCAATCTCACCAGCAAGAATCGCTCACCTCCCAGAGGCTCCTGGCGCTTTCAATAAAAAGGAAGCAACCCCCTCCATTAAACACCCCGGGAATTGGTGGTTGGTCTCAAAACCAGGTTCTAAGGCCCTAAATCCATCGAATTCGAGCCTTTGGGTATGTACATTCAGCCTTAAAACCTACCTTGGATTCTTTTTGCAGGGTATCATGTCGACCCCCAATCAACCGAGAGCCTCTGGGCTGAGGCAATCTCACCAGCAAGAGTCACGTGCACCCCTTGACTCCGGTGGTCGGGGGCTACGGCGGGATCGGCTGCAACGGCGGCTGCGACTGCCGCCACTTTCAGGATGGGATGGAATGAGCCGGCCTTTGGCTTCCAGTTTCTTTTCCTTGTTGATGTTAAAAGGAATTTATCACTACCTGGCACCCCAAGTAGCTACTTGTTTCAGTCACTTTACCCACTAGTAGCCCCAAATTTGGCAAAGTAGCTGGAACACAAACGCAACTGGGGATCTAGGTACTGGACATATTTCTATTTTTGTCCAGGTGTCTCAACCAAATGGGAGTTGGGTGTCCCCTTGGGCGTAACTTGTTTTGTTGAGAAAGATTAGCAGTTGCCCCAAGATGATGGAGTGCATTCCCTTTGTTTATGGGTAATGTCAGCAGACGATTAGTAAACCCCCCCCGATTAAAGGTTTCCCCTTTTCCCCCCCAGGTTCCAACCAACACTAAAGTAAAGGGCCAGCAAGATTTCCCCAAAAAACCCCACCCAATAATTTTTGAGCCCTCCCCAAAACCCCCCCCGATTAAAGGTCCCCCCGCCCCACACCTTGCCCAAAAAAAGCGAGCAAACAAAGCAGCAACTATTTTTCTCTTTGCAGATCGTTCTAGAAGCAATTACAAAAGCCCCCTCACATCTTTGCTCCTCATTTTCTTTCCTTCTTCTTGTGAGCCTGGCAAGCAAGGCGGGCATCAACTACCTTACTTCAGCATTTCCCAGCCCAAGCCAACCTTAATTAATTACCCATCCACACCTCAGCTTCTGTTTCTTTTCTGCTTTCCTCGCTTCTTCTCCTCATACGTATTCCTCAGCCACCTTCCTTCCTGCCCTCAAGGCTTCCTTCTTCAGGAGGTACCTCAAAGCTTTCTCTGTGTGGCAGTCGAGGCATCCTGACCTCCACCTGCATCTACTGCACACACCTATGTTTCCCTCTTCCTCAATCCTCTGTAGCTTCTTCTTGGACTCCTCAGAAAGGTCCTCAGGGCCAAAGCCTTTTCCTTTGCCCAGCAAGGCTAAAGCCTCCTTTTCTAGCTCGTTCAGCTCCTCCTCAGACTCCTGCTTCTTCCTTCCTTTTTCTGCAAGTTTCTCTCTTTCCAGCCTCCTCAGGTCTCCATCAGCCTTCATCTTGGCTTCGTGGTCCCTCAGCTCCTTCTCCCTCTTCTCCTTCTCTTTCTTGAGCTGCCCAGCAGCCTTGTGCAACCTCTCATGCCACACAACTGCTGCCTCAGCAGGCCACCCAGTGGCTGCTTCACCGAACCCAGCAAACTGCGCAGCCTCAGCCTCCATCCAGGCAGCCACAAAGAGGCCACACTTGTTGCCTGAGGCTTCTTGCCTGGACCTTTCATTTTTCCTCACCAAGCCTTCTCCTTCCCAGTCTGGCCAGACACACCTCAAAAGGAGTTCTGCTCTGCTCTTGCAGGTCTGAGACAGGGGTTCCAAACTGTCGTAGTACCTCACCCTGATGCCACCCTCATCCTGCTCAATCACAAGAAGTGTCCAATGCACCTCGTTGCCAATGGGCACTAGCAGCCGCTTTTTCCCTCCTACCTCCCTTTGCAATGCTTTCAGCACCTTCTCTGCCTCAGGGTCCTGCTCGTGCTCAACGTGCAGCAAGTAGAAGTGCACAAGGAGAGGGTCAAGGTAGTGGCAGCCCTCAAGTACCTGAACCTGCCACTTGACAAGCTCCCAGGCCATCCTCAAGTGCTGATCCCTCAGCCCTCCTGGAGGCATCTTGTCAGCAGGCACCTGCTCCACAGATTCAGCCTCATCACCTGAGGGATCAACCTTCAGTGCCCCCATCACCTGAAGCAGCTCCTGTTTCCAAGCCCTGCTCAAAGAGAGCTGTTTCCTCTTAAAGTGTTTGGCCTGTTCCTCTTTGGAAAGCTTCACCAATCCACCTCTCCTCACCCAGGCAGATTTGATTTTGTTCTTACTGCCCTCATACCACAAGACCTGCACTTTGTCCTCAGAAGCATTCTTTTGATCTCCTTGCTTGCCAAAGACACTGCTGCCGTGTTCCTCACGATCCTGACGGGAACGCCCGGTGGAGCGACGGCACCGAGATGGTCACGCTCGACTACTCGCACCTCACCAGCGTGCTCTGGGGGGTGTGCAAGGGCTTCCAGGCCAGGCTGGACGCCGTGGAAGCCTGGCAGGCCCAGCGGGGGCCGAAGAACAAGTAAACATGGAGGCCCTGAGGGATCTTGCCGATGGCTTCAACGCACCCCCGCAAGCTGTACCGCCTGGCAGCCACAGCTTCAAAGGCTCAGCTGGTGGCCCCTCAACTGGAGGTGCCTCACTGGGGGGCGGCAGTGGCGGCCCTTCCTCTACCTCTGCTAAAACTTCTTCTTGCAAGCTTTCCTTAGCAGCCTTTTCCTGTCTCTTCTTGGCTGCAAGCTTGTTCAACTTCTGCTTCACACTGCTTTTCTTGCCCCACTTCTTTGCGTTTTGGTTTGCTTTTTTAATTGTTCCTGCGGTCTTCTTGCTTTTCTTTGTCTTTGCCTCGGGTGTTATCTTCCTCAGAACTTCTTTCCTGCTTTTACTCCTCAGCTCATCCTTGATGGCTTCTCTATCCTCCTCTGCAAGTTGCTTCCTTTTTCCTCTCATCTCTGCCTTCTGTTTTTTCTTTTGTCTGTCCTTTGTTCTCTTCTCTGCAGCCTCAGGGCCTTCCTGGGCTCTCCTCATCCAATCTGCTTTCCTCAAGTCCAAACTCAGTTGGAACCCGGCTGCTGCAGCCCATTCTGGGTTTTGCAGCTCACCAGCCTCCAAGCTCAAAAGGACATCTTCCTGCTTGTCGAAGTCTCCAAAGGCTTCAAACTCTTGCAGGTCAGCCACCTCAGCAGCTCCTGCTACCTTCTTCCAGTTGGGCTCTCAACCTCCTTGCCACCTTTCCAATGGTCAAGCCTCTGCTCAAGCCATTGCCCGCTCAACCTGGAACTGCCTACAGGCATGTTCTCAGCCCACTCCTCCTCTTCTGCCAAGGCAAAGCCCTCAGCCTTCGGCCTCAGAACTAGGAACACGTTTCTTCGCATGCCTGCCAGAACCCACCGGTTCTCAGAGTTCCTCTTCCTCATCTCCTCCTGGCCAGCCACCACTGCCTCAAGCATTGCTTCTAGGCCTGGCTGCCACACATCCTTCACCCCCTCCTGCGCAAGTCTCTGCTGTCCCTCAAACCGGAGCTGGTCCATCTTCTGCCTCACCAGGTCCTTAAATGCCTTTGCAAAATCTGTATCGGTGAGTTGGAGGGCACTTGTCATTTTCCCTGCTATGGGCCCCTGCTTTTGATGGCTCAGCCTCAAGCACCTCAGAGTGGACTCAGTGAAGGAGCTTCCTAGACAGTCCCTCACCCAATAACTTGCAGGATAGGCCTCACTCTGCCTCATAATGGACCAGCACATTTTGATACTGTCTACATTGCTTGCAGGTTGGCTCATAATCTCCACCTGCTTCACCAACTCTGGTCGCCTTTCCCTAAGCTGCCTCCATCCCCACAGCGTTCTGCCTGCTGAGGCTCCCTTCCTTTGCTCAATGGACTTGCCTCCATAGACAAAGGTCCTGGTTTCCTTCCAGCAGCCTGCCTCATCGATGTTTGCCAGCTCAGCATGCACGCCAGGAACGACCAGCAATCCAGGCAAGACCACTCCTGTGGGATCCTTGCCCTGGTCAAAGTAGTTCAGCACCCCTTGTCTTGCCTCATAGGTGATGCGAAATTTGTCTGTGCCCTCAGCTGCCTTGCTGGTCAAGTGGCCCTTGCCTCCTCCTCAAGACCCTTCTCAGAGGTCCTACCAACCTCTGTCAAGCTACCTTTGCTTGGCTCCTCACCAGCTTCTGGTGCCTTTGCTGGAACAATCTGAAGAGCTTTGTGCCGCAGAGCTTTCCTCGTGCCTTCCCTCACTTGGGCCTGGCTCTTCGCAGCGTGCTCAAAGTCAGCAAACAGCTGGCGCTTCGCCTCACTTTTTACCCACACAGGTACTTGGTCTGAAGCACCAATGAAGATCTTTCGCCTTCTCTCCTCCACCTCCTTAGGCTTGGCAAAGTATTCTGCCAGCTCCTCAGTGCTGCCATAAGCCAGAAGCCTCAAGTCCTCATCATGCTGCTGCCAGGTTAGAAGTGCCCTCGCCTCTTGCTCTACTCTGCTCAAAGTAGTTTTCAAGTTGGGCCTCAAGTTCTTAGCACCAACCTTGCTGGCCAGCCATGCTGCTTTTCGTTCTGCTGCCTTTCCTCCGGAAGAGTTCCTCACCTGCTTCTTGGCCTCCTCTGCCTTCTGCAGAAGCTGCCTCCTTTTGGTCTGGTCCTCCTCCCCTTCAGCCTCCTTCATCAACTCCTCCTCAACATTCTTGAGCAGGCCTAAGTATTTCCAAAGCAAGTGGCGCTTCAAGACAGTATGCCCGTGGGACCGCTCCTGTTCCAGCCACATCCTCAGCTGCTTAACCTGGTCTGGAAAGTTCAGCTTTGCACCCCCTCCTTCTCTCCTCTTTCTCTTTGAACTCTTCTTCTTTCCAGCCTCCACATTTGCAGCCACAGCTTCTTTCAATGAGTCCTTCGTGGACCAGACCTCCTTTAGTCTGTCCTGCCTCAGGCCGAATTTCTTGCTGAAGCCTCTTCTTCTCAGCAAAGCTCATCTCATGCTTCCCACAGCACTGACAAAGCCAAGCAGCATGGCCAAACTTTAGATCCTCACAGCCTCAAATGCCTCAAATGAGCCTCACTGCTGCAGATCAGGTACCTCAGCCCCTCAAGAAATTATTAGGGGGAGTCCCTTAAAGAGCCCCAAAATGTTGCCCCTCCCAAACCTTGTCGACCTTGAAGGGGGGGGGGGTTACTAATCAGTTGGCACCATTAGTTTGGTTCCCTGCTTGGATGGAGGTACAAAGTTCCCTTCAGTGGGTTGCCTCCTTTTGCCACGAAAACACCCTTTTTGTCGCGAAGGGTTCGCTTGGGCTTGGGAGGACTGCAAGACATGGACTTTTGAGTTCCTGACCTTCCCATGGTGCAATGGGGATAATTTTGGAACTCGGGTTTTTGTTTTCGGCTTCCACAAAAGCCGCCTGGATACCTGGACCCTCACACCTATAGAAAAGTATGGAATTCACCCGCTTTTGGGTTGCAACCTCCCTCTTGTTTTAAGTGTGCTCCATTTTGGTGGGATATAGCTTCTTCGGGTTCAGGTCACTTTCTGGCGGATGTCGCGAGTTAACCCCAAAAAAGGTGTTGGTTATCTCCAATTTTGCTGAAATGAATGTGTTCTAGTTCGTCTTGTTTTGAAGGGAATCCTCCACAACTGGACGTATTTGAACTACCTCTCTTTTTGTTTCATTTCTTTTTTTTGGGGGGGAGTGGATGGGGCCGGGGGGCCGAAACTCAAAAAATGATGTCCAAAAGGTAAACTGGATAACTACCTCCCTTATGTTTCCTTTTAGGGGGGCGGGTCCCGGATCCCCTGAAAAAGACAGCCTCTAGACAGGGCACCAACGCCTACACCCACTGCGCGGAGTGCGACCTCGACTTCTGCTCCACCTGCTGCATGTCGGAGTGCCCCATGCACCTTGAAGCAAAAACAAAAGGAAAAAAAAACAAAACACAAAAACAATCAGGAAAAACGAAAATCGGACGGGGTGCGGAAGCCCAAAATGGGGTCTCTGTCAAAGTTGACGCATGAACGAATTGTTGAATAAAGAGATGGTTAATGGATCCGGATGCCCCAAGACTTATCATCATAGAACAAATGGGTCTGACTTTGTTTAGGGAACACCCCAAAAAATTACGATTTGTCGTGTGGTTGCCCTTCAACCAACCCCCCAAATGAATAGTGCACCCTCCAAGGCACCGAGCTCCAAACCACCCTTTTTGGGAGGAGCCGATTTTGGGGAAGCTTCTCCGGGCTGTCCGAAAATCGCGGCCTGAGGATCGCGCTGGCGGAGTCTTTAGAGCGGCTGCCGCACCTCATGTCCTTGAAGCTGGCGGACGTCTGCTTCCAAGGCTCGATCGGTCGACGCCTACATAGCTTCTGATTTCTTGACATGAATATGTTCGATTTTAAACCATGTCAGCCATACCTGGCAGGTTCCATGTTATTTGGTGGGAGGGTAGTGTTAGTTGTTGTTTTCTTGGTTCTGTTCATTTTTGAGATTGTCTAGGCCAGTTGGCAACCAGGCGTCAGAAGTCACAAGGGGCACTCGCCTTCCGAACTCTAAAAAAAAGGAAATCGCTTGGATTTCTTTGCGGGTTTAGCAGTGGGGTTCAAGGCTAAGGGACCTGAACCTACCCCCCTCACTCCAAATACCAACTTTTTTCAGGGCATTCTTGGGAAAACCGATCGGTTTTCCAGGGTAAATACTTTTTTTTAGTAGAGGATCGACATGATACCCTGAAAAAGGCTCGGGTATTTTTGAGTGGGGGGTACTGCTTGAAGCTTGTTTGCGAGCGCCTCCCACTGGCATGCTTTAGGTGCTTTGTTTTCTCCCAGCAACCACTGCTTTTGGCATGGGAAAGTCAGTTGTTGGGGGGTGCTGGTTGGTTCTCTCTGCAACAAAGCCAAGTTTGTTGCCACCATAGGTTTGGACAGCTCTCCAGCATGAATGCTAGCCGTCAGGCGGGCGCATGGGCCCGGTTCGCTCCCACTTGGATATCGCCTCTCGCACTGCTTGGAGTGGAGGGGCTGGGTCTGTTGGTTTCGCCTTCGTGCTACTTGCGTTGCGAAACGTAGCCTGTGTTTTAAGTTCTGCCTTCTTGGGTTTCAACCTGTTTGCTTTCAACCAGCAAGATATAGCATGAAAGGAGCAACACATTTAACCTTTGAAGGGGTTCAAGTCTGGCCAGCCTTACTTGTTTTCACTTTCTCAGAAGGATGCCACACGAGTGGGCGTTAATTAGCACATGCATAATTGTTGCGGTTTCTCTGGACACAGCCAAGTTTGGCACGTCTTTGCTTGAGCCCCAGCATTCACAGGGTCATATCCCGGAAGATCCAACCTAAAGGATCCGCAGGGCAAGGGCACATGTTTTTGGCCAGCAAGCCCAAACGGCTTCGGATGGCTCTGGCGCTTCGCTTCGCGCCAAAAAAAGGCGATGGCGACTAGTTGGAGATTTCATTCCCATCTTGAGGCTCCTTCCATTGGGCCCAGAAAAGTTCCCCAAAAAAAAAGCATGCCTGGCCTTCCAGTGGCCAGATGGTTGCTGGTTTTTTTGAGCAACCGAGTCATGAGAATCAGTGGAAGCTCGGACCTGTCTGGTGGCTGAACTCTTGTTTAGAGGGTTGGTGAGTGAATCGCCCGGAATTGGCCTGGGTTCAAACAGACCTTCTTTCTTTTGGAGGGGGTCGGACATCTCTAAATTGCGAGCTCCTGTTCGCACCGATTTACAAAAACAAAATGAAATGAACCACCCGAAGGCCTGCAGGGGTCCTTCATTTTGAGACAGAACAACCAATTTGTTTGGGGGGAGATTTGGAGTCGTTTGCCAGGGCCCTAAAGCAATGACCACGTCTCAAGGGTAGACATTTGTGTGTCTGTGTCTCTTTTTAGGGAACCCAACAACTGGACTCAGTTTTCCTGTTGGCTTCCCTTGAACTCAACAAAAAAGAAGGTTTTTGGACAATTCCGTTGGTTTCTCCCTTCGGGCCCGGCATTGTTGCAGATCCCAACGTGGCGATCAGGCGCTAAGCATTCGCAGATTGCAGCGATTGTGCCGGCTGGATGCGTACAGAGCCCATTGGCCCAGAACGAAAAGCATTTGTGCAACCTCGGGGCCAAAAGGGGCCGGGTCCTTGTGTCAACTTTTTGTGTATCTACCCCAAGTGGAGACGAAGCATGGTCATTGCTCCTAGCCACTGGACCCTCATTCATTTGGAAAATGGCAGGGTCATCCATCGTAGGTTCCCTACATGTCCAGCTTACGTTCAAGGGAACCCACCGTTGTGCGTTTAAAAACAGGTGATGGTTGGTTTACAGTACCTAGAGAACGTCTAAGGCGGTACACCTTGTTGCCCACCGCATGGCAGCTTTCGGCCATAAGCGTTCGGCCGAGGAAGGCTACGAGGTGTTGGGGAAGGCCCTGAGCGCGCACCGGAGCATCACAGAGCTGGACTTGAGCAAGAACTACTTCCAAGGCGGCTGCATGGTGCCAATGCAACCGAAACAAGCCATGAAACATACGTAACCAGATGTTTCCACCTCAAATGGTTTTACATGACTCACTTCCTGAGTTCCTAGACTTGATACTGTTGGGGACCCGTTTTTACTTCTTCTTTTTTTGAGACTCCATTCAGGAAGTCAGATGATTCCCGTGGTTGCCGGCAGTGGCACATGGAAGCACCGGGCATGGGCCCAGTTGTTGTTGTTTGTTTATATTATATATATATTCTTTTCTTGGAGCCAGGGCACAGGAAAGCAGGCGCCTGTGTTTCGCCAATCACCAAGCAAACGGGTGTGCTTGCTCCAAACGCATGATTGTCGGTTGGGTTTTGGGTTGCCGCTGTCGATGCAGGAATGCCCTTGAAAGTGACAAGCTATCTCGGCGCCCAAGTTGGTAGGCGATGTGTTTTTCATGTCCAATGGTCGCAACGAAGAGAATTCGTCGTGAAACCCACGAATGCGAGTGTCCTTTTTTTTGTTGTGCAGCCATTTCACGGCTAGGACCCCCTTGCGGGGAATTCGCAAAAGGGAGGTTCATGCTACCCCCTACTCAAAATACCCGCTTTTGTTCAGGTCCTTTTTTGGGGAAGACCTGTTTAAACAGCAAACCTTTCTTGGTAGAGGGTCGACATGACACCCTCAAAAAAGAGGGTATTTGGAGCTTTTGGGGGTATTTCAGCCCTCCGCCAGGACAGGGCTTTCCTCACTTGCTGCAGGGGGTGGTGGAGATGACCGCGGCTTGGCGAATCGACTTGTGGCGCGTTGGAAGTCGAAGTCCTGCGCCCAAACCTCCGACACATGGGATGACGTGATCTTCGCTTATGATCATGCAGCCCTTGCATTCGCCTCGAGTTGAAGCATGCCAGACTCGGCTTTTTTTTGGTTGTTCGACGACTTCCATTTTTGAGCTTCGCCCTAGTTGGTTTGGATTGGTTGGGGAGCAAGGAAGCCCCGGCTCTTGAGGGTATAAAATGGGAAGCCACCGCACACCGCCCAATCCAAGCCACATGGATGTCGCTTTTTGGTTGTGCTTTGGTGCGCGGCGCGCAATGGTTTTGGTGTTTTCCTTTTCCGGCCAACTTTCTACGTACTCTTTTGAATCAGGTAATACTATTGGTTTGGATTGGCGTTTTGGGGGGGGTCGAAGCCAATTGGAGAAATCACATGGGGAAGTATCCCCAAAGGTCCAAACCAAACCACCAGTGGGGGGGGGGTGAGGATTCGAGTGCAGAGTTGGCCTCTGTTCTTGGGCGAGTTGTGGGGTTGGAAATCAGGTAATTCTAGGGGACATTTCCATTTCCATTCCTTCCAGGGATCCAATCTTTACAGAAAATGATATCAGAGCTCCAGGGGAAACAGCGATCGGTGTTTGAAAAGAACGATGGTTGAAAAGAATGGTTGGAATCAACCCCTAGAGTAATTGGAGATGTATTCTTCAAACAAGCCCTGCCCAGGTCCAGTTATGGACACAGGCCCGACACCTAGACCCTCAAACTGCCAACTGAAAGAAAGGAGTCTCCAGGACCCTTCAGACAAGAGTTGCCATGACCCGGTCATGGAGACTACAATATCTCAAGGGTTGTCAAGTTCCCCCTACCTCCCTCAATTCCCAAAGTTCACTTCAGGAACCACCTTGGATTGGGGGTGTTCCCTGGCTGAGGGTAGTCTGAAGCTACTGGTTGTTGTTGTTGTTTTTTGTTGGGGGGGTTTGTCCTTTGGTCTAGAAACACACTTTGGATCCGCTTCTTGGTGGATTTCACCCGGTCTCGCCCCCTGTTTGTCCTTTTTCGTTGATGCTTTTTAGTGATGCTTGGGTGTTTTTTAGTTTTTTAGGGTGGTTTGGGTGTTGTTGTTTTGTTATTCGGGTGGATCCACAGATTCGATCTACCCCCAAGCCGTTTTTTTCTGCCCGCCGTCCTCGCGCCCGCGCCCGCGCCGGTCGCACGGGGGGTTGGTTCGAACCGAGGCGCTGCAGAGCATCGCCTTGGGCGAGCGAGCGCTGGACTTCCGGAGCTTTCTCAGCGAGGAACACCTCGAGGTGGGGGGAGATGAGCCAGCTGTGCAGAACTGTTTGTTGGAATGTACCTTTCAAGCCACTTAAGGGGATATTGCCAACCAACACTAGCCAGCATGTGAGTATATACGTCAAAATGAGGAGTTGGACCTCCAAAATGGTATCAGGAGCCCTTGGACCCATGAGGGTTTAATCCCGAGACCCCAAACGATAACTAGGTCCCCCAGCTCGGTGCCAACTTGCTCACCGCTTCTTTGTTGGGAGGGGAACCCCCCTGCTGAAATAGACTACGGAAAAGAAAGTTGGTTCCCTTAGTCTAACCTCCCTACTGGAGGACCTAAGCTTGGTGCGAGAGCGAAATGCAGAGAATGAGACATGGAATGATCCCTACCAACCATCCACCGGGTGGTTTCCTTGAATAAATTTGGATCGAGCCCACTTGAGTAACTGGGATTTAGATCCTGAAAATAATCCCCTAAAATTAACAGGATGATTTTCAGGATCCAAATCCCAGTTACTCAAGTGGGCTCGATCCAAATTCCCGGTTGCTCAAGCTCCGTGCTTTGGGTTGTTCAGAGAAGTCCCCTGGTTTCTGCTTTCTGCTTTCTGCTCCCCTGATTTCAAAGGGAATCTATGATGCTGTCTTTGGGGGGTATTCATATGGGCATGGGTCAACATTTTCAGCCGCCGGGAATCGGACCGCAGATTTTGGTCCATGTTTCCATTTACCGGGGCCTAGGCCATTTTGGGTTTATCTTTGACCACCACGGCCATCTTTTTTTTTGGAGGTTCAAGGGGCTGAACAAAAGTCCTCAGGATCTTATGTCCCCAGGCCCCCTTTGAACCAGGCAAAGGTAAAGCCCCAAAGCTTTCGGGAACTCAAGATCCGTGCTTTGGGCTGTTCAAAGACAACCCCCGTAAGCTCCAAATACCCGCTTTATTCAGGTTTTTTTTGGGAAAGCCGAGCGGATTTCCATGGTAAATACCTCCTTTTTTAGTAGTGGGCCGACATCATACCCTGAAAAAAGTGGGTATTGGGTGCAGGGGGAAGAATCCGCAAGATCCTTACCTTGGTATGGTTGCTGTTGGGACACACTTTACAATTTTGCTTATTGTGGTTTAGTGGTTGAAATCCAACCACTTACCTGCTAAAGTTCAAATGTTTGCTCCCCTTCCAACGTCAACCAAGTTGGCTTGAAAGCAAACAAAGCCCCCTTTGTACTTGCTTTCCGCTTTGTTTGTTCTGTGTTTCTTTTTTCTAAATAACACCTAGGTTTCCATGATAAACTCTTTGTAAGCGTCGACATCCCATCAAAAAGCGGGTGCTGGCTGTACGGGGAACCAGGGCCAAGGCAAAAGTTGAGCTACGGCAATGACGCCTGCCTTTTTTTGAGGCCTAAGGGAGTCTCTTAAAGAGGCCTGCTTTGGCCGGCAAAAGGCACTAAGAGGGCCCCCCAAAACATCCTTAAGCCCTCTGCCTGGCCAGATAAAAATCTGACGAAACCTCAAGTAGAATTTTGCGTTGGCGGGTCTGCGGGTCTCCTTTTGCAGGCTTGTAAAGACTTGTGCATACCCCGAGATCATCTAGCGGATCAAAAGGGACTCCAAGCCATGTCTTCATGGTAGCGGAGCTCTCGGGCACGATCAGGGGCAAGTCCGCGGCCAAGGACAAGCTCTACAGGAGGAGGATCGGGGTTCCCCGAGAGCGGCCAGCTGGGCCACGGAGGGGAGCGGCCGAGTCGAGGTCGGAGGACGCTCGGCAGCTGCAGAGGTTTGAGGAGCTGCAGCAGCGAGGCGAGCCCGTTTGGCGGTGGAACCACTGGAGGTGGGTCCTAGCCTTGCTGGTGGGCATCTTCACCTACGAGGGGGGCTTCTTTGTGTTGGTCGGCTTGATCCTTGAAGAGGGCGATGGCGACGATACAGGAGCTCACGGCGGTGGTGCAGCAGATGCAGCAGCAGATGGCGCAGTTGGCTCAGGAGAACGCGGGACTCCGTGATCGGGTGCAAGCGGCGGAGCAGCAGACGGCTGGAGCCGGTGGCGGATCAGGGGGCTCGGCGGAGGTGCTGCAAGCATTGAGCCGGTTGCCGGAAGTCCTGGAGAAGATGAGCAAGAGAGGAGGAGGAGGCCTGATAGATCAGAAGGGCCTCGGAAAGCCTCAGGTGCTCGGAGAAGGAGCCGAAGATCGATTCCGGGTCTGGGCCTTGAAGCTGGAGGACTACGTGGCAGGCGTGATCGGCGGCAAATCCCGTGAGGTGCTGGAATGGGCTGCTGAGCAGGAGAACCCCATCGCGCAGATGGACATCGATAACCAGTTCGGGGCCGGAGCAGATCTTCTGGATCAATGGGATGAGGTTGATGAGATGAACCAACAGGTCTACACCATCCTCAGGGCGACCACGGAGGGGGCGGTCTTCGACTTGGTGGAGAACGCGCCGAAGGGTGCTGGATTGGAAGCTTGGAGGGCCCTGCACAGGAAGTTCGACCCGAGCACCGGAGGACGCAAGCGCATAATGCTTCAAGCATTGACGAGCCCAGAAAGATCCTCATACGAGAACCTCGGCAATGCCTTAGAACGTTGGAAGGCATTGAGAAACAGATACGACCGCAAGAAGGATCAGTTCGGGAAGCGTGAGGTGTTGCAAGACAGCCTGGCGATGAACGCTTTGGAGAAATTAGTTCCGAAGGAGATGGAGCAGCACCTCATGCTGAACTACACGAGGTTCCGGACCTTTGAGGAGATGGAGCAGGAGGTGGTGACCTACATGGAGGCGAAGACGGGGAGCAAGCTGACGATCTCGAAGGACTTCAGCAAGTCCTCGGCAGGTGACGTGGCTCCCATGGATGTGGACTCCCTGGTCCGGGCGGTCAATGGCAATTTGGCCTCACTCGTGAAGGGCAAGAAAGGAGGTGGAAAAGGAGGCAAGGCCAAGTTCGAGGGCAACTGCGACAACTGCGGCAAGAAAGGCCATAAGAAGAAGGATTGTTGGTCGAAGCCGCAGCAGGGATCAAAAGGAGGAGGCGCGAAGTCCCGAAGCAACAGCCAGAGCGCCGGCAAGGGCAAGTTTGATGGCATCTGCAACAACTGCGGGAAGAAGGGCCACATGAAGAAGGATTGCTGGGCGAAGGGCGGTGGAGCTTCATCATCGTCGGCGCCTACAAGTCCGAAAGGTGGCAAAGGCGGCAAGCGGGAGGCGGCATCGCTGGAGCAGCCGGGGGATGAGCCGGAAGGAGAAGCGAACGGGCTGGACCTTTGCGCGCTGTCGTCAACGGCGAGGGTGTCTACAACGACCTCGTTTGCGAAAAGGGTGGCTATCAAACGACGGGAGCTTGGTGGCGAGATCAACTTGCTGAAGTGCAACTTCGACACTGGCGCTTCGGTGACAGCTATCCCGAAGAGGTACAAGCGCGAAGGAACTGGAGGTGGAAAAGGAACGTTCAAGACCGCCTCGGGCGAGCTGATCAACAACTACGGCCCGGTGAAGATTGGCGGCTATGACATGAACGGCGTGAAGCGCATGGTGAATGGGAATGCGACGGACGTGCACAAGGTCCTGATCAGCGCGGGCAGGTTGCATGGAAAAGGGCACAGCACTTGGCTGTGGAAAGGCGGAGGAACTATCATGCCGGTGGAGCATCCTGTCTATAAGACGCTGGAAGAGGCTTACGAGAAGGCGCTGGAGCTGTACGGTGACAAGGGCATGATCCCGGTGGTGGAAGAGAACGGCATCTACAACTTCTACCTGGAGATGCCCGACCCAGAGAGCGCGGATGAGCAGGTGGCGGAACTGGAGACACAGGCCTCGGCGAGCAGACTGATGAAGAGCAAGCCCAAAGCCAAGGCAGCGAGAATCGACGAGGAGCGCAACACGGTGTGGGCTCTGGAGGATGAGATCGGAGTTCAGCAAGAAGGTCCTGAGGAGTTGGTGGAGGCCAGACCTGCTCACCCGGGCTGGGTACCGCCGCAGCCAAGCGAGCGTGAGAGAAAGGAGCACGAGGCGAGCGGCCATGCGGTCTACAGGAGCTGGTGCGAGATGTGCGTTAAAGCAGCAGGCCTTGTCCAGAAGCACGTGAAGGTGGACCATGGTGGTGAGAATCCCGACATGTCCACGGTGAGCCTCGACTACTTCTACATGGGCGAGGCCGAAGGTGCGAAGCCGAACATTGTAGCTCGGGACCGGAAGACCGGGCTGATGACGGCAACCTCCATGGAAAGAAAAGGGCTCGTGGATGCGACAGCCCAGAAGATGTTGACCAGGTTCCTGGAAAGCTTGGGCTACAAGGAGGTGGTCCTCAAAAGCGATGGTGAAAGGAGCTTGGTGAAGATGAAGATGGAGGCAGCGAAGAAGGCGAGAGGATTGAAGAAGGCGGTGCCAGAGGAGTCGCCGGCTGGAGATTCACGGTCGAATGGAGAAGCGGAGGCGGCTGTCAAGGAGATCAAATGGAGGTGCAAAGCCAATCTCTTGGCCTTGGACAAGAAGTTGGAAGGTGGAGTTCCTGAAGGGCATCCTATTACCTATTGGGCCCCGAGGTACTCTGCAGAGCAGCATGGCAGGTTCAAGGTCGGAGCAGATGGGAGGACGCCAGAGGAGAGAAGGACAGGCAAAAGATGGGTGAAGGCCATGCCGGAGTTCGGTGAAAAGATCATGGTCAAACCTGCTGGAGGTGGAAAGAGAGGAGATTGGGCAAGAATGGTGAGCGGGAGGTACCTGGGCACCCACAACAGGTTTGGGTCGATCTTGGCCATGACGGATGCCGGAGTGGTGGTTGGCACGGGCTTCCACACGGTGCCTGAGGATCAGAGGTGGTCAAGGCTGGAGCCCGGATTGCGTGGTGTGCCCTGGGACATCAAGAAGTATGTCAACCCGCAGCCGGAAGAGCGGCAGCAGCAACAGCAGAAAGAAGGTGAGGATCAGAGGCTGCCCCCGGTGGTCCTCGTGGCCCCAGCTCCCGGACCTGGAGGAGAGGTCCTGGTTGAGCGCCCAGAGGAGCATCAGGGGGGAGAAGCCCCAGAGGAAGAAGGTCACTCGGCAAAGGGCCGGGCGTGGCCGGTGAGGAGAACGATGATGCAGAAGTATGGGAGCACTCCAGGATGCCAAGGGTGTCACACAATCAACACGGGTGGAGCGCTGGTTCAGGCGAGCCACTCAGAGGAGTGCAGAGCGAGGATGAAGAGGAGAATTGCAGAGGATGTAAAGAAGGATGAGGAGAAGATGAAGAAGCAGAAAGATGAGGACGAGAGAGAAAGTGCGAGAAGGGCGAAGAAGAGAGTAGCGGAAGAAGAAGCGAACGATGAGGCAAGGGCTGAGGCTGAGCCGTCAAGTTCAAGCCGGGGCCCCGATGCCGGGGAAGCATCGCCAAAGCGGAAAGGAGGAGAGCAAGGAGCGAGGGACATCGAAGATGTCTTGCGAGATATGGAAGAGGATGCCAGCGGCCAGGCAGGCTCGAGAAGGATGGAGGCAGAGGAGATCCTGGCAGAGGCCGGGAGCAAGGAGGCTGCGAGCATAGTGGCTAGCCTAGGAGCGTTGGATGTGCTGGAGGTGTTTTCACCTCAGCGTGTGACAAAGGAGCTGAAGCGGTTTGGCATGCGTGACGGAGCGGCGGTGGACCTAGAGGAGATGAAGCCAGATGGGTCAGAGAGGTGGAACCTCGACAGGCCAGAAGATCAGAAGGAGGTGCTGGAGATGATTCAGGTGGAGGAGCCGTGGCTCCTGACGAGCTCACCGCCGTGCACTACGTTTAGCCCACTGAGGAACGTGTCCAATGGCAAGAGGGACCCGGGCGTGGTGCAAGAGGAGGAGGAGCTTGGAAAGGCGAGGATGAGAACCGCGATGAAGTGCTGCAAACAGCAGCGGGAGCAGGGTGCCTTTTATCTCCATGAGCACCCGAAACCGTCCACGTCATGGAAGATGCCGGAGGTGGAAGAGGAGGTGAACCGAGTCGACACGTACTTGGTTCAGAGTCCGATGTGCCGTTGGGGCATGAAGATGGAAGACCGAGAAGGGGAAATCCTGCATGTGAGAAAGGAGACTTTGTGGCTGACGAACTCGAGGAGGATCGCAGAAGAGCTGGAGGGCGTGTGTGAGAATGTCCTACAAGGTCGAGAAGTGCATCGGCATGTTCATCTGGTGGGAGGTGGACGAGCTAAGGCTGCGCAGGTCTACCCCAAGGAGCTGGTGGAGGCAATTCTCCGTGGCCTGAGGAAAGAGCTACGGGAGAGGGGAGAGATCAGTGCGGTGGAGGAGCAGTTGTCAGGCCCGACACCGGATGAGTACGTCGAGCAGGAAGAGCTCTACAAGGAGGAGTTCGGCCAGTTTGTGGATGATGTGACCGGTACGGAGTTGCCGGCGCACTTGGTGAAGGCGGCGCGAAAGGAGGAGCTGGGCTGGCTCCACAAGGAGGGCGTCTACGTGAAGGTCCCAAGGAGGATCTGTGAAGGGAAGGGCATGAAGCCCTTGCAGTTGAAGTGGCTGGACATCAACAAGGGAGACGCGACCCAGGTGAAGGTCAGGAGCAGATTGGTGGCGAAAGAAGTGCGAAAGGCAAAAAGGCCTGAAGATCGACTTCGGGCGGAGGAAACGTTCGCGGCGACCCCGCCGCTGGAGGCGGTGAACCTGCTCCTGAGCCTGTTCATGACGGAGAACCCAGAGGAGCCGGATGCAAAGGTGGCTTGCTGGGACATCAGCCGAGCACACTTCATGGGGCGTGCGGAAAGAGAGCTGTACGTGGAGTTGCCGGAGGAGGACCAGTGCGGAGATGATGGTGAAGAAAGTCCGGAGCCTATGGTGGGACTACTTCGCAGGTCCATGTATGGGACGCAAGATGCCAGCAAGGTGTTCCAGGGCGATTACATCGGCTGGTTGAAGGAGCATGGTGCAGAGTTTTGTGCACTATGCCCCGCAATCTTCAAGATAGCGGAGAGAAGGCTGATTGGCCTGGTCCACGGGGACGACTTCATGGTGAAGGGCAACGGGGCCAACTTGCAGTGGTTGGACGGCGTGCTGAACACGCGCTACACGGCAAGGCTGGAGGCCATGCTTGGCCGGGGCGCGGAAGATGACAAGGAGATGTTCTTCCTGAACAGGAAGATCCGCTTCAAGCTGGATGATGCGGCGAGGTGGAAAGTGGAGTTGGAGGCGGATGCAAGGCACGCGGAGATAGTGATGCGCTACTTCGGGTTCAATGAGAAGACCAAGGGCGTGGACATCCCGGAGGAGAAGATGCGGGACGCCGAGAGAGTTGCTGAGGAGCGCCTGCCAGAGCTGGATGCCGAGCAGGCGGTGGACTATAGGAGCATGGTGATGCGCCTGGCTTATCTGAGCCAGGACCGCCCTGATTTGGGGCATGCGGTAAAGGTGTTGAGTTCGGCAATGAGATCGCCGAAGCAAGGTGACATGCAGCGGCTGAAGCGCGTGGCGAGGTACTTGGTGAAGGTCCCCTACCTCAAGAAGATCTTCAAGCAGCAGCCCATGAGAGAAATGGAGGTCCGAGCTTGGTCGGACAGTGATTGGGCTGGCGATCCGTTGACACGGAAGTCGGTGACGGGGGCGGTGATCAAGAACGGTGGCCACACCCTCATGGTGCGCGGTGTGACCCAGAAGATCGTGGCGCTGAGCAGCTGCGAGAGCGAGTACTATGGAATGTGTCGGACGGCCACTTTGGCCGAGTTCGTGAGGAACGTGATGGCCTTCTACATGGGTGAGAAGGTGCCGGTGGTGAAGATGCTGGTGGACAGCTCCGCGGCGAAAGCCATGACGGAGCGGAGAGGCGTCGGGAAGACGCGGCATGTGCAGGCCCGGTACTTGTGGCTGCAGGACCGGGTGGCGGAGAAGGCGCTCAGGGTGGAGAAGACGCCTGGAGCGGTGAACGATGCGGACGTGGTGACGAAGGTCCTGTCGGGTGGCGTCATGAGAGGCCATTTGACCCGAATGGGATTCGAGGCCAGTGACAACAAAGGTCACAAGGCCTTGTTCTTTTAGGGGTTAGATGCCCCTCAGGCCAGTTGGGCCTTCGATGCACAGGGGGTGCAGGCTTGTAAAGACTTGTGCATACCCCGAGATCATCTAGCGGATCAAAAGGGACTCCAAGCCATGTCTTCACCTTTCGTATCGCTTGATCTTTCAGGGCTGCCATGTCTCTATAATCTTTTTTCCCCAGCAGCTGAAAGCTTTGGGGTCTCAGCCCAGATGGGATCCGGGGAGGTCCGGGGCGGCTTTGAGATAAGGTTCCACGAGGGTTCCACGAGGTTCTGCGAGGGCTGCGGGGTGGCACCGCACTGTTGGGGATGTCACCTGAGCTTTTTTTTCCGGGCATCTTTTGACCTGCACACTGCTTCCTTTGTTTGTTGCCAGCCGGATGGCCAGAGGCCTCTGGTTCCTTGGGTTGTTGTTTTCGTTGGTTGGGTGTCCATTTTGGGTTTCCTTGGGCTTGGGGTTGGTTGGGTTTCCTTGGGCTTTAGTTTTTTTTTTGGGGGGGGTTGGTTGGGTTTCGTGGCCGGTTTGGTTGGCAACGAACACTTCAGCTTTTAGCAGGGGATCGGAGGACAGCCGAGCTAGCAGCGCCTAGATTGGAGCCCCTGCTTTTTAAAGTTTTTGTTTTGGTCCAAAGAACAACTGGCTGGCTGGTTGAGCTCGGGGTATCCAAATTTAGGCTTTAACGAGGGAGCCTTTGGGAGCTACCGAAGTGGAGCTTCTGGAGCCCTAGGAGCCCACCCGAACTATACGAAGATGAGGGCCTGTGACCGCCAACCCCAAAGATCTCGGGAGCCTGCAAGGATCATGGGGCAGGTCCCTTCAGGTATGCGCGCGTTTAGCCGACTCGCGAGAGGCAGCAGAGAACTTCCTGGCGGTGGAGGTCCAGTTGCTGTGCATGGCCATCCGGAGGAATCGGAATCTCAGGAGTCTGAACCTCAACAAGGCGAATGCGTCCAAAAAACTCGGGCGAGCCTAGCCCCGATTTGGGGCTAAAACGAGGGAAAACCATGGGAAAGATGTCCTTTACTCGGGGATCCAATTCTTATTTCGGGGTTTGGACATCTTGAAAAAATGCAGGTGAATCAAGGGATGTTGTTTTAGGTGTTGTTTCTGAGGGTTCAGGATCCATTTCGGAGGGTCTCTTAAATCAAGAGAAGCAACTTGGGTGAAGGGCAGTCAGAAACCAGGACAAACCCAAGTGGGATAGACTGCGGGTGGAAAGCTTTTATGCCTAATACCAGATTTGAACTTGCCCTTGAATGAACGGAGCCTGGGGCATGCCAGGGAGGACGTGACGGGCACGTGATTGAATGATTGAAAGAGATTGGATTTGTTGAAGATGCTTCGCAACTTTCAGAGGATGGCTTTTGGGGGTAAAAAGGGGCCTAAGCACCTGTTATTAATTGGTAACGAGCACCTCCTTACCTCCAAAACCCATAATTACCTACTTGGATGCTCTGCCAAGCTGGTGTGTGGTCAGCCACCAGGTTATAATCCATCAGTAGCAGGAGTTTATATCCCAGGTTGCCAACAACTTAGAAAGGGAGATGGGAATGACTGGTATACATGGTGATCAAACGCATGACGCATGTTCTTGTTGAGTGGCAGCAGATGAAAATGGAAGCTGAGCTTTGATTTTCCAGGCGCCACCTTTCGGGCTATAGAGCACTGGCGCGGAAGCGGAAAAGCTGTTCCTACCCTGCTGAAAGGTTGGTTCAGCCCCAAGGTCCGACACTTGGTTCAGCTGTTGGGTGTGTCATGCGTCTTTTTCGAAGGTAAAAACAGGGGGCTGGTTTAGAGGTAACCCAAACGGAAATCTCCAGTTTTTTTTTGGGGGGGTTCCCCTATTTTGAGACAGCCGCCATTCTGGCCGGATCGTCCACAGATCAGCAGACCGCGGTGAGAAACGTTTTGACCTTTCTTGGGTCACTTCCTGAGGAAGAGTCAGAATTTATTTTTGCCAAATCGCAGCGTGTTTCCTGTGGTGTCTCACTACAGGTTACAGTCCCCCAAATGAGTCATGTTTGTTGGTGGGAGCGTACTTCAAGAGGCAGGGTACTTAGTAAGTGATTAGTAACCCACTGAATGGAGACTTTCAACCATGGCCTTTGTGCGTTAAACTCACCATGAGTATTGCCAACTTTCCTAGTGTACCCTGCCCCTTTAAGCACCGGACATCGGAAACATCGGATCCGTCGGATCACATTTTGCCTTTTGTGCGCAGGTTCAGTTGAAGTTGGACACCGTGAGGCACTTGGTGCACAGCGGCTTGGAGTCGCTTGAGGAGAGTAGAGAGTGGATCGGCTTCCCTCTGGTTGGCGCTTTGGAGCCCTGTGGTTTGGTGGTTAGGGATGGTTTCTCATTTACCCTGGGGTTCAAATCCCCAAACCACCAATCCAAACCAATAATTGGGGGTTACTTGTGTGGAATTTGGAGATTGATCCTCTCGCCAAGCATGGAACCTACCAGACCCTTGGAATTTTGTCGTTTCGGTCGGTTTTAAACCCACCTTGGCTGGGGCGAAGCCTGGAACGGAATTGACCCATTCTTGCGGGCGCTTAAAAAATATTCTTGATTCAGCCGATCGGGCAAAACAAAATCCCGGCGCCGATCGGAGGTCTGCGCAGCCGCGAGGGCAGCAGCTTGGACCTCTTGCACCTCCCAGGGGTGCCGCTGCTCTTGCGGCAGCTGGAGGCGGGCGAAACAGACCGAAAGACTTTTGGGGGTCTCCAACTAGGTCCCCCAGCTGGGTGCCCTTTCTCACCCTTTTTTGGGGGGAGGGCTCCCCTACTAAAATAGACTACAGAAAAAAGTTGGTACCCTTCTTCTAACCTCTCTACTGGAGGACCTAGCCAAGGTAGGTCTTACGGTTGAATCATGGTTGTTGTTGGGAAGCATTTTACATTTTGCTTATTGTGGTTTAGTGGGAAATCCCCACTGAACTGCTAAAAAGTAACTTCTTGCTCCCCTTCCAACGTCAACCAAGGAATGTATATAGTATATTACCCTCAACCCGAAGGCCATCTTTTTCACGGTATTTTTTGGCAAGGCCTTGTCTTGCGGGGGAACTAATCTCCCTTTTTGGTCAGGGGTGGACGTGGTACCCTTCAAGAATAGGGGGCATCCATTGAATTTCTCGTATGAACCCCTGATTTGTGGGTTAATGTAGCGAACCTGACCACTTTATGTTGCGAATCAGGCCCCATTTGTGATGCGTTCGCATACTGTATTAGATCTGAAAGTGCAATTCTTTTCATGCACCCCAGATTTGGGCGAAGGGATGTGGTCTAGGGGGCGGTGGGGAGCAAGTGTGCTGTTTGGATGGGGGCTGCTGAAGGAAGAGACTCCTGGCATTCGCATTTCTTGGTGGACGGGCTTTCGGTTGGCTTTCTCTTTGTGCTTCAATAGGCAGAAGATGGACCCCGAAACGAGCTATTAAACATGCCTTGCTCCCTTCCAAGCTATACCCCCTACTCAAAATACCAACGCCTTTTGTCAGTTGGTATTTTCGGTTGAAAACCGATCGGTTTTCCAAAGTAAATACCAAATCTTGTTTAGTAGAGGGTCGACAAATGATACCAACTAAAAACAGCGGCAAAGGGTATTTGGAGTAGGGGGCATATCCAACTGGGGGAAAGGCGATGTTTCTCTCTCTGGCGAATAGCCTTTGCCAGCTAGCCACGAGTGAAGCCTTTTCGGGGGGCTGGTCTCCTTTCAATTCGCGAACAACTGTGCGTGTCCAGTTCCTCACGCCTTTGAACGGCAGAGTGGGATGCCCAGAGGACAGCACAGCGGGCCCACCAAACATGGCCTCGCAAGTGGGGGGCATGGAGATTTCTAGGCTCCAAGCTGCAGGTTGGCTGAAAAATGCTAGAATCCCACAACAGGAGCCAACGCTTCAAATTATATTTGGCTGAAGATTGTTTAGTAGATTTCCCTTGTTGGCTTCAAAATGAATTCATCACTACTGGAAGTATGTATTTTTTCCAGGGGTCTCAACCAAATGGAAGAACAGGGAATCGGCTATTTCCTTTCAAACGCATTCGGGGTTCAGACCAGAACCTTCATCCATATATGGCCATGGGTCAAAATCCCGTGCCCCCAGCGAACATCCCAAGCCCCACTAAAATAGGTCCTAAAATGGGTGGTGCACCTACCCCAAAATGGGATCTCGGTGGCTTTGACCCACAGCCATATGGCCGGGAACAAACGCGGGGAATTCCCCTCGCCTCCCGCCGCATCCGGCCTCGCCTCCGGCGCAGGCCGGGGAGATCCAGGCGTTGGACTGTGGCTGCAGCTCCTGGACGCAGCGGAGCGCCTTCGCCCCCGCGCGCCGCGGCGATTCCTTCTTGTCGCATTGTTTGGTATTTGGTGCGCGTTCATGCTCTCACTTCCTGAGTTCATTTTTTCGTTTTTCTTCTTTTTTGTGTGCGTACTTCCACTTGTTGAAGCACAGTTTTTTTTCTGAGTGTCCGTTGTTGGTTCTAAAGGGCATCTATCACTACTGGACATTTGGTGTACATTCGTGTTATTTGTTGTGCATTCATGTTCTCACTTCCTGAGTTCATGGACCTTTAGTCACTTTTTGGGTTTGATCCATCTTGGTGGTAAACTAAAAGTTATGTGTTTTTTTGTCCCGGCCACCGACTCGGGAAGTCAGTTCTTGGCATTGGGGTAAAACTTAGCTAGATTTCGGTGGTTTGGGGATTCCGCTGTTTTTTGACATTCCTCACTCCCTGAGTTCCTGGACTTTAAACTTTTGGGAAGACTTCTGGCATTTCTTGGTGGTAGTTCAGGAGCCTTAGTTGGTGGTTTGGATGGTTTTTTGTTTGGATTGCTGCTGTTTTGGCATCGGCGCTGAGCTGGGGGTGTGATTTTAAACGCGTTTTTGTTTTACCAATTATTGCAAAATGAATATATGAGACAGAAGCAAGAAAAGTATAATGCATTAACTAAAGGTATATTTGGTTCAAGAGGAAAGAAAGGATAAAATATGATTATTATACAACCTACTTTGTAATAATTATGCTTTCAACATTATCACTGGACGGCTCAAACAGAATTATAGCAAGTGAGTTAGTATTAATAAATTCAACAGAACCATCAACTCTAAGCAGTGTTTATGCTAGGCATTCGGGTACCCCCTACTCCGCTTTTTTCAGGGTATCATGTCGACCCCCTACTAAAAAAGGTTTGGTATTTACCATGGAAAACCAGGTTTTTCCAAAAATACCCTGAACAAGGCGGGTATTTTGAGTAGGGGGTATGTTCAGGCACTTCGTTCGCCTTCGATTGGCTTGGATCGGGATTGGAAGCCCTGGCGTAGAGGATACATGGGAAACCCCCTCCATTTTCACCACCAAACCACCACCAACATAGGTTCCCGAAATGTTTATTTTTTCCATTGGGCTGAGCAAAAGCCAAAATTGCCTGAAATGGTGGCTTTCCTTTTGGTTTCCCTTGAAACCGACCAAACCATGTGCACCTCAAAATCCACGCACCCAAGCCGCGAATGGGGAAGTCACGGATGCCAACCCTAGCAAACCTGCATTTGTCACACTCTACTGTACAGGGGTCCCCTTAAAAGGAAAATGGTCCTCCAGGAACCCATGTGCAGGTCCTATGTTTGGTTTTGGGAGGGTAGGGTGTCTACAGCGTCTTTTGTTGCGCAACTGTCAGTGCAAGATTGGTGAAACCGGCAAAGCCATGGTAGAGCGCAGGACGGCAAATTCCAATCCTTGTGAACCCTGGTCTGCCCAGAGGCTCTCGATTGATTTAGGGCCTTCAATCAACCTGATTTTGAGACCCCCAACCAATTCCCGGGGTGTCTCATGGAGGGGTTGGGTCTTCCATTGAAAGCCGAATTCTTGTTGGGAATCATTTTATTTTACATTTTTGCTTATTGTGGCTTAGTGGGAAATCCCCACTTAACTGCTAAAATTTGAATTGTTGCTCCCTTGCAACGTCAAGCAAGAGGAGCCCTGCTGTAAAATCACCTCCGTAAACTGGGGCCGGCCAGGAATGTGAGCTTGGAATTGGTTGGCGCAAGCCGCAAGCCGCAAGCCATCTTGCAAGTAAACCAACCATACCACACCACAAAACACTGTGTACGTGTTGCACGTGTGGTGTGGACCCAGTTCTTCCGTTCCCCCAGGTACCAAAATATTGCCACCTGACCTTTGGACAACATATGAAGGATGAATACGCATCGAAGGGTTAAGAAAATACAGATTTTGCATCATTGCCAATATACTTGTTGATGACCAACTGTCTAATAAACTTGCAGGTGGTTCATTGTATCATATTTTATATATATATATATATATATATACAAAGTGGCATGCCTGGGATCTGGGGGCAAGTTAGCTCGCTGGTTGCGGCTCCTGCGGCCAAACGGGAATATGATGGCCATATCGGGTCAGACAAACCAAACACAAACACACCCAACCCGGCCGCGAAAGCCGCCACAGGCGATCATGTCTGGGTTTTGTTTGAGCCCCCGTTTTCCCATGGTAAACTCACTTGCCCAAATTTGACCTTTTGGTTTCCCATGTTTGGTCCGTGTTTAGTAAAGGTCCTAAAAGGTTAACCTTTTATTTCTGGGTCCTTTGGGCAACTGAGGTAAATCTTCATCTTTCTTCAGTCAAGGGTTGACACCCTTACAAACCGGGTATTTCAGGGTAGTCCTTTGCTTCGTCATTTTGTCAGGGGTCTCCCTAAAAGAGGCGGGTACTTCAAGTAAAACTAGGTCCCCCAGTAGTGCCCTTTTACCCTTTTTTGGGGGAGGGTTTTGCTACCAGAATGGACTACAGAAAAAAAAGGGTACCCTTATTGTAAGCTCTCTACTGGAGGACCTAGAAAAGGTGCCCGTCTTCCTCAGGTTCGTGTTCGCCCTGGAGCGCAGCCGCAGCTCGGTTGGGTGCGGAATCGAAGACGTCAAGGTGACGTAGGCAAACGAGGGGGAGACCCTTAACATACCCCCTACTCAAAATACCCGCTTTTTCAAGGTATTTGGGTGGGAGGGTCAGTTGTGGGAGGGTCAGTTGTAAGATCAGTTTCCTCTTGGGACCGGTGTCTGCGTCGGGTGCCATGTTAGCGGGAGCGAGGGTACCGAAAACAAATGGACGGTTTCGAGGGGGAAAAGCGAAGAACAAGTGTCACTTGCGGAAGGGTGTTTTTGTTCAGCCCGCTGTTGCGGGTTGGGTGTGTGTTTGGGAAAAAATGGGTGCAAACCCGGGAAACCACCCAGAGGCTCCCGATTGATTTGGGGTTTTCAAACAACCTGGTTTTGAGGCCCCCAACCACCAATTCCCGGGGTGTCTAATGGAGGGGTCGGGTCTTCCATTGAAAGCCAAAGCCCGGAGCCGGCATTTTGTTTGGCAGACCCGCGAGGTGGCTTGAAGTCATTAGATTTCTCCAACAACGACTTCGGCTCGGAGACGGAGCACGTGGTGGATGCGGTGCTGGCCCTGGAACGAGGCAAGGAGAGAGCTGGTTTGCTCGCTTGGTAAGACTTTTCTGTTTGCCAGCGATGCAAAGGCCCCAATCATTAGAAAAGGGCTCGTTCTTAGCCAAATTTGGTCGCGTGTTTTACCCACCTCGCAGTACCTGGGCCAAGGTTTGGGACCATCTTACATCATTTCCCCCTGAATCAAATGATGAGCTCAGAAAATGAATGTCAATCCTTCAGGTTTTAGCTGTGTGCGTGGAACTCCGTACCCGCAGCCACTCTGGCACGGACGGCTTCGGCATACCGTGGACGGCCGCGAAATCCGCTCGCCTCAAATAAGAATAACTCTGAAGACCTGTGACCCCCAAAAGACCACAAAAAGACCAAAGAGGTCTTGGCCAAGTCAGGGGCCAGGAGTTTTCGTCGCCATGGGCTGTGGCGCCTCTGTGAGCCCGGCTCCGGAGCCTCCGCTGGAGCCGGAGCAGCTGGAAGCTTCGGCGGCGCATCTGCTGATCCGAGAGGAAGATGGGCAGAGAGTTTCTGGGTCGCATGTCAGCCCCTTTCGGCCACAAGAGCGCGGTTTCAATACCGCGGAGAGGGAGGACTAAATGTGAGCATGAGGAAAGGTGTTGGTGCATTTCGCCCAAGGGATGCTTGTTGGGACTTTCTTTGCCTTTGTGCCAACGTTATTTGGTTTTCCGTATTAAAGCACTAAAAGTTGAAAACTTGTTCGCAGAGGAGCAGAAAGCAACCGAGGTTTGCGAAGCCGCCATCTACTTCAAGGAACTGAAGTGGCAGAAGCCACAAGCGACGCATGTGAATGTGTGTGTGTGTGTGTGTCATTGTCATGTGAGCGTTTTTTTCAAAGGATGACTGGAGGAGGGTGTGCTTGGTTTTCATTGTTTTCACGTTTTCCCAAGAAGACAAAGTAATTGCCCTCAAACACACTGCCCAGATTTGGGTGGCATTTTTTTGTCACATGGACATTGACGGGGGCTCTGGGTAAACTTGTCGATTGAGGACCCTTCCCAGTGGAGAAAAAATAACCCGTGGGACTGCGTTTGGCGCCATCGTTCATTGTTTGGCCCTTGAGTTCACTGTCGGCTTTTTGTTTCGTGTTTTGTTGCTTGGTTCTGTTCATGTGTGTTGGGTGGCCGACAAAAGTTGCTGCCGCCCCAAGGGTTGGACAGCTAAATGTCGTAGACAAAGAACTCAGAAATCCCAATCCCCGGAAGCTTCAAGCGCGAGCTTATCTTTCAGGGATGTTTTTTTGAATGGAACCTGCCTCCGCTTTTCGTCAGTGGTTCACTTAGCCACCCTAAGAAAGGTGCGTGTTCTGAAGGAGCCAGCACGCTCCTTCGACTCCATGGCACACAAACTCTCCAAGTTGGACACGATCCTCCCTCCGGTGGCGGCAACCCATGACCACCACGTGGCCAAGATGCGGAGGTTCATGAGCTTGCCTCTGGGCGCATGGCATAAGTGATTGTTTGATAGAAATCCTGATTAGAATCTGCCATTTTCAACATTGGTTTGTGTCTTCAACGGTGGTGCAGATGGTATTGTTGTTCAGCAGCGTATTTTTTTACAAGAAGAAAAGTAGGTGAGGATCCAAGTAGGGCTCGCTCACGGAAGAAGCCTAAAGAGCCCCTAGGACCTGGACACCCGCCTTGTTACCTACCCACCTTGGGGGATTCCTGAAGCGTCGAGGGGTGGATAAGTTCTTCCCGCCAAGGGTCGGGACGGAATTTGAGGCCTCACACTATGTCCTTTTGACCCCCTAAATACTAAAGCAGCTCGGGGTGTGGTGCGGGGATCTCGGTTGAGTTGCCTTCACAAGCGGCCAGATTCGTGAGTTAGCGCTCAGGCTCCCCGTCACGGAGATCGCTCTGAGGAGGGATGTGCATGCTCGCAGGATGTGCCATCGACACGGTTGACGCGAATAACGACTTCTGAAATTCCTCTCCTTCTTGGTCGCTCACCTGAGTCACAATCACACAACCCTTGACTTGGGGATCCCTTATCGCGACTCCGCTTGCAGAGCCGAACAGCGCCTGTTGAGGAAGCTTCTAACCAGGACCCGCCAACGGCTATCAATTACTCAAGTGACCGTCCCTCCCTTTGGTGATTCTGACCATTTGACAGTTTGGGGGTAAATTGAAAACGAAGCACCTCCAAATCATGCTGAGATAAGACAAAGTTATAGCTGGTTTAGGACTAGCTGGTTTCAGGCGTTAAGATCGTTGGTCTCTGCGAGCTGCCACATTTCCTGCTTCACTCGTAGCTGGCATAGCCATTCACCAGAGAGAGAAAATCTGGTGCCCGTCGTCTTTCCCCAAGATGTGGCTGTGGGTCAAAACCAATGTTGCCATTTTGGTTGCTAGGTGAATTCACCACCCATTTAATTTTAGGCCTGTTTTAGTGGTTGGATTGAATCGGATGTTCACTCAAACTACTATTTGGCTCTTGACCCATGGCCATGTGCCTTTTCTGGCCAATCCACTCCATGCGAAGTGAGTCCTGCCGCTGGACCTTCCACTTGGAGATTTTTTTTTGCATTTTGCGACCTGTGGAACACGATCAGTGCCTAAATCGATGCTGTTGATGGACAAAATCCGGCACCATTTGGAAACCATGGGAAACTATTGTTCATTCCCCAGAGGGTCCAAGTAGCTTCTAAGCAGGTACTTAGACCCCTGTTTGCCCCCCAAAAGCCATCCTCAGGAGGTACTTGGACCCTCTGAGTTCGCATTTACCGTGGAAGCGAATGATTCCAGGGTAGGTCGTGCGAAATGGATTTCATCCATCCACAGTATGGGTGATCGAGCTATCGCACCAGTCCCACCCCCCAATGTACAGGGAGAGGGGTCCGCATCTGAGGGGCGCCGATTTGTTTTTGTGTAATCACTCGTGTCACGACTCGTTCCCCTTGGGGTCCCCTGTCCTGTTAGTGCGGGGGGGTTCATCAGGGTTGGAGCGAACGCCCCCCAGTAGTGCCCTTTTGCCATTTTTTGGGGGAGGGTTCCCCTGCTAAAATAGACAAAAGTAAAAATGAAACAACGGGTACCCTTATTCTAACCTCTCTACTGGAGGACCTAGTGTATGTATATCAATCCGGTGTCAACATCATCCAGGCGGCTCTAGCCATATGCACTGATATCGCGTTCCGCTGCCCGAGAGAGCCTTGGGATTTTTTCGCGTCGCATCGGAAATCCTTGGGGTCCATGCGGACATGGGTTATTGTCTTAAACCCGGGGAACCCCAAAGATGTTGCTTTTCTTCACTGTTCTTGGCATGTCTTTTTTTGTAAATTTGTTGGTTCTTTTCATTTTTTCTGGGGGTCTGCAAAAAACATATTTTGTTTTGCTACCATACCAAGAGTAAAGATGTTTTGGTTGCCACTTAGCCCACAAAGAGTGCCCACCGAGGCGAGACATGTCCCTTCAACATGTGTTGCTTTAAGGATTCAAAGGCCTGATGGGGTAACCCGGGTGCTTATGAAGACCCATGACTCGGGGAGGAATTTCAACTTGAAGGCCTCTTGGAGGAGATTCGTTTTATCTGAAGAGCAGCACCCACTGAGTGTGCGCTGCTAAGGGGCAGAACTCCAGGAGAGGTCAGAACTTGCTGACTGGATAGGCAGGCAATGAGAATTGGAATCACCTGTGAACCATCTTCTGTGGTTTCCTTCAATTCATTCCAAAAGCCGGAAGGTCCTTCTTTACCTATCGCACCAGCAAGTTGGGGATGCTTGAAGGCTCCTTGGGCCTTTCCAGCTCTTTCCCTTGTAGACTTGGGCGGCAGGAAGTGCCAAGTCAGGCGATTGGGTACGTCAGGCAAGCCGGCAATACCCATGAGACAACCCACACCAGCCATGGTTTTTTTCGTTTCCGTTCAGTGGGTTATAATCGATCGCTTATGAACCACTTACCTGACCTACCAAATCGATCGCGCCTTTGAGTAAGGTGATCTTGGAAACCCGTGCTTGGTTCCCAAGCCCGCGAAAATTTATTTCTAGTCGCGGCCGTTTTGCTCGCAGCCTCCGACGCCCGACTGCTTGGTTTGTAGTGTGCGCTCCGACGTTCATGGACTGCCATTTGCTGAAGCAAAATGCCCCCGCAACCTCCAAATATCTGCTTTCTGAAGGGTATTGTTTCTCAAAACCCGGCTTTCCAGGATGTTTAATACCTCCTTTTGTAGTAGAGGGTTGACATGATACCCCTCAAAAAGCGCGTATTAGGAGTAGCGGGTATGTGTCATTTCCCCTTCAGTTGGTGTTAAAAGGGAATCGATCACTACTGGAAGTATTATGTTTTAGGGGCCGAAGAAGCGAATGGAAGGCTATCACACGCATTCCGGCTGCCTTCGTGGCATCTTTCTAAGTTGAGAAAAAAATGCCCTTGGCCGCATGAAGCCGGCGCCGACCGGACAACTGAACCATTGAACCGGGGAGCAGGTTGAAGGAGGGCCTCCAAATTCCCTACTTGAAGGGCAGGGTACTTACTAAGCGGATAAAAATGCTGATAACCATGGTTATGACCACCTACCATAGAAGTCCGGGTTATAACCAGGCTTACTAACCACTCACTAAATACCCTGCCCCTTCAAGTACATTTCCTTTGCGGTTTTCAACGTAATCGACATGTAGCGAGCGACTTTTGAAAGATTTGGCGACTCTCGAATGCCCCTGGGTTGTGTTTCAGTTCGGGTTCGAGCCTGGCTGATCAAACATCCGCCGCGGATGGGGGGGGGGTCATCAATTTTCCTGGTCCGCAACGACCATGCGGAGCTTTTCCCACTTAGTGGTACATATCGCATCCTATCTACTTGGTTTTCCAAAATGGGACATATCATCCTTTGCCCGTGGTGTTCCAAGCAATTGTCAAGGTAGCTTGTCCCATTAAAGAGGCCCATTTGCTTAAGAATATGCTTTTACTTCCCCCTGTTGGTTTTAGAGGGAATCTATCACTGGATTCTTTTTCCAGGAAACACCTGTCCTCCCCCTGGACCGCCCCTTTGACATCCCTACGGGTCCTTGATTAACGCCCGTGCCACGCTCGGAGAGCTGGCCTTTTAGAGCGAGAGGGCTGTTTTCGGCCAGCGGAGCTTGGATAAAAAACTCGAGTGACAATTTCGCGGCTGGAAACATCGGTGTCCTTGTAAGGTTCGTTTGGTTGAAAAATAAATGGGTTCCACTGGTTTAGATGAATTGTTCTGCCCGCCGTTTAGCAGGGAAACCCATTCGTTGTTCCAAAGCACGCCTACTGTGGATGGACAAAATCCTTCACCACTTGGAAACCATGGGAATCCATTGTTTGTTCGTATTTACAGGCATAATCAGTTTGTCAGGGTTTCTTAGGTGCGAAATGGATTTTATCCATGCACGGTATGGTTGGACAGCTCCGGAAATGCGGAGCAACTCTTGCTCAACCCTAGCCCTGAAAAGCCCTGACGCTTGTCAGGTGGCTTTGTGGTGGAGAATATGTTTTATTGCTCCCTGTTGGTGTTAAAGGACACTCATTCTGGCTGACTGTTTTGCTTCTTGCATAACAAGCAGAAACACGCATGCAGGGGACTGAAGCAAATGGAGGGCATGGTTGATATTGTATTCCTTGCCTCACTGAACGTGCAGGGCATGCGCTGTGCTTGATGCCAAATTCCTCAATGTGGGCAGCCATTGAAGGCATGTAAGGGGTGGAAAGCCAATCTGTGAAGTGGGTGACAAAATCCTTGCAAATCCCGTGGTTTCTCCTGGTGGGCAAGTCATGCGCAACCAGGGGCCAGCATTTCCAGTTGGGTTTGGTGTTTGAATGTGTGTTTAAGTGAACTTTATCCACTTCTGAGCAAACTTCTTGCACCCTCCCGCGTTTTGATAGGGGGCTGTCATCAACAGGGGGAAACGACTACACATGGGTATGGGTCTAAGTTAAACCACAGACCGCAGATTTTCGTCATTTTCATGTACCAGGGTAACCCATTTGGGGGTTACCCCATTTTTGACCGACAGCCATATTTGCGCCACGGCACGCACCCGTGTTGGAAAAGAATTCGAGAGCCCGCAAAACAAAAATCCTGAGCACTGGCGGTTCCGCCTGCCAAGCCGCCGTGCTTCAGGCGGCTTGGTGCAGTACAACCGGCTGAACCTCAGCGCTCCGCACGCAGAGCCACTCGGGTTTTCTGGCTCCGGCCGGCTCGGCAGCTTCCGCTGGCTGGAGGTCGTTTTTTTTTTCCCCCCCCCCGTTTTGGCGGCCATGTTTGACGAACCACAACTAAATACCTTCCCCGGAGTTAGCTCCCCTTTTGGATGCTTTGCTTTTTGTTGGGTCCCTTTTGTTTTCCACTTACCAGGCAAAAAAGAAATATTTATATCTATATATGTTTGCTGGGGTCCCTTTTTCCAGCCAAGATTCGTCATTGCTCCAAATTCATGGGATCTGGACACTAAAGTCTCTGCCCAGACATCGGGTTCCGGGAAGTTCTGGATTT